TTCTTGATGCTTCTGCTCCAGCTCTTCCACAAGCCTGCCTGGTTCTTCTCAATGGCGGTATGAGCAAGCTGCAGACCTTAGCACTGCCCTGGATCTCCCTCTCTGTGATTTTCTGTTCATTGACACAATGGAAACGTTTAGTTTTATGGATGACAAATAGACAAAGATCTTTAGTTAGAGCTTTTTTTTAACATGAACTTACTTTACTTAGATCCACAGAGTTATTGATCTGTTCCATCTTTCTGCGTCTGGCATGGATCATCTGTTTGATGCTGGTCTTTTTGTCCCTCAAAGAGGTCTACAAAAGGTTAAAAGAAAGTCTTTCAGTGTACAGTAATACCAGAAGTAAAGGGAGGGAGTGTATTAAAAGAGAATTTGAGAGTTCATGTGAAGACGATGGCTAAAAGAACAGGTGTCTCACCTTGACCCTGTTCCTCTCCTTCTCTATCGGTACTATGGTGTGGTGTTTGTGTTCCCTCTCTGTACATTTCACACAAACAGGCTTCTGGTCGCTCGTGCAGAACTTGGTCAGCGGCTTCCTGTGTTTTCCGCAGAGGTGAGTTGTGATGAAAGTGGCCGTATCCATCAGCTGGTGCTTCTGCAGCGCCGCATCCCTCTCGTGTGGCGTGAGGTGAAGTTCGCAATAAGACAGTAGGCAGGTCGGACACGACTTGACCGATGGGGACTTGTCTCCGCAGCAAACGTCACAGGGAACTTGGTCAGCCTCGCAAAGCGGGTTCAGGGAATTTTTCCTGCTTCCTGGCGGCGTCGCAAGGTTCGCACTTTCCTCTTGAGCCCTTTTGGTTTAAATAAAATTTTGTTAAATATCAACTTAGTTGTAATATTTTTTGGTTTGACTTTGGGTTGCTTTAAAGCCGAGAGAGGAAGTAATTAATAACAAACCTTTTATAAATCTCAATGATTTCAGCAAATCCACAGTTGATCTTCAGTGGTGGTCGCTTTTTGAATTTCTCTTTGCACAGAGGACACTCAGGCTTTCTCTTAGTGTCCCAAAATCCCTCAATGCACTCCAGGCAAAAGTTGTGACCACATGGGATGGAGGTCGGGTGGGTGAAGATGTCCAGACAGATGCAGCACTTGAACTGCTCCTCTAACGGAACGGCGAGGGACATGTTTGCAACTGCAAAAAAACCCAAACTGAATTACTTAAAAATCCATGTTTAAAATTTGAGATGTTTGCTTCCAAAAACAGTTGTCAAAAACAGGGATTGTTGGGCCATTTTCTAATTTAAAATTGCGCTTCAATTATAGTTTAAAAGTCCCTTAGCCCTCTCTTCCAGGGTTTAAAGACAAAGTTAGCAGTAAAAACCATTACATTGTTTCTAATACCTGTTCTCCAGATTATTCAACCAGTACATGCTGCACACTCCTCTTGCATCAATGTTCCCTAATGTTTATCATTTAACTAAATATCCATATAAATGGGTTTTGCATATGTAAGAAATGAAAGTTAATTCTAATTCAGTGTCTTCTGATTGAAGTATCGCGTCCTACCTGGATGGGTCGTCATGGCGAGTGTCCCGATCGTCCTCCTAGAATAAACGTACAGAGCAAGTGCAGCGCGGTTTAAATAAGCATCCACACTCCCTGTTTGCAGAGGGATTAGTCACACTTGTCTAATTACCGCTAAGCTCCTCCTCGCTCGATAGGAATTTCCACATGTTATTCAAATGTTCTGGTACATTTTGTACCTTTTGTTCTTCTAATTACTGGAGGTGAAGAAGAGGAGCTCGAGCAGGTACGACAGGGTTTGGCCTCAGCCGCTGCAAACCTAAACAAAGAACTTTAATCATTCTTCCGGCATGATAGTGATTCAGCATCTGGTAAAACATGATCAATTATTGTCGTTGTGTGCAAACCAGCTGACAGAATGGGACAGGTTGAAATGTACCTTGAGCAGTCGTTGTGGACCTGCATGTGAGTGATGTGGGATTAAAAATACTTCATATTGTTCACACTTTACAACGTGCCTCTGGAAAGGTTTGTGCAATTCTGTGATCTTAACGTCATTCCAGAGATGTATCAGTATGAAGATTAAAAAAGTCTAAAAATGTAGAAACGCCATCTTCAAAACCTCATTGACCAACAAAATGATCTAACACTGGATAAAATAGTTTCTGTTGAAACTTTTTGAGATAAAGTTAGAAAACCTTTGTGTTTTTTTAACATATGTAAACCTGTGGCCATATAAACACATTTACAGCCATTTAGTGTTGAACTATATTATATTGTAGGCTGAATCAAACAAAATCAACAAGTTTCCCCGTCATCCATATCACACACACACACGCACAAACACACACACACACACACACATATTTTTGGATTGAAGAATTGCAGAAACTTTGCTTGACGCACACCGTACATAAAAATATTATTTTGTGTGAAGTAAAAATAATTTTAGTACTTCTAAGCCTAAAGCACTCGCATGATGGTTCACAAGAATCGCCTGTGAAACATTTCTCTCTCTCTATTCAGCCTGTTTTTTTTACATTCATACATACGCACATTTAGTTGTCGTCATAATAATTGGTCCCGTTTGCTGCCACTCAACATGTAAATGCCAGTGACTGGCCTAGATATGGTTTTTAATTACGGTACGCTAATAACATACTGTGCTGACAAAGAGAGAAAGTGACCTATTAACACGTTCAAAGGTGATTTAAATCCAACAAGGATGAGCTAACAAGTAGTTTTTCTCCACTCCTCTCAGTGTTACACTATAATATATTACAATAAAGGATATGTGTCATGTGTGAGAACCACCTTTTATTTTTGTAGTTTGTCTATGAGCTAGTTTAAAGTACATCATCCAGAGTAAAATGTGTAGATGTGTAAAACAAAGCTCCTCTCTTCTACTACTCATAATCCAACCTAATGAAATAAGGTGGTTCAATTAAAGCTAATCAAATACTAAATGAAACCATTTCGAGGGGGATTTTTGTTACAAAATTTTGTGTCTGTTGGTTCTCAACGACTGTGTTTTATTTTATTTTTTTCATGTCCGGTACTTTAATGAATCTTCTTCACCATGTTGACCTCTGGGTATAATGTATAAGTCAGGTAACAAATCTCATCAGGAATCAGGAACATTTATTGCCAAAGTATGAAAGACATACAAGGAAAATTTCATGTTGGTTGGTGAATTGCATTGGACAGTAAGAAAATGAGACATGTTTCCCCATCCTCAGGTACTGCTTCCTGTCAGACAGGAAGTCAGGGATCCACTTGCAGGTGGAGTCGGGCACGTGTAGCGGAGAGAGTTTGTCCTGCAGCAGAGACGATTTCTTTGAAGGCAGAGCTGAAGTCCACAAACAGGATCCTGGCGTAGGTTCCTGGGGAGTCCAGATGCTGGAGGATGAAGTGGAGGGCCATGTTGACAGCATCTTCTACAGACCTGTTGGCTCTGAAGGTGAATCGTGGAGGTCTTGAAGCAGGCTGGTACTTGGCATGTCTCCTGGGAGGTCCTGAAGATGTCTGTGAACACTGTAGACGGCTGATCAGCACAATGCTTCAGTTTGGGGAGGAGGCAGAGTTCGGGCCGGCTGCTTTGTGGGGGTTTGTTTTTAAAAAAGCCTGTTGACGTCCCTCGTATTTTCTGGAGAGTGTCGTCACTGGGGATGGGTGTGTAGAAGGAAAGGGTTATACAGAGGCATGAGGCCCTTATTGACTGGGAGGGGGGGGCGAAATCTACAGTAGAACCCAATCTGCCAGTCGGAGGTCATTCATGGAATGAGGGCGAGGGGGGAGGCGGTTGTCTTGTAGTTCATTATTTGTCTGAGATCTTTCCGGACAGAAGCAGCGTAATTTGCTGAGAGCTAATGTTATAGGTTCTCAGTGTCACGGTGTGGTTCACTTCCTGTTGTATTTTGTAGTTTTCTGCCACTCGTGTCCCCGGGTAACTTCACTTCCTGCCTTGTCCCGTCATCCCCTGTGATCGTCTAATAGTTTCCACCTGTGTCCAATCACCTGCACCTCCCTTGTGTATTTAAGCCGTGTGTCTCTTGTGTCACTTGTCGCGTCATTGTCTTTCGCCACGCATGTCCGTGTCCCTTGTTGTGGGTATCTGTAGTTGCATGCCTGTGTGTTTTTGCCCCTTGGCCTTTTGGATTTTTGACCTTTGACTATTAAAGTCCTTTTGTTCCTGCAAGTCTGCATTTTGAGTCCTGCCTTCCACCCGCATCCCTGACACTCAGACTACATTTGTTAAGTGTGTATCACCCGCCTTGCTAAACCCTGTATTTCGCCTCTGTGTAAAAGTCTTTGTCCCCATCCCTAAATGATCATCATTGTGTTCCAAATAAAGGACGAATGAAGCAATGGATCATCCAAACAACACTTACACAACTGAAGCTGTCATGCATCTTGTGTCTTGTCATAATTTATCGGTTTCATTGATTGAACCAGAAGTTGATAGCATTTATTTTAGATACAGTACTTGAATTAGTTTTGTCCTTTGAATGAAGCTCAATTCACAACAATTCCCAAATAAAATCATGTTTTGTTTCTTAAGTTCTTAAAGAACAGCTTAATGAACACTGTGTTCCAGGTGTTGTGTCATCATGTCTGAGGGATTACTCACACCGGAAATTTACTATGTTGTGTTGTTGCAACACCTTTTAGTAATATTCCCTTCATCATTGGCTCATTCTCTATTGCCGGAGGCATGAGGGCCTGGAGACTTGGTTTTGGTGAGTAATCTGGTTTATGTGGAGCAAAAGGAGTGGAAAGCATTTTCTGAAACGCTCTGAATCTCTTAGAAGGTTTTTAGCTTTAATGTATTTCTCTACATTCATCTTTTCTCACATTCAGAGAGGTCTGAGAAGATGTCCTCTTTCAATTCAAAACACATTCTTGTTTCCAAAGCTTCTACTTGGACTGTTAACACAGGATTTTGTAGGAAGAAGTTGGAGTAATGCTTTGGTGCACATGAAATAAGCACTTGTTTGGTGCTAAGGGAATAATTTGCTTGCTCGACATATTTTCCATAAAAGATAAGTTTAATGAGAAAAATACTTTGTAGTTGCAACCTATATCAATATTGTATCACAACATATACGAATGAATAAATAACAAAAAAGAAAAAACATAACAAAAAAAATTAAACAATCCTTAAAAAGACAATTTTACAAATACACAAGTGCGCTGTTACTTTTCTTTTACAATTCTTTCTTCATGAAATGTTTGGATTAATTTCCTTCACCAAAGGGAAATTGTTCATGTTCAATCAGAACAATGATCACATCTAAAAGCATAGTACAGAGCATATTTTTGTTGAGTCGTTGCTAAGACATCACGCCCAGACCTTCATGGGTAAACATCTTCCATCACCTCGCTGTGACAGATGGAATGTGCGTGCGAGTTCACGTCGTTCAGATGAGCCGTCGCGTTAATTTGCGGTTAAACAATTTGTATCTCAGGTGATAAATTACCCCTTTAGGATACTTATTAACATTTCACAGTTCATGCACCTTTCGAGGCTTTTTTATGTTCAAATACATGATGTATAATTATATGTATTTACACATGACTCAATTGAGTTGAAAAAACAATACATGCAGTCAGATACAATGTAGATATTTCTGCCTTCTTTTTTTAGCAGCCTTTTGCAGTGATGGTTAAATACTAGTCAAGTAAAATTAGTTCATTGTACAGTATATAAACTTCAATAATAAACCTTTGCATCATCCTTTCTCATGACATGTCACAGAGGACAGATGATCAACGGGGCGATGTTCTTCCCCTCGTCTGGAACACAGGGGTTGAAGTACGGGTTGAGGGGCTCGTTGAAGTCACACCCGCTGTAGGTGTAAATGTGGGTCTTTGCCTCTGCGTCGTAGAAGGACACCAAGCCTTCGTCGTAGTCCAGGAACACGCCCACTTTCTGCGGCGTTTCTTGGAGGCGGAGCTTGACGGAGGGGCTGGCACAGGCTTTGAGGCCGCCGCCTTCCCGCCGGCAGATGGCCCAGTAGCCGCTGTCGGGACGCACCACAATGGCTCCCTTCCTGTTGATGGACTCCCGGGCCACGCCGAGGTCCCAGTCTGTTTTGTTTCCAACCTGAAACAAACATAAGACCTACATCGTGAGTCACTGTAGGCTGATGGTGTTTGAATATACTACATGGTGAACTTGTAAGAACCGCAGGGTGCGTTATATTAGGTATACATTCAATTTAATTTGTTAAAGTGCACTGATATGGCTTGAAGCGTGTTTCCTGTTTCTGAGCTCCTTACCTGAACAACCCAGTAGCGCCTTCCAGTGGCAAAGCTTTGTTTCCCCGAAACACAAACGCAGGAGTTAAACCGCCGAGGACTGTCCAGGACTAAATTATTCTTCTGGCTGCCGACGGCCACCTGTGGATCAAAATGATCAACGTTACTTTCACTGTCTTCATCATATCAGACATTCGTCTAATGCCAACAATTGTTAACAAACCTTATTACTTCCTAGATCAACACATTTTATCATAATTTTCAGCCCCTTTGAATTGTATTTTCGCTGTGAGAAATTTATAGTTTACAACTGCAATGCAGTAAAATTTAGCAAGAAAGTAATGTTAAAAAAACAGTAACTGTCACAATAAAAAGTTTTATCAAACTATACCTTCTTTCTGTCTGGAGACAGGACGAGCCAACCTGAAGCAGTCTCAGGGTCCAGAGTGACATCGACTGCAGAAAACAAAGAAGAAAAACCATGAGCCACGTCATAAGAAGAGGAACTAATCAAGATCAAAGTAGCTTATTGAAATAAGCAGTAGACGTGTGGCTGTGAGCATACCTGCGTATTGATTCAGCCTGTCTACTTCTGAAAAAAGAGAAAAGAAAAAGTTGATTTTCATGCACTGGTCATTACAACAATCTTTGGCAGTTAAAGAGGAGATCATGTTTTTTTCTAAAAGACTACTGACCATCTTCAGACAGCTTGTCCGATAGATCCTGGCAGACGGCGATGAGCTCGGAGAAGGCTCTGGTCACCGCCCCCATGCAGTGATCAGAGTAGACCGCCACCTCGGACCACTCTCTGGTGGATGGGAGTGGACTTTGAGATGGGAAACTCTAAAATGGGGGGAAAACGGTTTGTCATGATTACGGTTGTTGAGACGTTGACTCTGCAAAGAGACGAGGACCTTCATGTATCTAACCTGCAGGAGGTGAACCGGGCTCTGACTTTGCTCCAGCTGCACCAGCTCGATGCCCCTCGCCTGAAGCTCTCTGATTTCTTGCTGCAGCTCCTGCAACAGCTCCGCGGCTCTCCTCTCGGCTTCTTGATGCTTCTGCTCCAGCTCTTCCACAAGCCTGGCCTGGTTCTTCTCAATGGCGGTTATGAGCAAGCTGCAGACCTTAGCACTGCCCTGGATCTCCCTCTCTGTGATTTTCTGTTCATTGACACAGTGGAAACGTTTAGTTTTATGGATGACAAATAGACAAAGATGTCCAGTTAGAGCGTTTTTTTTAACATGAACTTACTTTACTTAGATCCACAGAGTTATTGATCTGTTCCATCTTTCTGCGTCTGGCATGGATCATCTGTTTGATGCTGGTCTTTTTGTCCCTCAAAGAGGTCTACAAAAGGTAAAAAGATAGTCTTTCAGTGTACAGTAATACCAGAAGTAAAGGGAGGGAGTGTATTAAAAGAGAATTTGAGACTTCATGTGAAGACGATGGCTAAAAGAACAGGTGTCTCACCTTGACCCTGTTCCTCTCCTTCTCTATCGGTACTATGGTGTGGTGTTTGTGTTCCCTCTCTGTACATTTCACACAAACAGGCTTCTGGTCGCTCGTGCAGAACTTAGTTAGCGGCTTCCTGTGTTTTCCGCAGAGGTGAGTGGTGATGAAAGTGGCCGTATCCATCAGCTGGTGCTTCTGCAGCGCCGCATCCCTCTCGTGTGGCGTGAGGTGAAGTTCGCAATAAGACAGCAGGCAGGTTGGACACGACTTGACCGATGGGGACTTGTCTCCGCAGCAAACGTCACAGGGAACTTGGTCAGCCTCGCTTCCTGGCGGCGTCGCAAGGTTTGCACTCCCCTCTTGAGCCCTTTTGGTTTAAATAAAATTCTGTTAAATATTAACATAGTTAAAATATTCTTGTTTCACTTTGGGTTGCTTTAAAGCCGAGAGAGGAAGTAATTAATAACAAACCTTTTGTAAATCTTAATGATTTCATTAAATCCACAGTTGATCTTTAGTGGTGGTCGCTCTCTGAATTTCTCTTTGCACAAAGGACACTCAGTCTTTCTCTTAGTGTCCCAAAATCCCTCAATACACTCCAGGCAAAAGTTGTGACCACATGGGATGGAGGTCGGGTGGGTGAAGATGTCCAGGCAGATGCAGCACTTGAACTGCTCCTCTAACGGAACGGCGAGGGACATGTTTGCAACTGCAAAAAAGTCACATTAATAAGTTTCAATGAAGACCACTTCCCATAACTTTTACAAATGGACGGAAGACTTAGTCTCCTACAGAAAACCTCTTGCACTGTTGAATACATTAGAAATTGTTTCATATGAGTATCGCCCTACCTGTGTTGTCATACGGAGAGTTCTGATCGTCATTCATCAAACTCAAACAATAAATACCCAGAGGGAACCGTCTCTCTTTTGTAGTCACAGGTAAGATCCTCCCCGTTGGATTGGAGTTTCCCAATCAGGCATTCTGGTTGGTCTGGTTCCTTGTTCACGAGGTCTTATGTCTAAGCTGGTGATGGGATTAACGGCCAACCAAATTGTACAGAAAGGTGTCATTTGCGATTTAAAACACATAATTGCATTACTTACAGGCATGTTCGCTGGAGCAGCAATCAAAACGTGATAACCCGTAGTGAGGGACAAGCCTTTAACACTCAGGTTTGATTGGGTTGCTTTTCTGAATACTAGATAGTATAGTAGATAGGATAGTCAAATCAAAAGAATTTTATTTAAACTAAACTTAAACAGGTACAAAAATGTAAAAAATGTCGCAGGATCTCAGCAGTTTCAGTTTCTCTCAGTCTCACGACAATTTCAAAGAAGAAGAAGAAACCTGAATCGGTCGTTTGCACCACAAAATATTGAGCAATAAAGCGACGGCTCATCTGAACGACGTGAGCTCGCACGCGCATTCCATCTGTCACAGCGGGGTGATGGAAGATGTTTACCCATAAAGGTCTGGGCGTGATTTCTTAGCAACGACTCAACAAAAATATGCTCTGAACTATGCTTTTAGATGTTTTCATTGTTCTGATTGAACATGAACAATTTTATTCTGTTTAAGTGTTGTTCTTTTAAGACGTATTAGTTGCATTTTTTGCAAGATAGATGTCAAATACATGTGCTAATGTAAGAAAAAGCATACTTAGGTGAGGCGACAGTCATGGGAAATGCAAAGTAGTTTTAGCACAGATGGTTTTATTTTTATTTTATACATTCATTATTATTCATCGACCTGTTTCGCAGAGTTCCATCTTCTCTTCCATAAATGTAAACATGAAGCACCTCAGCTGAGGAAGTACAGGAGGCCACAGACGGCTTAACCCTTAATCCAAACCTTAACTAAACCCTAACCCCTCGTTGAATTAGAAACGACTGTATTGCAAATTAGCGTCGTAGCTGTTGTCCCCGATTTCTCATTTGGTCCTCATTGATCTTTTTTCTAAATGATTTCTCTAAAAGTAGCCTGGAGACAGACAGATATTTTAATTACCTGTTACTGGCAATCCTAGTAGTCACACTACACACACACACACACACACAGACACACACAAAGCACGTAGAGACGTTGCGCCGTCAGAGTCTGGGAATTCCCAATCGCATGGACCATTAGATTTAACTTCAGCAGGCCGCTTAAGCCTCCTATCCGACCCGACGGCCAACGCACATATCTGCTTTTCTTATCTGGAGACACCTGGCGCTAAGCGTTGCGTGACGACCCACGTCAGACTCGCCGTTCTGAGAGAACAGCATGTCTTTTCAGCTCGGGGAACACGCCGTACGATAACATACTTTCTGTTGGAGAACTCGGTTGTGGTCAGTGAAGAAGTGCACAACAAAGTAGATAAAGAGACTTTTTTTGTGCGTCAACATTTCGCCGCCGTTACAGTTACTTGTAATCAACGCGCTGGCTGCAAGTCATGATCTAATTGAAGACCATGATTCCATGTTTAGAGGCGCTTTTCGTGCTGAGACCATTCCAAGATTTACCATTACTTTTCTTTTGTAGAAACTCAAAAGTTACGCTCATGTAGAGCTCATCCGTACATGTTAATTATCACATCACATTGTCACTGCATTCCTTGCTTGCTTGAGACCGCCGTGTCATGTCATGTACTTTAGATATATATACATGTATTTCTGAAGACTAACAAAACCTGTAATGTCTCTCTCAACGAGCAGGGAGGGAGCGGTTCACGCGGCATTGTGTGCTTTGGATGGTAATGAAAGAAAGGTGGGAAACGAAAGGTGTGACAATGCGAGACAGCTTTTAGACGGGACCGTTGTCTTCAGTTAACTATGTGGTGCTGCCTGTAAAGATCTCATCTAACACGCTTACACCGTGAAGGCACTTCCACTGGAATGCCCGTTTTGTTGTTGTTCAAAACGCATACCAGAACAATTATGTACAGTTGTGAACATGTTTATGCTTTTAAAAATATAAAGACGTTTATTAAGGGAGTGGATATATTCACCGCAAAGTACACTTAAGCCGTCTTTTCGTCCCAGATTTTAAGCGCATTTTGAAGGATTGCGTAAAAAAAAGCTTTTCAGTTTTCACCGGAAAGGTGGATGAAATTGATCCATTTGTATTTGATATCGTTTTCATAATAAGTGAAAATAAGTAGAGGCGTTATTTGTCAGAAAACAAGATATTATGCAAGTCTAATATTTTCTGGAAAATATTGACAATTTGGAGCATTGGATGAGTCTACAAGCACAAAGTCATGTTTTACTGTACCTAAATCTCATAGGAATGACATTTCAACACAAACTTTTTCAGCCAGTTCTCACGATGTACGAACGTGCTAAATATTGTCCGACAAAACAGTCGACCCCTCAGGTGCAGGACTGTTGTGAACTATGTGGAACGCTGCCTGGAGCATGAAAACAGTGAAATGAAAGTACACAGATCACCTTACCATGAGGAGCAGACAAGGCGGATGGGGTTGGGTCAATGTGACGCCATCAAACTGGTTATTTTCCACATTTGGGCCTTTAGTCAATAATGAAACCCAACGAGCGTTTGCGGGTGTGAATCGCCTGAGAGCTGAGCTGCTTTGTCTGTCACGGTCTTGAATCATGAAGCACTCACTGCGCAGTCCTCAGAAAGGCTTTATTAAAGTCACAGATGTAAATTCAAGTCATCTTGGAATAATTTTGTTTTTACACACAAAGAACTTGTGTTCTTCCTCGTTGCTGGCTGGGCCTTTTTCCTCTCGCTGTGAGACACCTCCATTCTTCGCCTCACCCTTCGACGCACCTGGATGAAGAAAACAATACGCAAAGTTTGAATGTCGGAATCCTAAGGAGGGGGAGGTCACAAAAACAAGGCAGAGAAATGTGACTCCACTTCACCCTGTCGTTCACTGATTCATGATGATGGCATCTCAATACCTGTCACTCATAAAGAGAACCCATTGTGCTGTCTCCGGTGTTCAGTGGGTCTAAAAATGCAGTGACTCATGCGGCGCTGAAAGCACAATGCCTTGTTTTCATCAGCATTTGCTGCACATCCAGTTTGTGACTCAGCCACGCACTCCGAGCAATGGTTTAAACAAACATAACACGTCGTCAATAGTGCATGAGCTGAAGCTCTACAGAGGGAGGGGGTCCACCCTGTCTCTATTCTCATTATTATTATTATATTATTATTAATATTATTCTCATTTTTCACAGATCATATGTGATAAAAAAAAGTCCCGAACAGAAACCAGATGAATCCCCTTAATGCAAAAGAGAAAACACAGGCTGTGATTTTCCCTTTTAATGAAGCATACGTCAATAACGACCACGTGACAACATTTATGTAGCAAGGTACCTTAATGTGACTTATGCTGTGAAATAGAATGGACAAGGACGTCACTTACCAGAAAAGCTGATGTAACACCACTTATATGATTCATATGCCACCACTACACATCAAAATACAAGTAAGTTGTCAGTATTAGAACATGATGGAAATGTACTGTAGAATACACACAAGTACTTAATAGGAGAATGCATCAGATTAGAATAATGGGGGAAAAGACAAAGATGTTGCAGTGGTAAAGAATCCGGATGTGAAGAATTAGCTAAATACATTCAAAGATTCAAAGATTTTTATTGTCAGTTACACACGCCCTTGTGCTTGGCTTTCCAGAAAGCCGACCAATTTTAAAATTAAAATTAAAATTAAAATACATTATTTACATAAATGTACATGAAATAAAAAATAAAAATGAGGTGACGAGGAAAAGTGCAAAACTGAGCAGGTTGTAAAAGAAAAAAACTTTAAATGAAATGAGTGCAATATAAATTAACAGTACAGTAACAGTGAGTGAATCCTAACAAGCTAAAGTGCAGACCAGTTGTGAGTTATGTTATAGAGTCCTCTCAGCTGTTGATGCCTCTAATGGCAGTGGGGAAAAAATAGTTTTTCAGTCTGGTGGTCCTGCATTTGGCACTTCTGTACCTCCGGCCTGAGGGTAGAAGCGTGAACAGTCCATATTGGGGGTGGGTGGGGTCTTTGAATAAGGAGGCAGCTCTCCTGTGAACCCTGCGGTGGTAGATGCTCTGCAGAGAGGGGCAGTGGGTTCTTGGTGATCTTTTCTGCTGTCCTCACCACTCTCTGCAGGCGTTTGCGGTCCACGGTGGATGTGCTGCCGTACCACACGGTGATGCAGCTGGTCAATATGCTCTCGGTGATGCAGCTGTAGAAGTTGCTGAGGATCTTAGGAGACATCCCAAACTTCCTCAGCCTCCTCAGGAAGTACAGCCGCTGTTGAGCCTTCTTGACCAGCTGCGTTGTGTTGAGTGTCCAGGTGAGGTCCTCGCTGAAGTGGACCCCAACGTATTTGAAGCTGCTCACCCTCCTAACTTCAAGCTCCTGGATGAAAAGTGGTTGATGAGGTCTCCCCTCCTTCTTCATGTCCACTATCAGCTGCTTGGTCTTGTTAGTGTTGAGGGTGAGGTTGTTATCCTCGCGCCATGACACCAAGCTGGCCACCTCCCTCCTGTATGCCGCTTCGTTCCCCCCAGTGATGCGTCCCATCACTGCGGTGTCATCAGCAAACTTCAGGACGATGTCATCCTTGTGGAAGGCGACACAGTCGTGGGTGAACAGGGTGTAGAGGATGCGGCAGAGGACACAACCCTGTAGGGTGCCGATGTTGGTGAAGATGCTGGCTGAAGTCCTGTTTCCAATCCTGACAGACTGAGGCCTGCCAGTCAAACAGCCAGTCACAGAGGGTGGGGTGCACACCGAGTGTGGAGAGTTTATGGGTGAGTTTGTGGGGGACGACCGCGTTGAAAGCGGAGCTGTAGTCGACAAAGAGCCTCCTAATGTAGGAGTCCCTGTTTTCTAGGTGGGAGAGGGAGTAGCGGAGGGCAGCAGCTGTGGCGTCTGAGCTGGACCTGTTGCGCCTGTAGTCGTACTGCTGGGTGTCCGGTATGCTGCTCTGAATGTGGGACAGTATCACTCTCTCAAAGCACTTCATTATGATTGGAGTGAGTGCTACTGGCCTGTAGTCATTCAGGCAGGTGGGTGGGCTCTTTTTGGGGAGGGGAATGATGGTTGTGGTTATCAGTTGAATTATGTATTAATCATATCCGATGAGAAGAGAGGAGACGGGAGAGAGCGCAGAACAACTGATACTGAGATCAAATTGAAGGACTTTTATTTTTTGGTAACAAACGCTACCTGGTGGCAGGTTGGATTTAATTCAGCTTCGGTTCAGAAACTGAAACTGTTTGACTTTATCGACTCCTAGTGGTTGTTTATACAATATAACAAAAATGACTAAAGTAATACAAGAGATATTTTAGTTCCATAAAAGGTTTACAAATGAGGTTATGGCTCAATTAAAAAAAGGTAGGTATAAAGCGAGACATTTTATCATTGGGAAAGTATACTGTATCTTAGGAGAATTTCAATCTTATTATATTGCATTAATTCATAGGCATAAGAAATTTCACTGAGCACACATTTTTTTAATATGAAAATGTACAAGAACAAGCAAAACTACAAATAATAAATCTGTAACTTTTTCTAAATATTTAAAATAAATGTTCCATGTTTAGAAGAAGAGGGGTTTTTTTACAGTGTCTGCAAACTCACAGCACTCGGAGAAATCGATACAGCATAGTATTTCGATATTTTCCGATGCGATATTGTATTGAACTTTTATTATATACATTTTGGGCCCTGGAATAATACAATCAATTGCATTTTCAGTCCACTAGGTGGTGCTGTGTTGTTTTCAGCGTGATTAGTAGGATGTTGGTTAAAACAAAAATGGAGACAATCTGTCCCCTGCTTCATGTGCAAAGACCTGCGGCTACACGTTTATTTTGTACAATACAATGCATTGTTTGAAATACCTGTAATAGCACAGCAGTCCACACACACATGATTTTAGAGATAAATTTGACTCCGTAGATCGTAATACAAACAGGACAGTCAATATTTATGACAGTGTTGGTCAGTTTGTTGCTTAACAATCCCAATTTGCTGAAATGAAAATGATTGAAGTGAGATGAATTCATCTAAGGTTTAAGAATTTTTTTATTTGAGGACAATTTGCAGTGGTAAAAAGGTAATAAATCACAATATATATTGCAAAACTGAGCATAATATCGTATCGTGACTAGATATCATATCGTGGGACCAGTGATTCACATCCCTAGTTGACATTGAACACATCTTCACAGAAACAAGGCGCAACACAACGGCTTGTGTGTTCCCCAAAGGGATTCATTCTTTGTGACAAAATCAATTCTTCTTTGTTTTGGGAATTCTGTTTATTCAGTATAAAAGAATACATTGAAAGCGTACACCCCCAAAAAATAGTAGAAAAATAACACATTGTCAAATTATTATAGTAGAAATACTATAAGTTACAATTATGTATTAATAACTTGAACTTGAGTACCCAAAGATATATTTTTAATTTAATGAAAAAAACGTACAATGTTTACAATATTTTTGATAATGAACATTTTCCCCTCGGCCTCCTGTTCAAAGAGTCGCAGTCGCCTCACTTCTCCCGACCTCAACGGGACAGATGACCAACGGGGCGGTATTTCTCCCATTGTCATGGAGACAGGGGTTCAAGTACGGGTACACGGGCTCAGGGAACTCACATCCGCTGTAAGTGTAAATGTGGCTCTTTGCCTCTGCGTCGTAGAAGGACACCGAGCCTTCCTCGTAGTCCAGGAACACGCCCACTTTCTGGGGCGTTTCCTGGAGGCGGAGGGGGAAGGAGGGGCCGGCACAGACGTTGAGGCTGCCGCCCTTCCGCCGGCAGATGGCCCAGTAGCCGCTGTCGGGACGCACCGTGATGGCCCCCTTCCTGTTGATGGACTCCCGGGCCACGCCGAGGTCCCAGTCTGTTTTGTCGCCAACCTGAAACACACGGTTTTAAAAAAATGCACATCAATCAATCAGTTGCAAGATTTGCTTGACGCGATAGTGCGACTGAGGGTCTGAGCTCTGACCTGAACCACCCAGTAATGTCTCCCAGAGGTGAAGCATTGCTTCCCCAGGATGGACACGCAGGAGTCGAACCTTCGCCAGTCTTCGGGAGGGGAGGGTTTCTTCAGCTGGGGGCTGAGGCTCACCTGTGTTCAACAAAAACAACAACAACATGAGTTGCTGTCACGTAACCACAACTTTGTCAGATATTTAAGTCAGTGACGACGACGCAACCCTTTACCTGTTTCCCGTCTGCAGACAGACTCAACCAGCCCGAAGCCGTCACCGGGTCCAGAGTCACGTCCACTGGAGAAAGAACGCATCACCAAAATTTGCTCAACTGTACTCAAACACTCAGGTGTGCATGTAATGCAATGTGAGATATTATTAGAATAAGTAGAATTAATAAGGTGCTCCCTTTGCATCGTTTAAAATTTTTGTTTTTACCCTTTTAAAACTTGGGAGCATGTTTGTATATAAGGAGTCAAAAGGTCCGGCTTCTTTTTCTGCTTGACTGTAAGTTTCTACGGAGGAGGCGACGAATTAAACTCGGTCAGACATTTGTGTGACAAGATGATGATTTCACAGAAACATACCTGCATATTGATAGAAGTCACTTATTTCTAGGGAGGAAAAAAGGAGAAAAAACAGTTTACTGTTATTATTTCTACATTACAATACACATTCATGGTGGATTCCTATGAACGAACATGAATACGTGAGTGTTTATCTATTTTAAGTCACCGACCTTCTGCCGCCAGTTTATTCTCAAGTTCTTGGAACACGTCCACCAGCTTGGTGAAAGCTCTCCTCACCACCCCCATGTGGCCGGACGGCTGCACCCTGACCGCGGACCAGTCCCTGCCGATGATCGGGGCCCTCAGGGAGGGAAAGCACTGCGGACGGGAGGACGGTGACGCGCGGTCAGTGCACAAACTCGCTGGGGGCCGCGCTGCGTTGCGCCCGGACGTGCCGCTGCTCTAACCTGCAGGAGGTGGAGGGGGTCGTCGCTGCTCTCCAGGTGCTGCAGCTCGCTGCGTCTCCTCTGCAGTTCGTTGATCTCCAGGCCGAGCTCCTGGAGGAGCGCCTCGTCCTTCCTGTGAGCCGCTCCCTGCTTCTTCTCAATCTCGTCGATGAGCGAAGCCTGGTTTTCCTCGATGACGCTTATCACGTTGGTGACCACCTGGCTGATTCTTTCCAGCGCCTGTGCTTTATTCATCTGCAGGTGTGCATGAATCTGTATTAGTTGATGTGTAAATCATGCAAATGGTGCAAGAAGACAACAATGATTGGGCTCGTTAAAATCAAGTGGGAACGTACTGGATATATATGATATTAAAACACAAACCATACCTCGCTGATCTCTACTGAACTGTTGATCTCCTTATATTTGGAGTGTCTGGTCTTTATCATGTCCCGAAACTCTGCTTCCACAGTCTTCATCTGAATCTGCAAATACAGCATCAGGCGCACAGTAAAGAAACTGTTGTCGCGTTTCATCGTGAAAATTAAACCCCAAAAATGGAAGTGGGTCGTTCTCCTCACCCTGACCATCTTGCTCTCCTTCGTGATGGAGATGGTCTCGTGGTGTTTGTGGTCAAACTCTCTGCATTCCACGCAAATGGGGGTCTGATCCCTTTTGCAGAACCTATCCAGGACCTTCTTGTGGCTCTTACAGAGGTGACTGGTGACGAAGGTGCCCGGATCCGCCAGACTGTGCATCGTCAGCACCGGGTCCCTCAGGTGAGGCGTCAGGTGGATCTCACAGTAAGACAGCTGGCACACAAAGCACGACTTGACCGCCATCACACTCTTTTCCTGGCAAATGTCACACGGAACTTCATCGGTTTTTGAATGCTGTCTCTGGCGCAGTCCCGTATTCTGCGTCCTCTTGGGTGGGGCCGGCTTGTACGCCGGCTGGCCCTTTATGGACCTATTGACATAACACAGATCTGGTTAGTTCGAGTCAGACGAGGAAAAAGGTGACAGACGCAAAGCTTTTTAAAAAGAAAATGCAAACAGACTTTTTGAACTGCTCGGTGATGTCTTTCAATCCGACGTTGATCCTGAGTTCTGGGCGGATTTTGAAAACCTCTTTGCACAGGGGACACTCCGACTTATGTCTGGTGTCCCAATAACGTTTGATGCATCCCCGGCAGAAGTTGTGCCCGCACGGGGTGGAGACGGGGTTGTGGAAGATATCCAGACAGATAACGCACCGAAACTGCTCCTCAGACAAGGCGAAGGCCATAATTCTGACTGGAAATCAAACAGCATTATTTTACTTTTACATTCATGTGCACAAATGTACTGGATTTCTTTTACAAATCAATATCCAGATGTTTACATGTAGTTATATCCTGCATTTGCTTAATATTGTGTGTGTGTTTGTGTGTGTGTGTGTGTGTGTGTGTGTGTGTGTGTATTTACTTTATGGTTAACACCTTTACACTGACCTTCCGAATGTTACAAGTTAGTCCCGGACCGTTTATTTCCTTTGTTGGTTTTGTTTGATAGAGATATTAAGTGACCAGTATTTAATCTCTTTTTATTGACTCATTCGAAGAGTTCCTTTAATAAACCGGGTCACAAACAAAAGGTATTTATGCTGCTATTAATACTATAACTACCACTAATTTTACTACACATAATATTAGGACTAATAGTATCATGTCTGTATTTTCAGCAATTTTTAAAAGTTCATTTCAGCTTTCTCATTTCTGCAATTTTAGCAATTCTTTGATATTCGTTTCATCTTTTCTCACTTCTGTATTTTCAGCAATTTTTGACAATTTATTTCAGCTTTTAGCCTTCAGCTTTAATCTTTCAGCATTCCAACGCATTTTCCACAGGAAATGCCTTTTCTAGTTTAGTCTTCATACGCAGACCTCTGTCTCTGTAGAAAGGGAATTACGGCCATTTGTCCAATAAACCATTTATATATATATATATATATATATATATATATATATATATATATATATATATATATTTATATATTAATTAATAGCTACTTTGATTTTACAATAAAAATGTACACTCCTACATATACTTTTTAATTATTAGTTTTTCACGTAACTCTATCCAAAAGATTCTAATCATAATTAACTAAAAGGTCATTTGATGGGTGTGTCAGAATGTTCTGTTCTGCAATTATCTCAGGTCGAGTATTTATATCCTCTTGGCTGCGAGTTGAACTCCGGAGCGATGCTTCCGATAATTGCCCTGTTGTCAAAACGTAACGCATGGAACATTTTAAAGAGTATTGAAACCCGTCTTGAGTACTGGTCCTTTATGCTTCGCCAAAAACTGCTTTTCTTTGAATACTTTTTACACGGCAGCTTGCAGCTTTCTTAAGAGAATCCAGAGCAATAACCAACTTGAGCTGATCAGATGAACGTTTTTTTGAGTAAATCACACTAAAATATCTCCCCTGCATCTCGCTCTGTCTCCATCTTTTTTTGAAGGTACTGTGGAGCAGTACCCAGAATGCCCTTGGGCGGTGTAACAGTCGACAGGAGCCGTGCAGGGTAATAATACCAATAATGTTGGCCAAACCAAGGGAACACTCACATTTCCCTTTTGAGAGAAATTGTGAAAGGCAGTTGAACTTGAAACACAGACTCCTGCGTTTCTCTCTGCGAACATTATTACTCGATGCTCTCCGCTAAAATAGAAATATAATGTCTTACCTGTGAGGCTCAACGGACAGGTGCTCCTGAACACCTGGCAGCAACCGCTCTGAACAGATCACAGAAAAACAAGCTAAAAGTTCCTCCCATGCTGACGTTTGTCCAAGCTGGTAATTCCGGTTTCTTTTCTTCTTTTAAGTGTCATAGGCTGTACCCTAATTGGTCTTTGAACAGTAGTTTGTTTACCCCTTTGTTAACAATGAAATACTTTATTCGTAGCTTTTAAAAACAAGTTTTACACGTTTTCACATGTTTTTTTCACAAGTGAAGAAAGTATGATTATTGTGATTATTAAAATGAGTCATTATTTATCTGAACAAACGGTGACTGATTTCAACCCCCGTGTCGAGCCATGTGGGAAGCTTTGATTAGATTTAGCTAAAAGAAGGAAATAGATATTGTGTTAATTTGCGTTAATATTGTGTTAAACAATCTGATTCATTAGGGATCATCCAACCTCAGACGTCCCTCAAATGACATCAATCAAGCAGGTAGAGATATTAGTAAGTAAGTGCTGTTCCCCAAAGGACACAACGACGGCAGAAATCCTTAGCAAGCTAAAAACACACCTCCACAGACCAGGTAGCACTTTATTAGCACTTTCTGCATGATTCGTAAAAGGGTCCATTTTTTTTCTGCGCCTCACTGTGTAAATTTACTGTTATATTCTGTCTTTAAGTGGAGTTGATGGCATCTGTTCAGGGGCTACTAAAACAGCCAGTTGTCTAAATGTGGCATATTTACGGGAGTATTGTATTAACGTGCACTGTCCCGAACCAAATAAACCAATAAATGTAATTATATTTTTCTTTCTTCTGTTTGTTAAATATTAACAAATGTTTAGAGGTGACAAAGTAACTCACTCGTTGGCTCGCACAGCTCTATGTTTCGATCCCTCAAACATTGACTATTTCCCCAAAACATTTTCATTCCTTTCTGTTCTGTGTCTGATACATTTGATGCTTTGGTAATATATTCCTCAAATCGCCTTCCACGGCTTCCTTGTGCCTCACACTTGCGTTTGCTCGTGATGTCCAGTGGCTCCTGTACAGCCTGTCAATAAGATAATTAAGATAATAAGCACTGGGTGGAACGCACAGTACATCCGTTCCTCCAACTTCCTCTACAATGTGAGTTATAATTAGAACACCTACATGTTAGTACAGATTGAAGGCCGTATCAAAAGGTACCTTACGGCCATCAAATGACGGCATCATCAAACATTTATTATTAGCAAAATGTTGAATAAAATTGAACACAGACTATATGAAAATAGATAGATAGATAGATAGATAGATAGATAGATAGATAGATAGATAGATAGATAGATAGATAGATAGATAGATAGATACTTTATTGATCCCTCAACAGGGAAATTTTGGTGGACATATTAACTTGTTATAACTGATTTATTATACATGCTACATTTTATTCAATTAAAATGTGCACACACGCCTGGAGAAAGACAGGCATTTGATGAAGAAGATGAAGGACGGGTTCCCTCCAAAGGCACAAGGGCTCGTCGGTCCCTCTGTGAGTAAAATACTGTGTTACTGTGCTGACAATATGCAAAGTGGCCTACTGATGATGCAGCCATATGCAAATAACAGTTCAATTAATTGATCATGAGTCAAGTGAACTCAAGTGGATTCAAACCGAAAATTGAAAATGATAAAAAAAAAAGCCATGTTCAAAATATAGGCACATACAGCAAATATAAATATTCAAAATATACAAAATCTGATCAGATAGTAATCTGCCAGACGGCTCGGTGACCTCGAGTCAACACATTGATCGCTGCAGACACACCTGGTGGACGCTGCACGCCGCTGAGTGCACCTTTCTAGTTAAATGCATGTTGTCCACCGCCACCAGTTTACAGCGAAACCCGTCACATGACCTTTGATCTTTGATCTGCAAACGACCCACAGCTGACCCCGGCTATGGGCATTATCGGACAGGACCAACAAACACTAGAGACGACGTCGAGTCCATCGGTCCAAGGCCTCTCGTGTGCTCAGACGTGTCCTTCCTTGTCCTCACGTCCTAAACGAAGGAAGCGTTCAACGTATTAGCGGTGCTCTCAAAAAAATGTGAACCGTTGGACTTGAAATGCAACACCGCCCCTGTGCGAGAGCTACCACTGTGCAGCATGAACGTCACACGCCGCGACACGCCGCCAGGCGCGGTGGAGGAGGGGGAGGGTTCTGGCTGATGAGTAACTGCGTCCAGGTTACGTTTTTCCTGCTTCGCAGCTGGCCCTGCGATGCGTTCAGGCTCATTCACACAGCCGGAGAGTCACCTGCTGTGCCGTCGCCGAGGACACCAAAGGGATGGACCGACTGAGAAGTATGAGAAATATTTAAAAACGGCTAAACAACTATTAGGAATCCGTTTTTTTGTTTGGGTTTGAATTGCTTAAGAGCAAGTCCCAGAACATTCAGTGTAGTTTAAAGTGTTTGTTCAAGTTCCTGTTGCCTTTAGTTTGTGCTAAAGAAGTTGTTTAGTTTTCCTTCTGAGCCTTAGAACCAATAGTTAAGTTGTGTGCTCTGTATTGTGGGAGTAAATGATGAGCTGTAGATTTCATTTCATTTAACCGGACCTTAAGCCCAGTTTACTAAAGGGTCTCCTTGTGTTTCACGATTACAGTGCTATGATTATTTCATAAAACAGTGTGCTGTGCAATGTGCTCACTAGTGATTTCGAAGGTCATTTTGCTGCACCTCTCTTCACACTTCTGACGTGTTATTTCTACTTAGAATTAACAAGACTTTATGCACAAATTTACATGCGTGGAACCTAATTCAGTGTGAATGTCCTGACGTATTCATAGCAAGCCATCATGATCACATGAAACTCCCGTTGGTTGTGTTGGTGCGCCGGGTTCTAATTATGTGGCTGTCTTTTGTATGAAGCAAGGTGTGTGTATTTATCCAGAGCTCGATGACTAATCAAACATAATTCCTGAATTTCAAGAAGTTATTTAAATGCACCCGAGTAGAGTAGAGCACTAGAGAAGTGTTCAGTGTTCAGCTGGAGCTGTTTCATATTTCTAGTTAAGTCAAGTTAAATTTCTACCCGTTCCTGTTTGTTCTGTTTGCACGACGTTTGCACTTCCTCTAACAAACCAACCAATCGTCAAACCTCCTTTTGTCCCCATGTTTGATGTTTAACAGACAGGTCAAATGTTGCCGGAAAAGCAGTTCCTGTGCGCCATCTGTCAGCAGGTGTTCACCGACCCGGTCACCACGCCCTGCGGACACAACTTCTGCCGGGCCTGCATCCGGAGCGCGTGGGACGCCAGCGAGGTCTGCCGGTGTCCCGCCTGCAACGCGCCCTTCGCCTCGCGGCCCGAAATGGCCGTCAACGCGGCCTTCAAGGAGCTGGCGGACGCCTTCAGGCTGCTGGCGGCCCGTCCGGCGGCTCCCCCGCCGCGCTCGGCCGGACCCGGCGAGGTGGCGTGCGACGTCTGCGCCGCGACCTCCCTGCGGGTGAAGGCCCTGCAGTCCTGCCTGGTGTGCCTGACCTCGTACTGCGAAGCCCACCTGGAGCCCCACCGGAGAGTCGCCACCTTGAACCAGCACAAGCTGATGGAGCCCGTGAGCGACCTGCAGGACAGGATGTGCAAGAAGCACCAGAGGCTGCTGGAGATGTTCTGCAGGGACGAGCAGAGGTGCGTGTGCCAGTTCTGCACCGAAACGGCGCACAAAGGTCACCGGGCCGTCACGGTGGAGGACGAGAGCGGGCAGAGGAAGGTACGCAGCTGTCTAACGCGTGGGGCCTTTCCACCGTGAAATGATCACACCATAGTCGTGTTTACTCCCAATGTAAGCGACAAACCTGGCGGTTGCAATTCATATTCCGCTGTTTCAGATGCAAATGAAGAAGACCGTGGCGGACTTTCAGCAGATGATCCAGGAACGAGTGAAAAAAGTGGAGGAGATCAAAAGCTGTCTGAAGCTCAGCAACGTGAGTCCTGTGACGGAAATGTTCATGGCTGACACCATCAACAAACCCTCTCGAAGCCTCTAACTATCGTGATTTGAGGAGGCCGCATACGTACTAATGTCCTCAATATTCTTTTGATCCCTCGTCCAGACGGGTGCAGAGAAGGAGACGAAGGAGAGTGACCGCCTCTTCGCGTCTCTGATTCGCTCGGTCGAGGAGAGACGAGCCGCAGCCAACGTGGAGATCGAGGAGAAGCAGAGGGCCGCAGAGAGGAGGGCGGAGGAGCTCGTCCGCCAGCTGCTGCAGGAAATCACAGAGCTGAAGAGGAGATGCGCTGAGCTGGAGGAATTGGGAGACACGGAGGACCACCTGAGCGTCTTGCAGGTCACAATCACCCCGTAAACTGGAGAGCGATGGGTTACTAAGGAATAAAATAAAATCACCGTTCAAACGTACAACAGTAACGCTGGAATGTCTTTTCAGAAGTCTCCTCCTCTCATGTCAGCCCCTCCCACAAGAGAGTGGACGGAGATCGCCGTGAACCCTGAACTCTGCGTGGGGACGCTGCGGGCGGCGCTGTCCAAACTGGACACGAGCCTGAAGAACGAACTGGACGGCCTGAAGACGGAAGGTAGAGTCAAATGCAAAGTTCCGTCCAGTTAGAACATGGCCGATAATCTTATGATACCTTTCAATTTAGCCTCTTCTAAAGTTTCTAAAGTTTTTATTGTCTCATTATAACATTTTTGTTTTTGTTTTCCTGGAAGAGATGAAGAAGATGCAGAAATATGCAGGTGAGACCTCATTTAATATGAATAAAGTGTGGTGATCAGACTGCTTTAAAGTCGTTCACTGCCCTCTGGTGGTTGTGCTGCAAATAGAAGACAAGATTAAAAACAGGGAACAAATGAACACGTGTGTTTTGGTTAGATCCTCTTTTATTTATCATCATCAAAACCAGGAAAGTGCCATATAATAGTGATATGTAACATGGATGTAGAGACTGAACTCCTCATTCGATCTCGCCAGTCGACGTGGTCTTGGACCCGCACACGGCCCATCCCAACATCGTCCTGTCAGCCGACGGAAAGCAGGCGGGCCGCGGCGAGCTGCTGCACGTCGTCCCCGACAACCCCCAACGCTTCGACCCCGTCATCTGCGTTCTGGCCAAGAGGGGCTTCACGTCCGGGAGGTTCTACTTCCAGGTCAGCGGCTCGACCGGCGAACGAGGCCTTTTTTCGGACCGCAGCTTTTAAAAAAAAAAAAAAATTCTCTCTTATTGTCACTCAGGTTGCCGTGGGGACGAAGACCTTCTGGGACCTGGGCGTGGTCAAGGACTCGGTCAACAGGAAGGGGATGATCACCTCCAAACCGGAGAACGGCTACTGGACGGTGCGGCTGAGGGGCGGGGAGGAGTACCGCGCCTTGGACTCCCCGTCGGTCCTTCTGACCCTCGAGGCCAAGCCCCGGGTGGTGGGGGTGTTTACGGATTTGGAGGAGGGCACCGTGTCGTTCTTCGACGTGGAGGCCAGGTCTCACGTCTACACCTTCAGCGGGTGCATGTTCTCGGAGAGGATCTTCCCCTTCTTCAGCCCGGGGGTCTTCGACGACGGGAAAAATACGGCCCCATTGGTTATCTCAGATGTTAGTCCTCTGTAAAGCACCCACGAGACGGAGACTTTAGGATGAGCTGGACTGACGCAGTTTTTGATGAGTAAGATCTGGTCGTACAGTTCACTGAGATCAAAATCCCCCACAGCCCCAATAAAAGGCATCACAGCCTTGAAAGGTTCAACCTCGGCGTTTTAGGTTTCTAAGGAAATGTGCTTTTCATTTGGAAAAAGATTCAGATTTGGCACCAATTGGGATTATGGGTCACAATAAAACACTTGAACCACCTGAACCCCACTGAGACCTTTGAAAAATACAAAATAATACAATGAAACTGTGACAGTTACAACACACTACGTTAGCATTACTTAGAGAACGTCGTATTTATGATCAGAGCTTACAAAGGTAACGAGAAAAAGTTCTAGCATGTTTCACTCACTGGTGATTTGTTTGTGAAATAAAGAAACTCATTTTACTCTGAATCCAGAAACCTTTTCTGTTTTGCAAAACCTTTGCATTAGCTCAGACGGACGTTTCCATGCGCTTTGCATTCTTAGAGGAGCCACGCCAAACCATGCAGGGAGGATGAGGAAGGAAGCACCGAGTAAGACGCCTCAGTAAACAGTCCACTGGGACGTTATGAAGTTATTGTGTCTGCACAAGGAGGTAACCACAACAACAACAACATTGCCCTTCAAAGTAAAGGTTGTGTAATTGTTTGACCCGTGGATCAAACCCTCCCTGCATGCAGTTGGTTTGACAGCAGGAGAGGAGAGGAGATGTAGGGAAATGTCTTGAGGAAAAAAAAAAAGGCAGGCCTCCTGTTTTGAATGAACCAGGTGAGCAGATTTAAAAGGCCGAATTAAGATGCAAGAAACAAGAGAAGATCAGACGGGGCTGTCCTGAATGACAGCGCCTGCTTTCCGCTTCAGAGGTGAGTTTTCATCATCGTCACAATAATAAAGTGTTTTTTTCCTTAATTACTCTTGAAGATCTGTATCCATACATAGACCATGGAGAGGACACTGCTCTGCATCTTGGTGCTCTCAGGTGAGTAATGAACACCCACTGCATGCTCTTCTTAACCCTTATGGTCAGTGCAAACCACAGGACTAGAAAACTGTATACTTGTTTAGAACTTAATTAAAACGATACTTTGTATCCCTCCAACACAGCCGTCTAATAATACTTTTACTGAAGGAGGACATCGCTTCTCACGTTAAATCTTAATTCCACCCTCGTCCGCAGGTGTGTTTCCGCCCCGAGACACGTCGTCCCTCCGCAAACGTCTGTTCAACTTCGTCGACGAGCCCAAAGCGTGGGCCGACGCCCGGCAGCACTGCCGGGACAGACACACGGATCTGGCCGCCGTCAACGACGAGGAGGACCTGGTGAATCTGTCCGGGCTGATTGCGAGCGACGTCCCGCGCGCCTTCCTGGGTTTGTACAGAACTTGGGGTTGGACCCTGACGGACGACGACGACCACAAAGAGGGAGAGGAGGCCTACTGGAACTGGGGGAGTGGGGAACAGTTGAAAAAAGAGCTCCATTGTGGGAGCGTCGGCGAGGCCGGCCAATGGTTCGCCACCAACTGCAGCGTCAGTTTGAACTTCACCTGCTACGACGGTACGTTGCGGCTTCATCGTTTTGGGTCGGTGATGCTGAAAAAAAACGCACAATCTTGTTGAGTTTGAAGACGGTGCACACGCAGTCAAATGGGTGCTGTTGTGACCTGTTGTCATTTGCCATTTTACACAAATAAATGACTTTGTGCACAAACTCGTCAACGAGCAAAAACATTCATTTTTACGGGTTTAAAATATTTTTTGGAAAACCTCATGAAGTGTCATTGTCATTGTCACATGCTGTTTCTTCTCAGATCGTTTTATTTGGTGTAGCAATTCATATGGGATGTTATGATAACCAATTGAATTACTTTAATTTAGTATGGGACGAGCTTTCCATTTCAGTTAGATAGATAGATACTTTTTTAATTTTGTTATCACAGCAGCATGTACAGGGAAGAATAGAATAAAAAGATACACATTACATACACATTATATACAATATAATAATAATAATGATAATAATAATATAAAAAATATTACATTATTAAATTAAATTAAATTAAATTAAGTAAATAAATAAATGCATAAATAAACTTTCCAACGGCTAACCAGGTCTCTTCTCGCCATTTTGCAGCATCCAAAACTGCCCCCTCTGAGAGGTTTTCCCTGGGGCCGGACGCCAGGAACTGGCGCGACGCCCAGAGCTACTGCAGGGGGCGCTACACGGGCCTGGCCCGGGTGAGGAACCGGGCGGAAAACGAGCAGCTGCAGAAGATGGCGAGAGGGCACCGGGTCTGGATTGGGCTGTCGGGGACGGATTGGGCGTGGTCCGACGGCGCTCAGCCCTCGTTCACACCCTGGAGGCCGCGGGGCCCCTCGGCGGCGGGCGCGCTGGGGGATTGCGCCGTGCTCGTGCTCGACAGCAAACCTGTCGCAATGTCAGACGGGGATTGTGCTGAAAAACTGCCCTTTTTCTGCTACAATGGTAAGCAGTGGTTTTTCTTCAGCCACTTTTTACTTTTTACATTAAATTCATACGGCTCCCTCTTATATTGTGTCCAGATCCAATGAGAAAAGTCTTGTTGAGGCTGGAGCTGAGCGCTGACCCCTACGCGGACATGAGAGCCCCCGATGTGATGGACTCCATCATGAAATGGGTGACTTACACCGTTGAGGGATTTCTGGCAGCTTGCGTGGATTCATGAAACCACAGCTAACGTCCGGCACCCTGTAACCCCTGATGACACTGCCAACAGCTCAGAAGACCGGCCGCGTCACCTTGGTGGTCTTTTTTCTGTTTGCTAGGTGGAGAAGAAGCTGAGCGATAAAGGAGTGACTGAAGATGTAAAGCTTAGCTGGTGGAAGCTTCCAGAGAAGGAGACGAAGCCTGAAGAAGAGGAAACAGAACCAATGGAGCTAGTGTGTTTTCCCTGATTCACATGGTTAGATATATTTTTTCTCTTGAACGTTCACTTGATCTTTGTCAATATATGGTAGTAGTATATATGAAGAGTTTATTACGTCCATTGAGCGTGTTCATGTAAGCACACATGTATGGTCATATTGTCATTTTGCGTTGCAACTTACCTTTAGCAACAAAAAAAAAACATTTTTGCTCAGATAACATCAGCCTTTCTAGAGGTAAAATCCCCAAGACACACAAATAAATTATGTTGGCAAAGATAAAAAGCAAATCAGCACGGAGACCCACAGGCGTGTGGACCTTTTGGTTTGACTGTTTTTTAACAGATTAAATGTCGTATATCGTCTAATCTGTAAAACAGTGGCGTGAAAACAACAGTTTAAGGGGCATTATGTAGCATACTTTGATACCTTGATGTCTAATGAAGGGGGGTTGAATTGCGACATCCACTTCAGATGAATCCTCCAATGCTTTATTTTGTAATTCATTCAAATCTGTTTTTCATTGCAACTCTCTCTCACTCCCTCAAAGTTTAGTATTTTGTGTCTGTCCTATTGTGATTATCTATATATTTTCTGTCTGTACCATGTAGAGTGATTTTGATTGACATTAAACCGCTTGGGAACTTAATAACAATGTTATAATTTTTATTCATCAATGTCAAGCGAACGCTTAAATGTGTTGAGAATAAACAAAGGAGGCTGTAAAATACCTTTGAAAAGGTACCAACACCCAATAAAGGATTAAGTATTGGAACGCGTCCCCCGTGTGTCCAGCGGTTCCCACAAAACTCGCCCCATCCCAACCGAGCTCCCTCATTGGTCGACCGCGCCGCCCATCACGCACGTGACTCATTTCGCAAGCACGTGACCGATGTTGTCGTTATTTCGCTTCCGCCTTCGCTGTTCTCGCCGTGTCATGTGGATGTCAAAACTCCCGAGCTGACTGACGGGGCTTCTTTGGCGTCGAAGTCTACGCGGTGGCGCCGTAAAAATAAACCGCATCTCCGCAGCGGCACTTCCGGGATTTTCCTCCCCCCCCCCCGCAGAGCCAGGAGGCTCTCCGTGAGGCCGGCCGGCAGCGATGGATGACGGGGAGCGGTCGCCGCTGCTGCCCGAGCAGCGCGACGGGGCCAACGGCGTCTCTCCCGGGGGCGGCTCGCTGGGATACCTGCCGAAGCCGCACAGTACGTCCGCCCGTCGGTCCCTCTGCCGGGGACGACTAGTTATTTACTGTTGTGTACAAGTTGGAGAACATCGTCAACGTGTAAATAAACGGAGCCCGTGTTAGATTTTTTTTTTTTAATGGCGAGTTAGCCTGCTAGCTAGCAGATTAGCTAACGTCAGCTATAAATACTGAAGTTACGGGAACAGACTCACAGATTTATCCCTCGCGTTTAATGCGCCGTTAATACAGTTTAACGGCGTTTTGAAGCTTCCTTCTCACATTGCAGATTACAACACTAATATGTAATATTAGGACAAACGCAACACAGTGAGTCCTGCATTTTAAACATAAATGCTGCTTCAATAAAAGTGTGTGTTTATGAGCAAAATACACTCAAAGTAAAGATGTTCCCTGGTATTGTTTTACTATATTATAATAGATGGTGTCTTTTACTGCTGTAGAAAAAAAACACTTTCATGCTGCAGTTTATTAGAAAAAAAAGCTGTGAGATTCAGTAATAAAACATTATTTCCCTCTGAGATGATGATATTCACCTTGGTGGATTAATGAACTACCATTTTTACCTTTCAATTAAACCTTTTAAAAGGTGTTTGTGGTCTCCAACTGTATCATACCAAATAAGAATTTAACATTGCACAGACAAAAAAATGTATCTACGTTAATAAAAATAATCAGCCCCGGTATCATTCGCAGACTTTAAGTATCCCGCTGGTGTAATCAGGCCTTCATCTCCGCTTCATGTCCTCTTTCCTCCTCCTCGCTCCTTCCCTGTCTGTCACACGCTGGTTATGACGTCACGATAACCGGTATAACTGCTTCGCCGTATCTGCTGACGGACACGTGACTCCCTGTGTGGAGTTCCATTGCTGCCCTGACGACGTGCGGCGTTGTCTTGTTTGTTTTTTTTCGACTGCGTCTGTATCGCGTGCATCCACCTGCGAAAAAAAGCCTCGATTTCGTACGATAATGAGCTGAACGTGTAACCCGAACCGCGCCCCCCTCTCTCCAGGTTTGGCGCCGTTCGCCAGCCCGGTGGCTGCCGGCGAGCCGCCCCCTCCCTACTCGCCGCAGGGCAGCCCGGACAGCGGCAGCAGCGCTCCGGTCATCAGCTGCCGCGTCTGCCAGAGCGCCATACCCGTGGAGGGCAAGGCGCACCAGCACGTGGTGAAGTGCGACATCTGCAACGAAGCCACGGTAATCGGGCGGGTCGGGGGACGGGGGTGTCGGGCCGGTGACGTGGGAAACGGAAACCGCTGGAGCGAAATGAAACCCCGCGCGGAACCTCCGACGCGGTTCCTCATTGTTCCGTCCTCTTGTCTCCGCAGCCGATAAAGAACGCCCCCGTCGGGAAGAAGTACGTCCGCTGTCCATGCAACTGTCTCCTGATCTGCAAAGTCACGTCGCAGAGGATCGCCTGTCCGAGACCGTACTGGTGATGATCTCTTCATTATTTGAGCCTATTTTTGCTCCGACTGAAACGATGGAGAGTTGTGACCCACTTTAGATGAAAAGGATTCGGATGTCGCCGGTTTGAAATCGACCCGCGTGTTCAATAACAAACGTGACGCGCCAGCTTTAGATCTCCTCCTGTGGTTTAGATCATCGCAGACCGGCTGGTGTCTTTAAAGGCGCAATCATGTGGGACGTCTCCCGTTGGTCATAGATGTTTCAAATGCACCCTTTTTTTTTTTTAACGTTTCTTTTCTTCCTGCCAGTAAACGCGTCATCAACCTGGGACCCGTTCACATCGGCAGAGAAAGTCCCGAACCGCAGCATCAGCCCGTCGGCGTCCGAATCATCTGTGGACACTGCGCCAACACCTTCCTGGTAGGGAACACGCGCGCACACACGCCATTTTGAAGGTGCAAACTTTGCTTCTTTAGTCGTGTGATGTTTCACTTCCTGTTTCCAGTGGACGGAGTTTTCTGACAGGACCTTGGCCCGATGTCCACACTGCCGAAAAGTGTAAGAGCCTCAACAATTCCCCTGTAAAAGCGGCTTTTTTGTTTCTTCAACTGTTCAAGCGTTACTCCGGCCTCTTGTTTCCAGCTCTTCTATTGGTCGGCGGTACCCCAGGAGGAGGAGCTTGCTGTGCTTCCTGCTGTTTGTTGTCCTCGCCACCTCCACCGCTGGACTCATGGTGTGTGTGTGTGTGTTTATGTGTGTGACAGTTTTAGAAGTTATTAATAATAATGCATGTAGAACAAACTACAGTCTTGATGTGGTTTTGAAGGTCTTCAGTATTTCAAGCTGTCCGATGCTTCAATAGAATGGTGGAGACGGAGTTTATTGAGTTTAATAAAAAATAAATAAAAATAAGGCCTTTGTTCCCAGTGGATATCTTGATCACACACATGATTTGCAGAGTGTCAAGAATCCAAGAAAAAGCGTGAAAGAGATGCTCGACCTTCTTTGGCCTCGTCGTATCTTTTGAGTTGACTCATCGTCTGCGTTCCTGTGTCTTCAGGTCGGAACGTGGACGCCCGCCCGGCACTCTAAAGGGATCTACGTCTCATGGGTGCTGCTGATCCTGCTCGCTCTGTTCACCATGGCGAGAAGCATCTACTGGAGGTGTCTGAAAATCAGCGACCCCATATCCAACATCACGTAGAGAGAGAGAGAGAGAGAGCGAGAAGGTAGATGAGAGGGCAAGTGGATGAAGAGTAGGACGGAAAGAGTTTGTAAAATGAGAGGACGGGAACAAAATATACAGGCAAAATCAAACTGCACACACGCCAGAATGGATTTATGGCGCCCGTTGGGCCCTTTGCTAAGCCCCGCCCCTACACTTTCTGAGAAAAGCAAATAAGTGACTTCAGATAGAATCGGACGGAACGGTACGCAATGAGTGGAGGATGTCGGACTGTTTTAAAAGAAAGATAGAAAGCTACGGGATCACCATGGCGATTGAGACGTAAAGACTACTTGTACTTTGTCTACTGTTAAGTCATTGAAAACCAAAGGCAGCGCCGAGTAGACGTTCGGTCTTCATTCACTATCCAGCTTAGCACAGAAGTGCTAATGCTAGCGTTAGGAACGAACTTCCTAGTGTCACTATTACCCAACGTTTACCAATGACATTTTAAACGAGGGCGTGGTCGGAGCTGGCTGATGCTACGCTATGATTGGCCAGTCTGCCTCAGGGGGGGCGGAACTTAACGCTTGCTCGAGTGTCCAAACATCTTAACAAGCAGGATAGTTTTTTGTTGTATTATTACAAACTGGGGATTGTGGTTCCCACAGAGATTACATGAAGACAAAAACTAGATATTTTCTGAGCTGGTGGTCGAACGTGACGTTTCAAAGCCCGGTGCTGCTGTTCAATTCACGACAATGTATACAGGTTTTAATTCTTGTGACCTCAAATTATGAAATCTGTGTTTCCTCCCAAGAAATGCAATAATAGCAAATATCAGCTTAGCTTGAGGTGAGAACGCAGTGCAGGAGGGTTTCCTTCTACTGAGCGGTGTAATCAAAATCTTTGTGAAACAATACTTTTGCTTATGTGTCCTTTAAATAATTTAACCCAGAACGTTTGTTTTTCCCGCCATTCTAGAAGAATAAATGACTCCTTTATTGTAATTAAATGTTAGGATTTTAGGGAAGTGCAAATATTGTTTTTTGATTAAGATCAAAAGGGTTTATAACCATGCGTTTACGTCTACGGCCAGGTATCGGAGTATAAAAATAACATGTCCTTCTTGGGGCGTTATTCACGAGATAACCAGATAAAATAATGAGGAAAATGTAATTTACATAATTATTGGCATTAAGAGTAAGCAGCAATTTTTCAAAGCATCTTGTCAGGGTTCAGGTCATCTCACACGTGGATTTTGGGGCATTTGGTTTAATGTACTTGCGATTATTTGATTTAATTAATAAAAAAGCTCTGCTAAACTTTTAACTAAAAGGGGCTTTTTCACTTGTTTGAGTGACTTTAAGAAATCCTTTGAAGACTCTTAAGTCCAGTTCTCTGTTGAGTGTAAATATTTGCTGATCTTTTTCTGACTGTACAGAATTCTGTTGATTTCCCCCTTTTGAGCATTTAATGTACGTACTCGCTGACTATGAAACACGTTGCACTACACTGACGGATGTGCTCCTACTGTTTGCTCTTGTCTATTATTCCGGTGGATGGATTGTATTTTTCTTTTTTGTATATTGTGAAACAAAGTAATACTTTTAACAACGTCCTCTGCCTCAATGCCTTTTTTATTCTTGCAAATTAATTACTATAATATTGTTTTAATATTTACAATGTTATTCAAACCACATTTTTGTGTAACTTAACTTCTCAAGCACGAACTGACTAAAAGTAACATTTAATACTATACGGTAAACTTATGTAAAACATTTTTTCCCCCTTTAATATGAGTGCTGAGCTGAGAAGCACGAGAGGGCACCATAACCAAGTTATATCATCTTACAGTTTAATATTTGTTAAGTTCTTGGATACACACTCAAACATAAAGGAACTAATTATAGTTTCAGTTTGTGCTCAGTTAGTTCAGGAATCACATGTGGCTTTAGACCCTGCAGGGGGCGGTACAGCTGTCCGCCATCACCACTTTCACATATTTAATAAAAGTTCAAACTAAAAGTGGGGATCAGTCGGAAACGGAGCCTTGAGAACTTTGTGTGGAACTGCTCTGCGGTTTCAGTCGAAGCTCCTGGAAATGTTTCTGTTAAGAAAAGAAAAAGCAGGTAAACACAAACAAACAAAGAGTGTGTTTGTTGGCGTGTGTGTGTGTGTGTGTGTGTGTGCGTGCCTGCAGGTTGTCGTGGTGTCTGCGGCTGCTGCAGTGCAGGTCCTTGGCGGCGCTCTCGGTCAGGTAGAAAACGGAGCACAGGTTGCAGAAATAACCCGACTTGGGGACCACGAACTCCCGACCTGGAGAGGGAGGACGTGAACGAGGTGAACCGGAGGGGCGAAGAAACAACAGCATCTCGGGACGACTTCAAAGGAAGCGGGAGTCTCACCGAGCGGGTTGTTGGGTTTGAACGCCGGCAGTTTGATGTCGGCGGCGACGCACGGAGACTGAGAGCGAGATCGCTTGGCTTCGGGTCCCAGAAGCTCCCTCGTCCGCTTACTGGCAGCTGAGGAGAAGGAAGGAAGGACCAGGAAGTGGTTTAAACGACCTGTGTGGATCTCACTGCCTCAGGATTTCAAATGTTTTTCTCTTTTTGTTGCATAAACTCGTTATATTGGAGAGAAGACGACATCTCTGCAGCCAATGACACTAAACTAGGGATTTCAGGCCCAAACTGTCCCTGTTTAGGTACAAATATACGCACACTGGAATGCGTATGGAGCCAAAACGAATTTGGCTTAATTCTATACAACTTATAGACCTTGCAGTAGTATTTCAAAGAATTCTGTGCACATTAATATGTGAAATCAATGGAGGACTCTATGGATTGTGTGGCCCTTTACCTGATCATAGACTCAATGTTTGGAAATGAAAGACCGGAAAAAGGTTTGTATTCTGATTTCTTCATTTCTTTCCCTCAGAAGCGTGTCCTTGTTTTACGACCTTTGTACCTTTAATGTCCCACTTCTTCTCCTCCCCACATGGCTCCTGGGTCTGGTTCTCAGGATGCTGCGGCTGCGGCTCCGGCTCCCCCCCGGCGGCAGCATCAGTCTCCGTCCTCTGAATCTCCGGCTGGCCGACACCCGACAACGCAGAACGACCTCTGCCCCGCGACGGGGGGGCGTCGGTTGCAGATGGAGGCAGCAGATCGCTGGCGGCTGGCTCCCTTTCTTCAGCGCTCTCCTCTTTTGTGGTCCCCTTTCTCACTCTGGCCGATTTCCTCACTGTGGGAAAAGACAACAAATCGGTGAAGCAGACCAGTGAGAGCCTTCCGCATTCCAAAAGGGGCGGGATCATCCGCCATTGGTCCATTCGTCGGTGTTACCAGGAGTTTGTCGGCTTCTCTTCTTGGGTCGTCCTCGTTTCCTGGTTTGCACCGCTTCCTTTTCCTCCTCCTCCTCCACCTCTCCCACCTCGTCTACCGTCACAAAGTGGACACTGTCTTCTAAAGCTGGACAAAACAAAGTGGGATTTATTCATGATTTTTTATGAGTTTACCTCAGCAGACTTTAGGTGAAGACGCAGTAAAATTCACAAGTTTCTACCGATGTTTAATGTGGAATCCAAGGTGAGAGTCATCCGCCCACCGGAGATGTGGAACGTGCAGGTGTTCCTGATGCTGAACTACGTGGTGACGGAGCGACACAAACCTGAGTCGTCATTGCTTTTGCGTTTGGCAGATCTGCTCTCAGCTGGCTCTTCGTCCGGCTGCTCCTCCTCATCGTCGCCAGCTTCATCCAAAGTCACCAAAGCCTGAAAGCATCTTGTATTAGTTGAGCTTCCCTTTGGGTTCACGTGTGAATGTGCACTTCACAGTGATTTCCCCACAGAAGAAAACTAAACTTTTACCTCTGGGTCCAAGAGGTCCACGGACTCCTCCTCCTGGCTAGGTGGGCGGGGCTTCCGAGGGCTTTGCTCCACCTTCCCGTCCTCCTCTTCTCCTTCTATGAACTCGTCCAGAGTGACGAGCGCCTGCAGCTCCGCCCCCGTGATCTCGCCGTCCCACTCCGTGCCGCTCGCTGCTCTCTCCTCTCCGGCGTCATCTGCTCCCACCTCATCCAGAGTCACCAGCTCCTGGGGGTCCACCGCCCCCGTCTCCTCCTCTTCCCTCCTCCTCCCTGCCCCGCCTCCTCTACTGCTGCTGCCGCTCCGGCTCCTTCGCTCTGCATCCCTGGTCCTCCTCTCCTCGCTCTCCCTGGTCCTCCTCGCTGCTCGCTCCTCGGCGATCTGCTTCTCCTTTGCGGCGGCTTGTCGCCTCCTCAGCTCCTCCTCCTCGGCCGTGTCGTCGGGGTACTCCTCCTCCTCCTCGCTCACCTCGTCCAGGTTCACCAGACTGCGCGCCGTGTCGTCTTTCTCGCCGTCCATTCCAGGACCGGCGGGATCCCTCTGAGGTCCTGCAGGAGACGACTCGTCCACGTCGTCGACGATCCGATACAGCGGCTCCTCTTCCACAGCCCCGTCGTCCTCGCCGGCACGCGGTGAGGCGTCCTCTTCTTCAGCCGATGCCCCTTCCCGTGTCTCGTCCCCTCCGGTCAATAGTTGATCGTCATCCAGAGAATCGATGATGCGATACATCGGCTCGTCCTCCTCTCCGTCTTTGGGCGATCCTGTGAGCGGTTCACTCCTCAGCCTCTGCTGGTCCACGTCCATCAGAGCGCTCTCCGCCTCGTCCTCCACGGAGTCCAGGACCCGATACGCCGCCTCTTCCTCGCCAGGCGCATCTTTAGATGCTGATGTTTTAGTTGTTTTGGCTCCTTTCTTTGGTCTTCCCCTCGTCCCTTTGCTTCTTGTAGCGGGTCGCTCCTCCTGACTGAACTCGCTCACCACACTGCCGCTCCTCCGTGACGGGGTGCTCGCTCTCCAAGCGCCTTTCTCTCCCCCGTTTGGTTCCTGTGACTCTCTGGCGGGAGTTTGCTTCCGTCCCGTCGGGGTGTCTTCGGTCTTCTCATTTGAGGCCTCTTTCTTCGTCGTCCGTCCTCTTCTTCCTCTGGTGGCTCTTGCTGTCGGTTCCTCATCGTCCACAGAGTCTAAGATCTTGTAAGTAGCCTCCTCTGCTTTGTTGGACGCGTCTGTGAGATCCACTGTGGTTTTGTCCTCTTTCTTTCCTCTCGCACTTCTTCTTCTGACAGACATCTCCGGGGTGGCAGCGAGTCGAACCGGTTCTTCTTCTACAGAATCTACTATCTTAAACTCAACGTCTTCGGGGACCTCTTTGTCTTTTTCGGAAACCTTTGCAATGAGGTCCGGCTTTGACCGCGTCTCATATCTTTGACCCGCTCTGTCTGGTTTCTTTGGGGACGGCTCCTTCTCGTCCCTTGTGGACGCGGTGGTTGTGGGTTCACTCCTCTTGGACGGCTTGTTGTCTTTTCTGGCGGTCGCCGTCCCTCTCGAGTTTCTTCTTCCTTGGTGGCCGGTCTCAGAGTCCGTAGTCATTGGCTGGTCCTCCACCGAGTCAATTACCCGATATGCGTCTTCCTCGTCCTCCGTGGCCAGGATGTCTTCTTGGGAGATTTGGCCACTGTTGATTTCATGGTTCTGGCCGTGATCTTCTGCTGAAGTGAGATCGTCGATCGGATCCAATATCTCAAAGGCTTCTTGTCCAGTTACGTCCCTTTCTGGGTCCTTGGGAGTTTTCCTTGTTTCCGGCGTCAGGAAGAGAACGGTCTTCATTTGGAACCGGTCTGTCACCATTATCCTTAGCTTTGACTTCGTCCTCTGCTGTCCTCTTCTCGTCCCCCATGTCCCTCGGCGTGTCTTCACTACCTGCATCTAACAGCTGTAAATGATCCCCAGACGTTCCCGTGGAGCTGTCCTCTTGTCCTGTAGCGGCTTCGCCTTCTGTAACGCTGTCCAACACCTGGAGAGAAGCGTCAACCTCCATCTCCTCACACCTCGGTGGGCCGGTTAGGACCTCGTCGCCGACGCCGTCCGCCACCTGGAGGCTTTCGTCACGCAAAGTCTGGCCTGCGTTCGGTCCGCTCGTCTGGGCTTCAGAGCTGCGTGTTCGCTCCCCATCGTCCATCGGGTCATCGGTTCCGTCCCCGAGCGGACCAACAGCTCGGTGGCTTTGGTCTTCTTCCACCTTGGTACGTTTGTCAACATCATCTTCTTCCTTTTCTTCTGCGCTTTGCTTCTGCTGTTGTGTGTTGACGTTAATGTCGATCTCCAGACTCTCTGACCCACGTTCTCCGTGAGGCGGATGCGTCTCTGATGAGGTTTCTGTTAGTGTCTCTGATGAGGTTTCTATTAGTGTCTCTGATGAGGTTTCTATTAGTGTCTCTGATGAGGTTTCTATTAGTGTCTCTGACATCTTTTGGTCGGACTCGTCCACCGTGCGCTCTGCGTCTTGTCCTTCCAAAAGCTGCTCGGAGAGACTTCCTGCCGAGGACGTTGCTGCCGAGGACGTTGCTGCCGAGGACGCTGCTGCCGAGGACGTTGCTGCCGAGGACGCTGCTGCTGAGGCGATCCTCTTTGTTTCCCGTGCAGAGGACGAGCGGGTACGTAAACCGGAGGACGCAGCGGTGGAGGCTTTGGCCGCAGAATGTGGAGACGAGGTTTCAGTAGACAGCGGGGACGAGGGGACGGCCTTTCTGGCCCTGGCGGAGGGTTTGATGGAGGACCTGGTGGGTGAGCCACAGACCGAAGAGCTCAAGTCTTCGGTGGACTTGGATGAGGGAGGAGAGGCAGATGCTGTGCTTTTAGAGTCTTTCCAGGACCCCGTTGAGGTCTGTTTGCCAGCGGACACTTGGAGGCTTTGTCCCTCTCTTCCTGGTCCGGAGGACTGCCTGGATGAAGAGGAGCCATGAGGCTCGGGGCTTCTGTCGCCCACGTCATCGCCGACCTCGTCGACAGTGACAAAGTCATCCATGTTGAAATTAAGCTCATCGAAGCGAGCGGCATCGGGCGAGGCCATGTGACACGTAGCATCATCCTGAGCCTGAATACGGGACAAAAGGGACCATGAATCAGTTGGCTTTTCAATTAAAAGCAACTAAACGTTTATATTTGCATATTTTGACAGAATCATCCAGGTCTCCCCTGTGAAAGGCTCAAATGATGGACACAAAGACGACAGGAAGGTTTTTGGGAATGAAAAACGAGGCGGTTTACCTGCGTTTGCGGCGCGTCTTCAGCCGCTGCATCTCTCGCGCTTCTGCTGCTTCTGCTGGTCCTCTGGAGAAAGTATTTACAGGTTAGCGCCACGTGAACGAAGGGGGAAGACATTTATGACGCAGGGCCGTGGAGGGACGGCGTGGACGTGAGCACCAGCTCGTCCCCTGAAGCCGCTTCAAGGTCCAGCTCCAGAACCAAGCGTCCCCGTTTCCTGACCAGGTGCTACAACGCGTTCCTGGCCGGTTCATAAGGGGTCGGCCTGCTGCCGACGACAATGAAGGCCACATCTCACCTCCTTCTCCTCGCTCCTGGAGCGGCTCTCTCGGGTGAGCCGGTGGTTGCGAACTGCCGCCGCGATGGCCTGGAAAACGTCGGCGTTAATCTGAGGAAGCGCGGCGAAGCTTTCTTGGGGCGCGAGCGCTGTGGCTGACGGGGAAGGACCCAGATCAGAGGTCACATCAGCAGTAAAGGCTGACGTCGCGAGTGGCTCCTCGTCCTCCCGTTCTGCTGCTTTCTCTACGTCTCCGGGACCAAAAGCGGACTCGGTGGCTACTTTCTCCTCGTCCTCTTCCAAGGAGGCGTCGCTGGCGGCACCAGCACCTGGTCCTGCTGGGACGGGCTGAGCAACGGTGGATCCACCTGAGCCACCGGTTCTCTCGGCAGGTTGTGACCCAACATCCGGTAGTCCAGGTAAGGAGGGCGGGGTTGGACGCTTCGCAGCAAGGGGCTCGGTTTGGACTTTGACGGAGCTGTCTTGTAAGTTCTGGTTCTCGCAAGAATATTGAAGACGCTGTTTCAGGCTCTTCACACTGAAACCACAAACAGAAAGGACACGAACCAGAGAGTTTAATAGAAAACTGTTCATCCAGCGAAATGTGCCACCAGCTAACAGCCTACAAGGTCACAACAGTCATCAAATGGATCATCGTCTCCACGTGAACCCGACAGGAATCCACCACAAAGGGGACGTACTCACGTCTCGACATGTTGAACTTCACTCCTGCAGAGAGAGAGAGAGAATGTTTTAAAGACAGGGACGCATACAAAGGCAACCTGGAGACTGAGTGGGGAAACACAGGTGTTTTTATGGGGGAAATGGATCTCATGCACTCTGGGACGTCTCTTCTAGATTGAAACTTCTACGCGGTGTTTCCACATCTGGATCACATGTTTCCCAGATCGATCCATCGGTCTATCTTCTATCTGTCTGTCCAACATTCCTCCAACATCTGCTTCCTGCTCCAGTCCGTCCTTCTGATGGGACAACGTGGACCTCTGATGTGTAGAAAAGCGTCTCTTCACACCAAGAAGCTTCTCGCTGGTCTCAGGGAGAAGGAAGTCCCTTTGCAGCTGAATTGTTCCATGAATCCTGTCTGTACTTACGGCTCATGTTTGATAGCTTGTGTGTTCTTTAGGACTTTCCTATGAGTCTTAACCAGCTTCAGGTACTTTGATATCCACTTTATCCAAAGATTCACAACACATTGGTCATTAGGAAGAAAGATCTCACAGCGCTTACCAAGCTTCAGGTTTATCCGTGGACCCTTTTAAGACATTGTTCAATTCCTTCACCACCTGGGCTACAGCGCCGGAGTCCGTCATCTCGATGCATATCTGAGAGGGGAGGACAGTCCAGGACACACAGAGAGGAGCGAGGGATCAAGTCAGTGAGATGGAAGCACACGAGTAGAACACGTACATGAAGAATTCTGAAGGTCAAACAAACTCAAATTATTTTGTTTAAACGCAACAGAAAATCCAGGCCGTTTATGAGTCAACTAGCTCAAGTTAGCACAGCTAGCAGCCAACGCTACGGACTGAAGGTCCACGGACACCTTAAAGCAGCACTCGAGGGGAAGTGAACATTAAAGAAAACATATTTACGCCCTTTGCAGATGGAACTGAAGTGATCAGTGACTTTGATCCACTGACATGGGATTCGGTTTATATGTCTGAAGTGGTTTAAACGTCACATTTGTCCTCTCGCACCCTGTTGGCGAGCGGCAGGAAGCCGGCGAAGGACGCCACGGACGCCACGGCGCCCATGACGGCCCTCGTGATGTGCGGCGACGTCTCGGAGGTCTCCACGCACAGCAGCCGCTCCTCCAGACCCTCCGGCTCCGGGACCCCCTGAAGAGCAACAAAAGGTTTTCAGGACCAAAGACGAAGACGCCGCCTCCACTTCAGGGCGGATTTAGAGACGTGGTGATGGACTCACAGCGTTGCTCCACTTCATCAGAGTCGCGTACATCGTCTCCTGCAGAAAGATCAACGACAGGAAAGGTTCATATCTGCGTTTAAACGTATGACAGTAATGTTGCACAGCCCACCGATACCAGAACAGTCTCAATACCTCAATACGGTGAGTATCACCATTAAGACCTTATTTCACACCAACATGTCTTTGCATAAGTAGGGAAACACGTTTGTATTTGCGGGCTTATTCATGGCGAACCCGGTGGTCCGGTACCAGGACTCCTCTGAGGAGCAGGAATAGGACCATGTTGGCTTCGCTCACCGGAGCAAAGAGCTGATTGGGAGTCTGCTACATACGTCACATGGGATGTCGTGCAGTGGCTCCTCGTGTCCGTACCTCAGTGGAGAAGGGATTCATGTCCTCCAAGACAAAGTGAGCCGTGAGCGGGCAATCCAGCACAGAAACCTGCTTTCTTAAACGATCCCGGACGAAACTGCAGCACGAAGTCCAATCAGCGAAAAACACAAAGGCCTGGAGGTGCGAGCGGGAAGACCGGAAAAGGAAAAACAATCAAACTTCAAACGACACCGCTGCGTTGAATTAACGCGACAGCGAGCACGCAGGCGTGTGCCCCCGTGGGGGCGTGCGGTCCGTGAGGCCTACCCTCCTCTGCAGAGGTAAGACCACCACGTCGTAGAACGCAGAGGAGAGGCTCCATCTGGGGAAAAAGCGCCGGACCAGCTTGACCACGTCGTCGTGCCGGTAGTTTCCCTCCGGTAATCCGGTCAACATGACGGTTGGGATCTTGGGGCCGCGCACGGCCTTCTGGGAAACACAGCGTTCAAAGCAGAATGTCCTATTAACGCCCGTCTCAGGGGGGGATTTGGACGGCTTATCAAACGGTCAGTATTGGCTTCTGGGGCGATTAAAAACGGTCCATTTTAATACATTTGATAAGATATGTGTCAATATTAACAGACGCTTTGTTTCAGTTTGCTCAACAACATTAATCCAACAAGCTCCTCCTCCTATAAGACGGATTCGGCCAATACCGATTGCAATATGACACTTTTATTAACCAAAATGTAGACAAATTATTGAGCTTACCCTAATATCATTCAGTGTTCGGACTGTCTGGAATTCTGGGAAATAAAAATGAACATAAGAAAATACAATTTCAATTTTTTAAAGTAAAACTTAAAACGTTCCTCTTTGATTCTGCCTATAGTTAGGGCTGCCTCAGGTTAGCCCGGACCAGCCCTTAGTTAAGCTGCTATAGGCTTAGAATGCCGGGGGACTTCTTAGGACACACCAAGCTCCTCTCTCACGCTCTCGTTCTACCATAATCCACGTTTTATTAATGCACATGACTAATTCAGCTTCTTTCCGGGAGTTTTTTTTGTGCTTTCTCCCCTATCAGGTCTCCGTAGATCGTAGTTCCTTCGGGACCCTGGTCCTGACACCTACCGTGGCCATGCTGACGCCTGCTGCTGCCATCATCATCATCATCATTATTATTTTAGATATTAATCATATTACTGTACTCGTAAACCAACATTACCCTCTCCTAAAGTCTCTGTGCTCTCCCTCCCCACAGGCTCCTGTAGATGGTGGTTTTATGTGATGGTGGTTCTATGTGATGGTGGTTCTACCTGATGGTGGTTGTCTCTGCAGTGGTCCTGCTGTGCCCCTGGCTTACTACTCACAATTACTTGAATAATTTCTGTCATAGGAATTGCATGTATTGTACATTGTTCATTCTGTACACATGGCATCCATTGTAGTCTGTCCATCCCGGGAGTGGGATCCCTCCTCTGAGGTTTCTTCCCTTTTTTCATTTTTTGAGGAGTTTTTCCTGTGCCGATGGTGGGTTTCGGGACAGAGGATGTCGTATGTGTACAGACTGTAAAGCCCTCTGAGGCAAATTTGTAATTTGAGATTTTGGGCTATACAAAATAAAATGAAATGAATTGAATTAGTTTACTGGATAGGTTGGAATTCTAGAGCACAAAAGTCAACGTGTCAAAGAATCGCTCTCTCACGTGGGATGATGAACCAAGGAGACTTGGTCAGGAACAGGAAGGGATCCGATCTCAGCGTCACCCAGAACGGTCCAACATTGCCCTGCGGAATGCCTAATTCCATTGGCGGGACGGTTGCCCCGGTAACAGCATCCTCGCTGGGAGGCAGAGCGCACTCGGGATGTCTTGGTGCTTCTGAAGGAAAGACAAGCAAACAAGTGTTTCACAATAGGATATGTGGGTCTCGTTATAAATGATTTACTAAACAGTGGTTCTAGATCTCTTTGGAGCTATTGGCGGATCACCAGACGGCAGAAATAAAAACAAACAGATACCACCCTGCTGGCGTAGACACCACGCAGGCGCCGCGTCGAGCCAAAATCGGTTAAAATGCCTGTCAGTAAAAGGACGTGACGCTGGTGATTTAGCCGTGCACTGGCCTTTCTCTCACCAGGTTGTTTTTCCCCACCACAATGGATGACTGCGCCGAGTTTGAGGACAAATTTAAAAACCAGACACTCACGTTTCTTGGTGTAACTGTGAACGCCTGGCGCGGTCAGCCTGGTGACTTTGTGATTAGGGGCTCGCTTCAGGAGACTGTACCAGACGCCGAGCCGATCAGCATGCCAAGAGCTCTCAAAGTCCACGAACACCTGGGACACATGAGTAGGAACAGGAAGTCCCTTTTAAACCAATCACAACTGACCTGCTTGTGTGTGTGTGTGTGTGTGTGTGTGTTGGTTGTTGTGTTCATACCTTGTTGAGGAGAGGAAAGAAGTTCTTGACGTGTTGGATTGTTTTCAAAGACTCTCGGAGCTTCAAGGCCTCGCTCCATGAAATGTTGGTGATGAAGATGGTTTGTGTTCCCTTACCATCCACAGTCTGCACCAAGAAGAGGAGGTAAACGTCCAAAACAAAAGTTAAATAGAGTAATATTGGGAAAGCTTTTCAAAGTAAAAGAAAACATCTTAAATAAGTGTCATGTATCCCCTTCAACTCTTTCCAATAGTTTTGTTCCATGCAAATTAACAAAACTAAATTTAAAGGCATCTGAACAATCACAAGTTACATGAAGAACTTTGTTTAAAAGCTTGAGTGTAGCTTTTTAAAAAGAGATGGAGTGAAGTGTGGATTTGTGCGAATGACTTACGTAACGAAGTGGCTTTGTGCGTGATTTGGAACACTTGAACTAAGAAGAGAAACAGGCATTATTGGGGATTACAAAGACACTTTTCCACAACCAACCACACTCATTACGATCAATGGATTGCCGTGGGTTATTTATCTGTATTTATTGATTGTAAAAGTAAATCTGATTAAAAAATGTAAAGTCAAGATCAGTTTACAAAACATTAACTTTCTGCCTTTACGGTTTCCCTCCAAGCGTTGGCAGGACTTCTCTCAACAGACTCTTTAGCTTCTTTATCTTTAATACAATCTGACTACAGGGGAGATCCGTTGTTCTCAACGCTGATTGGCCGAGGCTCGTTACGTCAGTCTGCTTGTCTCACTGCAATCTTCCAACCCGCCGTCTAAAAAAAAACTCTCTGGATCTACGTGATTCACGTGCATGACATTTTGATTTTTAAAACAGCGAGTTTGCAGGTGTGTGTTTCCAATAGTTGTTTTTCATCCATGTTTGATGAGGCAAATAAAGACTCTAAATTTAAAGGCATCTTAACAATCAAAAATGACATGAAGAACTTTGTTTAAAGCTTGAGTGTAGCTTTTAAAAAAGGTGTGTATTTGTGCAAATGACTTACGTAACAAAACTGGTTCGTCAGTGATTCATAAAACTCGAACTAAGAAGAGAAACAGGCATTATTGTAGATTACAAAGACGCTTTTCCACAACCAACAACACTCATGTAAAGTCGATACTCTACAGACTCAGTCTATACATATTACTATAAATGGATTGTGCAAATATATATACGTATATATTTCTTTCTCATAGACCTTAATACGAGGGGACTACAATGGAAATCAATTGTTCGTGGCGCATCAGCATCGGCTTCACTTTTCAGAGTTTGTTTCTCTCGTGTAAAAGTGAAAACGGTGAATAAAAACCGAAGAGTGGACGTGCTTACCGGTGTCAACATCGGATTGTCAGTTGCAACACGGAAAGAGAGTTTCCGTCCTTTGAAGAAAATGCCCTCCCTGACGGGGCCGGTGATCATTTTGTGCACATCCTCAGCCGTCGGCATAACGATGACGGCCTAAAGGAAACGCACAAACGTGTTAATACGTCTATTTATCTGCTCAACGTACTCGGCCATTATCGTGTTGCATATTTCAAAGTGTTTAAAAGTGTTTGAATGAACAGCAACAATAGAAACGGCTGATTAACCTGAGGCCTACCATGCGTGACTGAGGAAGAACGTAGATGCGGTCTTCTGCATATTGAAAGCCAAATGGGATGAGCACATTTGCCAGGTCTTCCTCTGTGTAGCAGCAGCTGTCGTAGTCCGGCAGGTGGCCAACGACCAACTGCCTGTAACCTTTCGCAATGATCTGTTGGGCAGGTAAATAATTAAAACGGGCACTTTATGTTTGTTAAAGAATATTCAGCGCATAAAGAAGAGCCTCGATCCTTCATGTAGATTCCAAATACACTGCTTCAATAAGGACCGTTGAACTGCAGTTATCTTCTAACCACGTGTCAGTGAAGAAACAAGGTGATGAAATAGCAAATGACATGTTAGTTTTGAGTATCTGCTCTTTGACTAAGTCGAAAAAGGAGCATCCCAAAACGGTTTGCATGGAACGAAATAGAAAAGAGCTTTATCCTTCTATGTTTAGGTAAACTACATGTGTAGGCACAGCGACGCACACAAAGGGTTTGACCAAACGTACCTCTTCACTAGAGAGGGTCGTGTCCGGCACTGACGCTGTGAAGGAGAGGCAAAGAAATTGGCAAAGAAAGCAGAGAAAAACCGTAAAATGACACGCCGACACTTTCTCGACTCACGTATTTTGCTTGGGTACATCTGGCATCCCAGCGTCTCCCCAAAAAACACAGCATCAGTGCCGATGGCCGTGGCCAGAGGCGCGTTGCTCCTGGAAGCCCTCGCGGATGATTCTGCCTCTCCTTGGGTATCCACCGCCTGCTCAGGATCTACAGACCACATTTAATCAAGACGAACGTCAGTATTTGATAAAAAGATCATTATCATCGGCCAATGACCTCCTTCCTGTTTCACCTGGCGGCTTGGCCTCCGTGGAGGCTTCAGTGGAGGTTCCTGCTTCCTGCTGCGGTCCTGGTGCAGCGGACTGCGGTTCTGAGCAGGTGCTCTGCTGGGTGGGGGGCGAAGCTTCGACGGAGGACGGTTCCCTCTCACCGGATTGGCCGGCTGAACTCTCTGCCTCCGGAGTTTTATCTTCAAGGTCAAATTCTGCCAGTTGAAGGAATCGTTCGTAATAATGACGAGCCGACGAAGAAGGAGCCAAAGACGTCTCCGTGCAAACCAAGTAAAACGGCTGCTCATCAATTGTGAGGCGGTTCAGAGTTATTCGCTCTAAACACCGCAGGACAAACTTCAACAACACTCGCTATCTGCCCGTTAAACGGTTTCCAACGCACCTTTTCCCGCTGTTTCTGTCTCCACTCGTCCCGCTGGCAGCTTGGCCTCCTCAGCTGCTTCCGTGGAGATTCCTGCGGCCTCCTGCGTGATGCCTGAAGGTTCCGCCCGGGTCTCCGGTCCTTGTGCGGCGGACTCCGGTCCCGAGGTTTCGGTCGGCCCCGTATCGGCTTCGCTGCTCGCAGGTCGACTACCGGCAGGTTCGTCTGCTGAACTTTCTGCCGCCGCCTCCGTGGTTGTTGTTTCTTCCTCTTTCTCTGCACTACTTGCCACTTCCATGGGCTCCTCCACTTCAGCTCCCGTTCCCTCAATCGTCCTTGGTTCCGCCTCTTTGGGGACATTCGCTTCGCCGAGATCCTTTTTGACCACCGTGGCTCCTTGAACCTTGGTTTCAGGTTCTTCTGGTGTGGATTTTGGAGTTGTGGACTTGGTCCCTGGTGATGTTTTTCTCACAGCTCTCTTCAAAGGCAACTTTCCTTTGTTTATTGGCTTGGCTGAGATGTTCTTTGTTTTTGTTTGAGTGACAGTCCCTCGACCTTTGACTGAGCCTTTCACGCCACTTTTCTGGAGTCGGCTTGTTGTGGCCGTTTTGGCTCCAGAAGGTGAAGACGGGGGCTTTGCAGGACATTTAAGAGTAGAAATGGAAGGTTCAGGGTCATGGGCCTTTCTTGTGGTTTGAGGAGTGGAGGCGACGGCCGTGGCTGGTTTTCTGTGAACAAAAGAGTTTCATTGGGTCACAATGAGGAGAAAATGGAGATATTCAAGGTTCAAGACAGAAAGGCAATGTGAAGGTTTCAAATGGTCTCCACTGTAAAATATTACTATTCTTCACAGGTTGAGATCCTGGAAAGACTCCAACAAAACAGATTTGTGAAAATAGGGACATTTCCCTTAAAGTTACACGTTTCCCCGTTGAAGACACAAACTTGGGAAGTAATGCAGTGATGCAAAAACAAGCCCCCAGCTGGAAAGAGACGTGAAACATATCTTACTTCTGGGAAGGCTTTAGCTTCTTGGCAACAGTCTCCTGGAGTAAAAAAAAGAAACATTTTTTTTACATTACTAAGAGACAAAGTCTCAACGTGAACAATGTTGTCATTCGGATATTAGAAACAACGAGGAATTGATTTCGACACAAAGAAAGTTGAGCAGCTGACAAATATGAACGGGCTCATTTCCCGGAGGAAGAAAGACGTAACGTTTAATACCTTTCGTCCAGCAACAGTGATTCGATGCCCTTTCACGTCGACGCTCTTTAAGCTCCTCAATTTCCTGGCGTCTTCTACTTTATCGAATGTCACGATTGCCTACAAGTGAACAGAAACAAAGCGAGATGTCGACTATGAATACAACCATTGGGAATATATATACACACTGACTATAACCACACACCTAACGGCCGCACGTCATTTACACAAATGAAGTTATTACAATATTTCTTTACAGATTTACACACCAATGAAACATTTACGCACACCGAGGCTCTTTGCCGCTCTGCGCCGGGCGGCTTGATCGGCAACTAAATATTAAGTAACCTTGCTAAAAGCACAGTTGTTTGAATGCTGCAAAAAGACAAAAATAAGCCTCTCAATACACACAGTACCTCCTCTGTGGCCCGGTGCAGGACAACGGACTTGATCTTCCCAAATTTCTGCACAGCAGCCACCACCTCACTGTGAAAGACGTTATGAACCCCCTCCAGTTTCACCTCGCTGGTTTCATTCGTCTGAAATAAGAAAAACACATGATATTAGTGCAAACGTTATGCGTGCGTGTGTTCAGCTTTGCCCGGTCTATTCATGTACAGGAATACATTCATCTCAAATAAGAGAGGCAGTGTTTGGTACCAGATTCCATCAGTGAAAGGACACAACAAACCCATCACGTCCACTTACACCTGGACCTGCGACCCAGTGACGGAGCAGAGTAGCGTTTTCTTTGAGTGTCACTTGCCGTTGAGGCCTTTTTGGCCGACTGCTTGGAGGCAGAAGACGAGGAGGGCTTTTCTCCAACGGAAGACGATGACGTGGACTTCATCTTGGCCAGCTCGGCCAGTAAGGCCGGAGCCAGAGTCTTAACCACCGTCTCCAGGTCAGACTGCTTGGACAGACTCTGGACAGCTGGAGGGACAAAGATGATCATTTAGTGGTGAACAAACAGGTCGTGTTGGTGGAATTCAGGACGTTCCGCCACAAAATGAGTGGTTGACGTGTTTGTAGTTTCTCAAACCTGATGTTTCCAGCAGTTTCTTCACCAAGTGGTCCGTCCTGCTCGTCTTACGTTCAGGCGATCGTCTCTCGCTTCTCCTCCTCGATGGAGACTCCCTCTCGCTTCTCCTCCTCGATGGAGACTCCCTCTCGCTTCTCCTCCTCGATGGAGACTCCCTCTCGCTTCTCCTCCTCGATGGAGACTCCCTCTCGCTTCTCCTCCTCGATGGAGACTCCCTCTCGCTTCTCCTCCTCGATGGAGACTCCCTCTCACTTCTCCTCCTCGATGGAGACTCCCTCTCGCTTCTCCTCCTTGATGGAGACTGCCTCCCGTCGCTCCACCTTGGAGATGATCGCCTCTCCCGGCTCCTCCTCGTTGATGACCATCTATCTTCTCTTCTCCTGGGCGAGGTTCGTCTCTCAGGGCTTCTTGAAGGTGACCGATGGCGGGAGGAGGCAGGGTGGTCGGACCACGGGGAGCGAGAGCGGGACCTGGTGAGAGTTCAGACCAAAGCTCAGCGTGCCGAGTCAGATGAACGTATTTGCTCCTTTTAGACGTCACGCACCACAGACCTGCGAGTGCATCTGGGGCTGTACGGCGACGGTGATCGCCGGCCGCGTTTGTCCCGCCTGTCGCCGGGCCGATGGTGACGCGGGCTCGGGGAGCGGGAGCTGCTTCCATGTCTGGCTTTCTGAAGATGCTGGGAAGTCTGTGAGGAGGCTGAGGGCTCGGCCTCTTCACCCGCAGCACTGAAGAGAGCGACGGATGTGAAAAGCATGAGAAACAAAAGGAAAGCAAAGGTCTCACAACACGTTGGGGGAGTCGGTCCAATGGACAAACATCTTGAGGGAGGTCAAGATGCCCGAATGACCACGTGTGGTGCAAAGTCTGACATTGGTAGTTTTCTTACAATGTTGCTTTGTAGCCGTGCAGAAAGACTAAATACAACATGTAGCTAAATCTAATTTACCTGAGAGCAATGTCACCATCCCACTCTGGGAATCTGTTGGAAAACAAATAAATGAAGCAACTATTAGAACAGGAAAGAGGCCACATTGGGACTGAAAAAGATATTCGTCTGTGAGGAAGCAGACCTCAGGCAGGTGTTTTGGTGAAATGTGAAGTAATATCTGTTTAGGAAATGAATTCAAAGAAAAAAGGGACTGACTGTGTTCGGAGGAGTTTGCATTTCCTCAGGTGAAGGTTGGAGTTCTGGTGGGAGATCCAATCCTATCAGTCGGAACAACAAACGCAGAATTAGATCCTAACAACTGCTGTCAGATATCCGTATTAACTCAACAGAGATATTTCATCCAACGTTCCAGCAGCCACAGAGAAACAGCTCCTCCTCTCTGGAGGTCCAAGTGTCCAGTTTGTGGTGATATGTCCTGATATTAAAAGTCTTAAGAAAGCAAGTCTTTTTTTAACTTGATGTCTTTCAATCTTCATTCAACGGCACTCATGTGAAGGACCAGAAGAGCCAAAGTGAAGAGCTGCGACTCTCAGTGTTTAAATGATGGTGTTGATATGAACCAAATAGTGACAAATACACATGGAAACAGGACAACATCATTTAGGACATTTAGTCCTCACAACATTTAGTAGATTACAGCAGACTTTTTTCAACTTTGAGTTGAGAGCAACAATCCATCATGGAGACAAAGAATAAAGCAGCACCGGGGACAAGCAACCAGAAGGAAGCTTCCTTCTCAGGTTCTTCATGGAGTGACGTCTGGCTCTTCGGTCTTCAGTAAGCTGAAGGTCATCCCAGCAGAGGTCACCATCAGGTACCAGGGCAACGGCAGAAACACGAGACGTGGAAACTGAGAAGAGGGGGTCGTGGGGGCTGGTGGGTTTGCCATTTATGTTTTGACAAGTGTGGTGTCCCAAATGGACAGACGGTCCAATGAAATCTTGCTGATTGTGTGGTATGTTGGGAAAGACTTGAGGTTTCTGGTTGGAGTTTGTTTGGTTAAAAAGAAAACGGAGCTGGGCTGCATGATGACATTACATATATCAATATACCGGCAGAAGCTCAGAACTAATGCGATACAGACGGGTCACTGATGAGCTGTGAGGAGGCGATTGGATCATTATTTAAGTCATCGGGCTGGACTTAAACATTGCTTTCCTAACATCTTTGGGTTCAAAAAGGTACATAGATATAAAAGTACTGAAATGCTTTTTAACAAATAAAAAAAGACGTTCAGTATCAGATCGACTCGATTGTCACCGACGTCCAATTTGAGGCATTTGAGTCAGTTTCAAGCAAGTATGCGATATCAATATATGCATCTGCATTTACACACGCAACAACTAACAACCGTTTCTTAGCCAGTCCTCTTCCATTAATCCTCTGATGAAGTTCTTCAGGCGTGCAGATGCTTGCTGCTCAGATCTAAGGGCTTCAGTTTTCAACAATTGTCCCAGAAGTTGGTCCCATGTGGTTGAATCACATTATTCTTCAGTCATTATTCACAGTAAATGGTAATAGTCGTTTGCCGATGACCTGGATCTTTATCTGTCTAAACAAGTGATGTACCAACAAGTCGGTTGAATCACATGTCGGCTAAACTGTAAACTGGAATAACAGACAAAGGAGAAGGCAGCTGGCTGTAACTGGCTGCAAGAAGCCTTTTGGTAAAATAATATCGTACCAGTCAGGTTTGGACACACTTTCTCATTGAAGGAGAACTTTTAACTGGTACAGTACATCCAAATTAGTTATTAACTTAAGGGGGAAAAAAAGAAATCACAAGTTTGCAATCCATCCTCGTTTCAAAGAAATAAATTGTTTCACGATTCAAGATTAGAGAATCCCCCAAAAGTCAAAAAGTAATCATTTAAAAAACTGTATTTCAGAATGAAATATATATTTTCCCAATATTTCCATGACAATATTGAAATAAATTGCCCACAATTTCCAACGGGGAGAGACAAAATAAATACATTTAAAAAGGTGCAGACTTTTCTACTCACCGGCATACGTTGACAATCTCGGTTACACAGACAACAAGTATGTGGAAAGACTCTCGGCGTGGCTGCTGCGTAATCGTGCATCATGGCTGCTGTCGGCAGGCTCTTGGATCTTGCAGCCGTGTCCTGGGGCTGACTGTCCGAAGACGGCATTGTCCAATGAACAAAGTCCATCAGGCTTGGAGGCGTGAGAAGCGGAGGAGGACGACCGGTTGGGGGGCCACGACTCGGGATAAACGCTGGGCGCTGCACAGTGTTAGCGAAGCCGGAGATGTGAAGGACCGGGGGAACTGGCTTTGCGGCGGGAAAGAATTGAGGCCACATGGCCTGCGGTACCAGCTGACTCTGTCCCTGTTGAGTCAGTTGCTGCTGCACAGGCTGCACCTGAATCTTCTGCACCGGCTGCTTCTGGAACTGCTGCATCGGCTGCTTCTGAGTCTGCTGCACCGGCTGCTTCTGCTGCTTCTGCAGCATCTGCATCTGCTGCACCGGCTGCTTCTGCTGCATCTGCATCTGCTGCACCGGCTGCTTCTGCTGCATCTGCATCTGCTGCACCGGCTGCTTCTGCTGCATCTGCATCTGCTGCACCGGCTGCTTCTGCTGCATCTGCATCTGCTGCACCGGCTGCTTCTGCTGCTTCTGCTGCACCTGCTGCTTCTGCTGCACCTGCATCTGCTGCATCTGCTGCACCTGCATCTGCTGCATCTGCTGCACCGGCTGCATCTGCTGCATCTGCTGCACCGGCTGCATCTGCTGCACCGGCTGCATCTGCTGCACCGGCTGCATCTGCGGCTGTTTTTTCATCTGCTCTGCGACGGCTGACGGTGGTCCTGGGGTTTTACTCTGGTTGGTATCGTCACTGGCATTGTTACTGCCAAGGAGCACCAGACTCGGTCTGCTGGGATGCAAACAGCGGTACAGAGTGGGGGCCGGTTGGGTTTTCATTGATGACTGCCGATCCGCCTGTGGCTCTTTCATTGGAACGGGCTTGGGGGCTTCCGACTTGACAACCCTGACGTCTGCGTCTTTGAGATGGAAAGGGCTGACGATTGCGTGGGTTTGCACTCGTTTGGTCGGGTCGTTGCTCGGGGGAGCAACAGAGCTCGGCGTTGTACTGTGCAAAGAGCTGAAACTGGAAACCAAAGTCGCCTGGTCACGAGAAAAACCCAACGCAATGCTTTTCAACTCAGGCTTTTGCTGTGGTTCTCGAGCGTGTCCGCTGCTATCGGAAGTGTCCATCTTCGACATACCTCCACTCCCACCACTGGTATCTCCACTGGTCCTTCCAATCCCTTCCCCAACCCCTCCGGTATATTTGCCTGTGTGTCCATAGTCAATCACATTACTTGAATGCCGGCCAGCCGCGGGCATTTCCTCCTGGCGCATCCCGGCCCCTCTGGAATGAGTCATTCTGTAGGGTGGGGGTTCGGGGCAGGGTTTTGATGGAGCCGCAGTTGTAGCTTTCTTGGTCTTCTCAAGGCGAATTTGCCGCAAGATGAACGGCAGGTTGGCAGGGGTGATCTGGTCTTCAGGGTACGAGATGAGATGTTCCAAGTCATCTTTTTCAAGTCCAAAATGCACCAGTATGTTAGAAGCTGATTCAGAGGTGTACTTGTGTTGTCGAGTGGGCGCTCTGGGGTCCGGAGCTGCTTTGTCGAAATCACCCAACCCTGGAATGGACGGCCTATCACGCGGTCTTTCACTGGCCGCATTGAACCTACCATCAACATTGCTTGCATAGTTTGACGAGGCAGACGATGCATAACATTTTGAGGGTTCATCTGCACTTGGCCTTTTGTAGTGTGACAACCAGTCCGAGGAGCTACTGACACTTTCAACTGCCGGGTAGCTCTGCCCTAGAGGGCCAGAGTTCTTGGACACTGGGTAGGAAGCCACCACTGAGCCCGAGGAGAGACTCTCCCTTTGAATGCTACTATATCGAGAGTCTAGGGGCTGATGCGCTGATTTGCCGAGGAGCCTCACCTCCTCTCTGGCTCTGCTGATCTGCATGTCTATAGACCTCTCCATGCCCTCGTCCATTATGGTCCTACTCCGTTCAGGCCTCAAGCTCATCAGCTGAGGCAGCTGAGATGGAGGTACTCTCCCAGAGCTGCTAGAAGTCAGAGAAGAAGTTCCAGTGGAGTCAAAGCTGGACCCAGGTCCAAGTCGAGATGCTGTCCGAGGGTCCCTCTCTGCGTGTCCACTGGAGAGTCCATACTGCCCCTGGGGGGGTATCTGGTTCCCAGAGGCATAGGGGTTATAGAGGGGATGGGACATGGTGTTTGCGATCTTCAGAAGGTTAAGGAGGTTGATGGCCGCAGCGGTTGGGGAGGGGGGTATTGCGAGAATGTAGGCAGCAGGCGAGTTGGACGCCAAGGTCGCGACTCGGCTGCCAACAGCGAGGGCGTTGTTTATCTGCGTCACTGCTAGCTGGGCTTTCAGCTGAGCCAGCAGCAAGGAGGCAGCCTGCTGGCCAAGCAGCAAGGAGCTCCTGTGGAGCCCCCCAAGCAAGGGGCTCGTTAGGGTCCGTGGAGCAGGAGAAGGGCCGCAGGGCTCTGATAGCAATGCAACGCTGGAAAGTAAAACAAACAATAAAAACAAAGGATGGGGTTATTGGATGGGTTAAATCCATCGTCTGGATGGTCTCGTCTTGAGTCGTCCACTCTGGTGCTGTGAGACGCATTCATTCAGTCGGTTTCATTTCCAAGTACTCAGTACAAAGAAAGAACAGAGGAGGCAAAGGCAAGAAAACAAATGAAGGTAGGAAACAACTTCCGGGAGCAGAACAGACACAAACTCATTTATTTTTCTTCCATATTTTCATCTCTGGTTTAAACAGTGAATTGAGACAAGCCAAAGCATAGGAGACACGTGGCAAAATGTAACAGACCAGAACCGTCATTTCCTTTTACGAGATGACATCAGACCATCCTGAGAACACTTCACTTGATGCCGATAGGTGTACGACTCCCAATACAGAACCCTATATGGTAAGAAGCAGTCATTGCGTACACAGCGTAGGACTGGCTCTGTCTCGCTGCAGTTGTCTCAATGAAAAATCTTTCGCTCAGAACTAAACAAATCAAGTCACTGATAAACACAAAGAAAAAAAAGTGAAAAGACCCAAATTTAAGCTTCATCCACACGAATACTTTACTTTACTGATACTAAACTTCACCTTAAAGAAGGAAGCAATGCACGACAACACTTAACAGTTGCATTGAAGTCGTTGTCACCATAACAACTGACAACAATAGAGATTCCACAACTCTCTGATGTCTTGAAGTCAACCTTGAGGGAAACAGCATCAAACAAACATCACGTTGCAAACAAACACATACACTGTCTTTTCTTTTTTGGGATATTGAGTAAGTAAGTGTTGTTAAAACACAGTCTAATGAGGAGATGGATATACTGTGAATAACAGAAAGTCTGACCATTTAAATATAAAAATGGTTCGGGATGAGATGGATAAATCGCGGAGGCCCAAAGTCGCCCCTAAGCCCTCAGCGACCCACTGGGGTCACCTGCTATGTGGAGGAGTGTGAGGGTCTGTGAGGGCTTGACATGGTGTGGATGTGGATGGGATTGTTATTTTCCATCTTTAATCCTTGATGTTTAAAGGTGCATTTTTTTCATGTGATAACCTAAACCCCGTCCTCCTTGTTTACCTTTGTGTTACCGCGTGACATTATAAACACATCCCTGCTCGCTGTTTCCAAACAGAGCTAACATGGCTAACCCAGCTAGCTGCTGCTAGCAAGCGCTAACGTGAGACCCGGTCAACAAACAAACGTTTGAACGCGGGCTTCAGGGGACAAAGACCGCGTCCAAGCGAGTAGCTACGAGGTCATTTGATCATTTTCGCAAATAACAGTTTTGGGGTTGTTGCATACCTTGCGTTATTTTCGCGTCTGTGGTGCGTTCTGACTCACCTCCGGGAAGTCCCGGATGTAACTGGCGTGTGAAGCACACACTTCCGGTTGCGGCGTCGAGGCTTCAGCGTAAAAGCGCGAGCGTTACACGTAAAGGGACGTAATTAAAGTCCTGCATTCGAAGTCTTATTTGCTCACAGGCCGCTCTAAAGTCAAACTAGTAAACATGATAAATCTGGATTATACTTATTAATGCATTAAGCACCGTAGGTTGATCCATAATGCTGCAGCATGTCTATTAACAAGAATTAAGAAAAGTAATCACTCCTTTATTAGCTTCTCTGCAGTGACTCCCTGTTTAATTAAGAGTAGAATTGAAGGTACTAATTGGTCAGGCACGTCATAAGAGCTTATAATACTGTATTAAACTCCATAAAAGCTGGGTTCCTAAAGTCTTAAAAGGTAGGATTGGATCCAGAGCCTTCTGTTATCAAGCTCCTTTTCTGTGGAACAGGCTTCCACTTTCAGTCCAGGGGGCCACACAGTCCGCTCATTTGAGATAAAGCTCAAGACTTTCCTCTTTGATAACGCGTAGGGCTGGCTCAGGTCCGCCTGGACCAGCCCTTAGATAAACTGCTATAGGCGCTCCTCTCTCCTCTTCTCTCGCTGATCTTATGGATGCACATCACTAATTCAGGTTTGGATCGGGTTTACATCTGGTCCTGCCTCCTAACATGGCCCTGCTGACACCTAACGCCGTTATTATTGGTCCTATTACTGTTACTGTCAACATTCGTTTACATCGCGCTTTGTGGGCGTCGATTTCTCGAACACTAAATTATGGTGAAGGAAAGCTGGAAAACTGGAGGATTTCTTCAACCTCCAACCAACCTTCATACCCTCTCATCACACAGAAGTAGGGGGAGGGGCTTAGTAGGACATACCTACTCATGGGTATTTACCAGACTGAAGACACCCTCCAGCTGCCGGCTCTGATGGAGGTGCGCCGCGTTGCGCGCGCTCTCTGTGCAGTTCTTCTCCAGAAGCTCTTGCTTCCAGTCTCTGGCTGCTTGTGGAGCATCTGGGTGGAGGATCACGCAGCACCGGAGGATTTGTTTCCCGTTTGCTCTTGTTTTTGAGACTTGATAGTTCGTGGAAGAAGCCGCGCGGGGAAGCGGATCCGCCGCCGTGTTTCTCCAGAACTGCGCGTGGATTTTCGTGACACCGGGAATTCTTCGCCCTAGAAACAAAATCGGACTTTTTCAATTTTTACTTATTTTACTTTAGGGAATATATTTTAGGATTTGGGAGCACTGTGTGTGTAATTAAAGCTATTGGGTAAGTGCGCGCGGTGTATGTCCGTGCGTACTCGTGGCCATGCTGGAGGAAAAGAAGGCCCCCGGTTCTCTGCAGCAGGGGACCGGCAGCAGCAGCCCCGGTGACCCGGTGCGCCGGTAAGGACCGACACTACGTCATGTGTGCGTGCGGGCATGTGTGTACGCATGATGTGTACGCATGATGTTTACGCATGATGTGTACGCATGATGTTTACGCATGATGTGTGGGTGCTCACGTGTCTGAATCCAAAGCCTTAAAGGCTTTTCTTCAGCTATGCGTATAAGACGTTCTGTCACAGAATACACGCACACACACACGTGCACGTGCTCCACGTGTGCCGGTCCTGCTTCAACCGAGCTCTAAATGTCTTTATTAATTCGAGTTTGCGCCATTGGAACCAGTCGAACACCATAAATAAATTGCTTTGGGCGTGAAGCTTGTAAATGGTCTTAACCTTTAGCTACTTATGTACATTTCCAGATTTTTTTTTTTTTAACCAACATATTTTGGAGACTCTTTTTAGACCCTTTTTATAGAATGCTTTTCCGACATTATATCAAAACGCAATTTATCTGACCGTATATATTTAAAAATAATCATTAGTTTACCTTGTGAAACTAATTGTTATTAGTCATTAATCATCAACAAAAACACGGTCAACTTTTTCCGTCTGTTTCTTCTGCCTTCATTTCAGTTTAGTTTACTCACCTTTGTTTTGGACTAAATGCTAACTGTTTCAGTTTCCTTAAGTGTTAATTCCCCCCAAAAAACCTTTAATGTCTTTTCCTTGAACACCCGGGACCCTGGGGGGACGTCCACAACGCGTGTGTGTGTGTGTGTGTGTGTGTGTGTGTGTGCCAGGCCTCAAGGCCATTATGGGCTTTGTGTGGGTTTGTGATGGGATAAAGGTATAAAGGAAAGTACCCCCTCCCCCCCCCCACACACACACACACATACAAACACACTGTTTGTGGGGGTTATACCAGCGAAAGGATACGATTCAGAAGGTAAAGCTGGATAGAAGAGAGGGACCCTGTGTGTGTGTGTGTGTGTGTGATGTCTTCTCCTGTGAGGTGTGAGATGGCTCCGGTCTGATGGGGGCTTTGCTCTCTGTCACCGTGGACTCGGACGGCTGGATTTAGGAGTGTTTATGGGCCCTGCGCTGTCATCTGATGCTTGGAGCACGACCCTCTCGTCTGCCGGGTGGAAGTCGGGTGTTGTGTGGATGCATCCGTGGTCCACGGGCTCCTCCCGCTGCAGACCGCCAGGCTCTGGAATCCCGTCACACTGGAGACTCCTGAGTTTAAACGCATCGGCCCGAGGAACGTGCTTCATAAAGAGATTTTTTTGGGGGGGGGGAGACGAAAACACGCCGACCTTGAACTTCACACACACACTTCATGCCGCCCTACGGTTGCGGACGCACAACTCGACCGAGCACCTCGTAAACTCCCGCCAGCGTTTTGTTCTTCACAACGTGGCAGGTGCGAGCAACACGTTGTGTTTTACAAACAGAGAACAGGCGCGTTTAAAAGTGCAGCTGCTGCCGAGGCCTCTGGGAAAATTGCTTGTGACTCCTCCCCTTTTCTTTGAAACATTCAAACAAAATAAACAACCATATATATTTTCCCTCTACATTTAGTGCTATTTAGAGTCCCCATTTTCTATAAATAGCATAGCTGAATATAGATAAAAAAATATTATTACATATATAAATGTAGTGTTTCTTATCATTTAATCACCCGATTATTCATGATGATCCAAAGATGAGTTTTGGTTGTTATAAGTAGTCCTGTGAATTTCATTTCTACAGAATCACAACCGGCAACTCCTCAAAGAGGATTGTGTAATAAGTAATAAGTGTGCGTGTGTCGTCGTGTTGTCGCAAAGCCTCGGGTTCCACTCCCTTGCCGCCGCCATCTTGGATCGCTGTCGCCGCCATCAGCGCAGCCGGTTGTGAAAACGGTTTTTCTGGGTCAACCAGCCAGCGGAGCCTCGGGATCCAGTCGCCGAGTGTTACGAATGCAGACAGGACGTCGTCGTACAAGTACGCGCGTGTGTGTGTGTGTGTGCGTGTGTGTGTGTGTGTGTGCGTGTGTGCGAGACAATAAAAGGGTCAAAGAGGCAAGACAAGCGATTCAAAGGGACTTTTCCTACATCTTCTAATGTATGAAATCATATTTTCAAAAGTACAAACAGTTAATCAAATGCTCCATATTGAAGTTTATTGAATAACAGTAAAATCCTGCTTTTGCATGAGTGAATCGGCTGTTCTTTAAAGTCACGATGCATCAAATGTCACCGGACTTTATATTTAACTTGGACATCCCTTTAAAATATCTCTACACCAATTAATAAATGTTCATTAATTATCACCACCGCACTCCGTGCTGAAAGACATTTGTGGCTCTGAGTGACCACAATTCTGAGTTCGGGCCGGCGGGGATTTGTTTTTCATCAACACTGGTTAGACCCTCTTAGTAACTGCTCCTCAGAGGCCACTCACGAGGTATCCAGACACACACACTCACGCACAGACACACACAGACACACACAGACCCTGTGAAGCGGATACAGTGTGAAGACGAAACTCGAGCAGGCGGACTCGGGACGTCTGAGTCCGCCTGCGGGATCCGGCCTTCCCCAAATCCGCTGTAGAAAAGAACTCACGGTTGGCTTTGGCTGAGGTCATGTGACCAACCCCCTGTTATTTGTATGATAAGATTCATAAAAATGAACATCTTGCAAATATCATGTCAGAAACCCCCACGAAGCAGGAGCTAAAGTTACTTGAGGACATTAAATGAAGTGGAATCGGATTAACCCGGCGTCCTCGTCTCCTCTCTCAAATCGTTCCTCACAAATATCAAAGCGTTTATCGGCACAGTGATATTTATGACATGTGCCTTGCTCAGCAGCATCTCGACAGCCATCACGCTGGGGGAGGGTAAAACATTCCTTGCTCATCTTCCCTGCTCAAATTCTCCTTATGCTGAGGCGGGGAAATAGGAGCTGCGGATTTTTAAAAAAATTTTTATGGAAAGATCCTCGCGGTTGAAGACGGATACTAATTTGAGATTTCACATGGTGGCTGATCTGGGGTCAGGTTACCTCCAGCCAGAAGAGCTGAGATCATTAGAGAGGGTCGGGGGCTCTAGATGGTGCACATTCCTCTGTGTGTGTGTGTGTGTGTGTGTGTGTGTGTGTGTGTGTGTGTGTGTGTGTGTGTGTGTGTGTTGTGTGCAACATATATCGGCACATTTGTGCGTTTCTATTTGAATAAATCCAACCTACTCTTTCTGAAGAAGTCCCTTTACCTCAGTGTGTGTTCTTCGTGGCGAGGTCACCGCCACGTGCCTCTGTCAGGGTAGCGATGACAGCCTAAAATAAACATCTTTTGGCTGCAGCTTCCAGACACACACACACACGCACACACATGACCAGAGGTCCACCAGTCAGCTGTTGGTCTGGTGTTAAGCCCTGTGGTTCGGCGGATAAATTGCATATGTTATTAATTTGACGCAATCCCCAACAGAGAAAAGATCCTTTAATGAAAATATTCACCGTCACGTCAGAATGATCACATGCTGCATCCTGATCTCCTACAAAATAAAGTTTATTCTATTCTGTTCATTATGTTCTGAGGGTATTTTCAGTTTCAAGGAATTTGAAATACTTTGCAAATATATACTGGTGGACAATTTACGTAACATGATTGTCAACATCGTTACATTGTAAAAAAAAAAGTTGTGCATTTTTTATGCAATACTTCATTTTGCAACTAAAAAAAGGTTGCATCTTTAAAACCTATCATGATTACTATTTTGACTTGGGGCAGTCTGGTACTTTAGAGATGCCTGTGAATAAATAACTTTGGATGCAGGACTTTAATTGCGTCCCTTTAACTGTAACATTCGCGCTTTTACTCTTTTACAACCGGAAGTGTGTGCCACACAAACCGGTTCCATCCGGGACCTCCCGAAGATCAGTTTGAACGCATCACAGGCAAGAAATATTCTCAAAAACGGAAGGTATGCATACAAGAAATGTCAGTTGACTCGGTCTTTGTCCCCTGAAGCCCGCGTTTAAACGTTTGTTGTGGCCGGGTCTCACGTTAGCGCTTGCTAGCAGCAGCTAGCGGGGCTAATGTGGCTAGCCTAGCCATATTAGCAACGAGCAGGGATGTGTTTATAATGTTACGCACGGGGGGCGGTATATTGGGGCTGTTTGGTGTTGTGCTGCAGCCAATACGCGTTCTTAATTGCGCATGACAATTTCGGTGCAATGGGATCAATAACATATTATTTCGGGGATCAATTGCACTCCGGGTCGCAATCTGCACCCTCACGGACTGTGAGGCGCGCTCCCGCGAGGGACTGATTCTGTCCCGCTATAAGACATGTTGAGTCCTTTATGGACCCATCAGCATAAAGCAGCATTACATGCTTACGTAGCCCAAGGGAATTACCCACAAGTCATTGCAACGTGACGATATAGAAGGGATAAGGAGTGAACTCATTGAGACTAAAAAAGGTAAACAAGGAGGACGGCACAGGTGTGTTTAGGTTAAAACATTAAAACAAAAAAATACACATTTAAACATTAAGGTTTAAAGATGAAAAATAACAATCCCATACACATTCACACCGTGTCAAACCCTCACAGACTCTCACACTCATCCACCGAACCAGGTGACCAGGTGGCTTTGGGATTGGGTCTTGGGTTTGACCATTTCCTGACATGGTGCCTCCAGAATTTGTCGATCTCATCCCAAATCATAAAACCCACCTCAAGGACACGGCGGAGGAGAAACACTGACGTGTTTTGTGTAGAAGTGATTCTGACACAAACAAATTCAAGATGCGCGACGCACCGCTGTAGTGACCTCAAACTAGAGCTGGACTCTAACCGATCCTCTTTGTATTCATGCAAATCTTTATATTTAAATGATCAGACTTTCTGCTGTTCACAGTATACGCATCTCCTCATTAGAATCTGTTTAAACCACATTTCTTACTCAATACTGAACTCTACCGCTATTATCCTGCCACCAAGTCCTCTCCCCTCATTTCTCCTCCGCTTGTATCTCCCACGATGTGACTGACACTAGAGGAGTTGAGTCAATGACTACAGTAAACCTTATAAATGGTTGAATATATGGCTTCAATTTCTAGTTCATAAGTCTTTAATGCAGCATGATATTGATTGAGGGACTTTTTCTTTTAAGGATACAATAAAACACTAAGTGTAGTGTGCTTTAGGGCGGCCTTACTGTGATCGACAGGTCTGCCTCTACCAGTCTTATTCAGCGTCACCACATCACTCGTCCACATTGTCAATATCGTTTATCGAGACAACTGCAGCGAGACCGGGCCAGTCCTACGCTGTGTACGCAATGACTGCTTCTTACCATATAGGGTTCTGTATTGGGAGTCGTACACCTATCGGCATCAAGTGAAGTGTTCTCAGGATGGTCTGATCCGATCATCTCGTAAAAGCAAATGACGGTTCTGGTCTGTTACATTTTGCCATGTGTCTCCTATGCTTTGGCTTGTCTCAATTCACTGTTTAAACCAGAGATGAAAATATGAAAGAAAAATAAATGAGTTTGTGTGTGTTCTGCTCCCGGGAAAGTTGTTTCCTACCTTCATTTGTTTTCTTGCCTTTGCCTCCTCTGTTCTTTCTTTGTACTGAATACTTGGAAATGAAACCGACTGAATGAATGCGTGTCTCACAGCACCAGAGTGGACGACTCAAGACGAGACCATCCTGACGATGGATTTAACCCATCCAATAACCCCATCCTTTGTTTGTTTTTATTGTTTGTTTTACTTTCCAGCGTTGCATTGCTATCAGAGCCCTGCGGCCCTTCTCCTGCTCCACGGACCCTAACGAGCCCCTTGCTTGGGGGGCTCCACAGGAGCTCCTTGCTGCTTGGCCAGCAGGCTGCCTCCTTGCGGCTGGCTCAGCTGAAAGCCCAGCTGGCAGTGACGCAGATAAACAACGCCCTCGCTGTTGGCAGCCGAGTCGCGACCTTGGCGTCCAACTCGCCTGCTGCCTATATTCCCGCAATACCCCCCTCCCCAACCGCTGCGGCCATCAACCTCCTTAACCTTCTGAAGATCGCAAACACCATGTCCCATCCCCTCTATAACCCCTATGCCTCTGGGAACCAGATACCCCCCCAGGGGCAGTATGGACTCTCCAGTGGACACGCAGAGAGGGACCCTCGGACAGCATCTCGACTTGGACCTGGGTCCAGCTTCGACTCCTCTGGAACTTCTTCTGTGACTTCTAGCAGCTCTGGGAGAGTACCTCCATCTCAGCTGCCTCAGCTGATGAGCTACAGGCCTGAACAGAGTAGGACCATAATGGACGAGGGCATGGAGAGGTCTATAGACATGCAGATCAGCAGAGCCAGAGAGGAGGTGAGGCTCCTCGGCAAATCAGCGCATCAGCCCCTAGACTCTCGATATAGTAGCATTCAAAGGGAGAGTCTCTCCTCGGGCTCAGTGGTGGCTTCCTACCCAGTGTCCAAGAACTCTGGCCCTCTAGAGCAGAGCTACCCGACAGTTGAAAGTGTCAGTAGCTCCTCGGACTGGTTGTCAAACTACAAAAGGCCAAGTGCAGATGAACCCTCAAAATGTTATGCATCGTCTGCCTCGTCAAACTATGCAAGCAATGTTGATGGTAGGTTCAATGCGGCCAGTGAAAGACCGCGTGATAGGCCGTCCATTCCAGGGTTGGGTGATTTCGACAAAGCAGCTCCGGACCCCAGAGCGCCCACTCGACAACACAAGTACACCTCTGAATCAGCTTCTAACATACTGGTGCATTTTGGACTTGAAAAAGATGACTTGGAACATCTCATCTCGTACCCTGAAGACCAGATCACCCCTGCCAACCTGCCGTTCATCTTGCGGCAAATTCGCCTTGAGAAGACCAAGAAAGCTACAACTGCGGCTCCATCAAAACCCTGCCCCGAACCCCCACCCTACAGAATGACTCATTCCAGAGGGGCCGGGATGCGCCAGGAGGAAATGCCCCCGGCCGGCCGGCATTCAAGTAATGTGATTGACTATGGACACACAGGCAAATATACCGGAGGGGTTGGGGAAGGGATTGGAAGGACCAGTGGAGATACCAGTGGTGGGAGTGGAGGTATGTCGAAGATGGACACTTCCGATAGCAGCGGACACGCTCGAGAACCACAGCAAAAGCCCGAGTTGAAAAGCATTGCGTTGGGTTTTTCTCGTGACCAGGCGACTTTGGTTTCCAGTTTCAGCTCTTTGCACAGTACAACGCCGAGCTCTGTTGCTCCCCCGAGCAACGACCCGACCAAACGAGTGCAAACCCACGCAATCGTCAGCCCTTTCCATCTCAAAGACGCAGACGTCAGGGTTGTCAAGTCGGAAGCCCCCAAGCCCGTTCCAATGAAAGAGCCACAGGCGGATCGGCAGTCATCAATGAAAACCCAACCGGCCCCCACTCTGTACCGCTGTTTGCATCCCAGCAGACCGAGTCTGGTGCTCCTTGGCAGTAACAATGCCAGTGACGATACCAACCAGAGTAAAACCCCAGGACCACCGTCAGCCGTTGCAGAGCAGATGAAAAAACAGCAGCAGATGCAGAAGCAGAAGCAGCAGATGCAGGTGCAGCAGATGCAGGTGCAGCAGGTGCAGCAGATGCAGGTGCAGCAGATGCAGAAGCAGCAGATGCAGGTGCAGCAGATGCAGAAGCAGCAGATGCAGAAGCAGCAGATGCAGGTGCAGCAGGTGCAGCAGATGCAGGTGCAGCAGATGCAGCAGATGCAGAATCAGCCGGTGCAAAAGATTCAGGTGCAGCAGCAACCGACTCAACAGGGACAGAATCAGCTGGTACCGCAGGCCATGTGGCCTCAATTCTTTCCCGCCGCAAAGCCAGTTCCCCCGGTCCTTCACATCTCCGGCTTCGCTAACACTGTGCAGCGCCCAGCGTTTATCCCGAGTCGTGGCCCCCCAACCGCTCGTCCTCCTCCGCTTCTCACGCCCCCAAGCCTGATGGACTTTGTTCATCGGACAATGCCACCTTCGGACAGTCAGCCTCAGGACACGGCTGCAAGATCCAAGAGCCTGCCGACAGCAGCCATGATGCACGATTACGCAGCAGCCACGCCGAGAGTCTTTCCACATACTTGTTGTCTGTGTAACCGAGATTGTCAACGTATGCCGGTGAGTAGAAAAGTCTGCACCTTTTTAAATGTATTTATTTTGTCTCTCCCCGTTGGAAATTGTGGGCAATTTATTTCAATATTGTCATGGAAATATTGGGAAAATATATATTTCATTCTGAAATACAGTTTTTTAAATGATTACTTTTTGACTTTTGGGGGATTCTCTAATCTTGAATCGTGAAACAATTTATTTCTTTGAAACGAGGATGGATTGCAAACTTGTGATTTCTTTTTTCCCCCTTAAGTTAATAACTAATTTGGATTTACTGTACCAGTTAAAAGTTCTCCTTCAATGAGAAAGTGTGTCCAAACCTGACTGGTACGATATTATTTTACCAAAAGGCTTCTTGCAGCCAGTTACAGCCAGCTGCCTTCTCCTTTGTCTGTTATTCCAGTTTACAGTTTAGCCGACATGTGATTCAACCGACTTGTTGGTACATCACTTGTTTAGACAGATAAAGATCCAGGTCATCGGCATACGACTATTACCATTTACTGTGAATAATGACTGAAGAATAATGTGATTCAGCCACATGGGACCAACTTCTGGGACAATTGTTGAAAACTGAAGCCCTTAGATCTGAGCAGCAAGCATCTGCACGCCTGAAGAACTTCATCAGAGGATTAATGGAAGAGGACTGGCTAAGAAACGGTTGTTAGTTGTTGCGTGTGTAAATGCAGATGCATATATTGATATCGCATACTTGCTTGAAACTGACTCAAATGCCTCAAATTGGACGTCATTGACAATCGAGTCGATCTGATACTGAACGCCTATTTTTATTTGTTAAAAAGCATTTCAGTACTTTTATATGTATGTACCTTTTTGAACCCAAAGATGTTAGGAAAGCAATGTTTAAGTCCAGCCCGATGACTTAAATAATGATCCAATCGCCTCCTCACAGCTCATCAGTGACCCGTCTGTATCGCATTAGTTCTGAGCTTCTGCCGGTATATTGATATATGTAATGTCATCATGCAGCCCAGCTCCTTCTTCTTTTTAACCAAACAAACTCCAACCAGAAACCTCAAGTCTTTCCCAACATACCACACAATCAGCAAGATTTCATTGGACCGTCTGTCCATTTGGGACACCACACTTGTCAAAACATAAATGGCAAACCCACCAGCCCCCACGACCCCCTCTTCTCAGTTTCCACGTCTCGTGTTTCTGCCGTTGCCCTGGTACCTGATGGTGACCTCTGCTGGGATGACCTTCAGCTTACTGAAGACCGAAGAGCCAGACGTCACTCCATGAAGAACCTGAGAAGGAAGCTTCCTTCTGGTTGCTTGTCCCCGGTGCTGCTTTATTCTTTGTCTCCATGATGGATTGTTGCTCTTAACTCAAAGTTGAAAAAAGTCTGCTGTAATCTACCAAATGTTGTGAGGACTAAATGTCCTAAATGATGTTGTCCTGTTTCCATGTGTATTTGTCACTATTTGGTTCATATCAACACCATCATTTAAACACTGAGAGTCGCAGCTCTTCACTTTGGCTCTTCTTGTCCTTCACATGAGTGCCGTTGAATGAAGATTGAAAGACATCAAGTTAAAAAAAGACTTGCTTTCTTAAGACTTTTAATATCAGGACATATCACCACAAACTGGACACTTGGACATCCAGAGAGGAGGAGCTGTTTCTCTGTGGCTGCTGGAACGTTGGATGAAATATCTCTGTTGAGTTAATACGGATATCTGACAGCAGTTGTTAGGATCTAATTCTGCGTTTGTTGTTCCGACTGATAGGATTGGATCTCCCACCAGAACTCCAACCTTCACCTGAGGAAATGCAAACTCCTCCGAACACAGTCAGTCCCTTTTTTCTTTGAATTTATTTCCTAAACAGATATTACTTCACATTTAACCAAAACACCTGCCTGAGGTCTGCTTCCTCACAGACGAATATCTTTTTCAGTCCCAATGTGGCCTCTTTCCTGTTCTAATAGTTGCTTCATTTATTTGTTTTCCAACAGATTCCCAGAGTGGGATGGTGACATTGCTCTCAGGTAAATTAGATTTAGCTACATGTTGTATTTAGTCTTTCTGCACGGCTACAAAGCAACATTGTAAGAAAACTACCAATGTCAGACTTTGCGCCACACGTGGTCATTCGGGCATCTTGACCTCCCTCAAGATGTTTGTCCATTGGACCGACTCCCCCAACGTGTTGTGAGACCTTTGCTTTCCTTTTGTTCCTCATGCTTTTCATCCGTCGCTCTCTTCAGTGCTGCGGGTGACGAGGCCGAGCCCTCAGCCTCCTCACAGACTTCCCAGCATCTTCAGAAAGCCAGACATGGAAGCAGCTCCCGCTCCCCGAGCCCGCGTCACCATCGGCCCGGCGACAGGCGGGACAAACGCGGCCGGCGATCACCGTCGCCGTACAGCCCCAGATGCACTCGCAGGTCTGTGGTGCGTGACGTCTAAAAGCAGCAAATACGTTCATCTGACTCGGCACGCTGAGCTTTGGTCTGAACTCTCACCAGGTCCCGCTCCCGCTCCCCGTGGTCCGACCACCCGGCCTCCTCCCGCCATCGGTCACCTTCAAGAAGCCCTGAGAGACGAACCTCGCCCAGGAGAAGAGAAGATAGATGGTCATCTCCGAGGAGGAGCCGGGAGAGGCGATCATCTCCAAGGTGGAGCGACGGGAGGCAGTCTCCATCGAGGAGGAGAAGCGAGAGGGAGTCTCCATCGAGGAGGAGAAGCGAGAGGGAGTCTCCATCGAGGAGGAGAAGCGAGAGGGAGTCTCCATCGAGGAGGAGAAGCGAGAAGGAGTCTCCATCGAGGAGGAGAAGCGAGAGGGAGTCTCCATCGAGGAGGAGCGGCGAGAGACGATCGCCTGAACGTAAGACGAGCAGGACGGACCACTTGGTGAAGAAACTGCTGGAAACATCAGGTTTGAGAAACTACAAACACGTCAACCACTCATTTTGTGGCGGAACGTACTGAATTCCACCAACACGACCTGTTTGTTCACCACTAAATGATCATCTTTGTCCCTCCAGCTGTCCAGAGTCTGTCCAAGCAGTCTGACCTGGAGACGGTGGTTAAGACTCTGGCTCCGGCCTTACTGGCCGAGCTGGCCAAGATGAAGTCCACGTCATCGTCTTCCGTTGGAGAAAAGCCCTCCTCGTCTTCTGCCTCCAAGCAGTCGGCCAAAAAGGCCTCAACGGCAAGTGACACTCAAAGAAAACGCTACTCTGTTGCTCCGTCACTGGGTCGCAGGTCCAGGTGTAAGTGGACGTGATGGGTTTGTTGTGTCCTTTCACTGATGGAATCTGGTACCAAACACTGCCTCTCTTATTTGAGATGAATGTATTCCTGTACATGAATAGACCGGGCAAAGCTGAACACACGGACGCATAACGTTTGCACTAATATCATGTGTTTTTCTTATTTCAGACGAATGAAACCAGCGAGGTGAAACTGGAGGGGGTTCATAACGTCTTTCACAGTGAGGTGGTGGCTGCTGTGCAGAAATTTGGGAAGATCAAGTCCGTTGTCCTGCACCGGGCCACAGAGGAGGTACTGTACTTATTTTTGTTTTTTTGCAGCATTCAAACAACTGTGCTTTTAGCAAGGTTACTTAATATTTAGTTGCCGATCAAGCCGCCCGGCGCAGAGCGGCAAAGAGCCTCGGTGTGCGTAAATGTTTCATTGGTGTGTAAATCTGTAAAGAAATATTGTAATAACTTGTGTATGTGTGTATATATATATATATTCCCAGTGGTTGTATTCATAGTCGACATCTCGCTTTGTTTCTGTTCACTTGTAGGCAATCGTGACATTCGATAAAGTAGAAGACGCCAGGAAATTGAGGAGCTTAAAGAGCGTCGACGTGAAAGGGCATCGAATCACTGTTGCTGGACGAAAGGTATTAAACGTTACGTCTTTCTTCCTCCGGGAAATGAGCCTGTTCGTATTTGTCAGCTGCTCAACTTTCTTTGTATCGAAATCAATTCCTCATTGTTTCTAATATCCGAATGACAACATTGTTCACGTTGAGACTTTGTCTCTTAGTAATGTAAAAAAAATGTTTCTTTTTTTTACTGCAGGAGACTGTTGCCAAGAAGCTAAAGCCTTCCCAGAAGTAAGATATGTTTCACGTCTCTTTCCAGCTGGGGGCTTGTTTTTGCATCACTGCATTACTTCCTAAGTTTGTGTCTTCAACGGGGAAACGTGTAACTTTAAGGGAAATGTCCCTATTTTCACAAATCTGTTTTGTTGGAGTCTTTCCAGGATCTCAACCTGTGAAGAATAGTAATATTTTACAGTGGAGACCATTTGAAACCTTCACACTGCCTTTCTGTCTTGAACCTTGAATATCTCCATTTTCTCCTCATTGTGACCCAATGAAACGCTTTTGTTCACAGAAAACCAGCCACGGGCGTCGCCTCCACTCCTCAAACCACAAGAAAGGCCCATGACCCTGAACCTTCCATTTCTACTCTTAAATGTCCTGCAAAGCCCCCGTCTTCACCTTCTGGAGCCAAAACGGCCACAACAAGCCGACTCCAGAAAAGTGGCGTGAAAGGCTCAGTCAAAGGTCGAGGGACTGTCACTCAAACAAAAACAAAGAACATCTCAGCCAAGCCAATAAACAAAGGAAAGTTGCCTTTGAAGAGAGCTGTGAGAAAAACATCACCAGGGACCAAGTCCACATCTCCAAAATCCACCCCAGAAGAACCTGAAACCAAGGTTCAAGGAGCCACGGTGGTCAAAAAGGATCTCGGCGAAGCGAATGTCCCCAAAGAGGCGGAACCAAGGACGATTAAGGGAACGGGAGCTGAAGTGGAGGAGCCCATGGAAGTGGCAAGTAGTGCAGAGAAAGAGGAAGAAACAACAACCACGGAGGCGGCGGCAGAAAGTTCAGCAGACGAACCTGCCGGTAGTCGACCTGCGAGCAGCGAAGCTGATACGGGGCCGACCGAAACCTCGGGACCGGAGTCCGGCGCACAAGGACCGGAGACCCGGGCGGAACCTTCAGGCATCACGCAGGAGGCCGCAGGAATCTCCACGGAAGCAGCTGAGGAGGCCAAGCTGCCAGCGGGACGAGTGGAGACAGAAACAGCGGGAAAAGGTACGTTGGAAACCTTTTAACGGGCAGATAGCGAGTGTTGTTGAAGTTTGTCCTGCGGTGTTTAGAGCAAATAACTCTGAACCGCCTCACAATTGATGAGCAGCCGTTTTCTACTTGGTTTGCACGGAGACGTCTTTGGCTCCTTCTTCGTCGGCTCGTCATTATTACGAACGATTCGTTCAACCGTGCAGAATTTGACCTTGAGGATAAAACTCCGGAGGCAGAGAGTTCAGCCGGCCAATCCGGTGAGAGGGAACCGTCCTCCGTCGAAGCTTCGCCCCCCACCCAGCAGAGCACCTGCTCAGAACCGCAGTCCGCTGCACCAGGACCGCAGCAGGAAGCAGGAACCTCCACTGAAGCCTCCACGGAGGCCAAGCCGCCAGGTGAAACAGGAAGGAGGTCATTGGCCGATGATAATGATCTTTTTATCAAATACTGACGTTCGTCTTGATTAAATGTGGTCTGTAGATCCTGAGCAGGCGGTGGATACCCAAGGAGAGGCAGAATCATCCGCGTGGGCTTCCAGGAGCAACGCGCCGCTGGCCACGGCCATCGGCACTGATGCAGTGTTTTTTGGGGAGACGCTGGGATGCCAGATGTACCCAAGCAAAATACGTGAGTCGAGAAAGTGTCGGCGTGTCATTTTACGGTTTTTCTCTGCTTTCTTTGCCAATTTCTTTGCCTCTCCTTCACAGCGTCAGTGCCGGACACGACCCTCTCTAGTGAAGAGGTACGTTTGGTCAAACCCTTTGTGTGCGTCGCTGTGCCTACACATGTAGTTTACCTAAAGATAGAAGGATAAAGGTCTTTTCTATTTCGTTCCATGCAAACCGTTTTGGGATGCTCCTTTTTCGACTTAGTCAAAGAGCAGATACTCAAAACTAACATGTCATTTGCTATTTCATCACCTTGTTTCTTTACTGACACGTGGTTAGAAGATAACTGCAGTTCAACGGTCCTCATTGAAGCAGTGTATTTGGAATCTACATGAAGGATCGAGGCTCTTCTTTATGCGCTGAATATTCTTTAACAAACATAAAGTGCCCGTTTTAATTATTTACCTGCCCAACAGATCATTGCGAAAGGTTACAGGCAGTTGGTCGTTGGCCACCTGCCGGACTACGACAGCTGCTGCTACACAGAGGAAGACCTGGCAAATGTGCTCATCCCATTTGGCTTTCAATATGCAGAAGACCGCATCTACGTTCTTCCTCAGTCACGCATGGTAGGCCTCAGGTTAATCAGCCGTTTCTATTGTTGATGTTCATTCAAACACTTTTAAACACTTTGAAATATGCAACACGATAATGGCCGAGTACGTTGAGCAGATAAATAGACGTATTAACACGTTTGTGCGTTTCCTTTAGGCCGTCATCGTTATGCCGACGGCTGAGGATGTGCACAAAATGATCACCGGCCCCGTCAGGGAGGGCATTTTCTTCAAAGGACGGAAACTCTCTTTCCGTGTTGCAACTGACAATCCGATGTTGACACCGGTAAGCACGTCCACGCTTCGGTTTTTATTCTCCGTTTTCACTTTTACACGAGAGAAACAAACTCTGAAACGTGAAGCCGATGCTGATGCGCCACGAACAATTGATTTCCATTGTAGTCCCCTCGTATTAAGGTCTATGAGAAAGAAATATATACGTGTATATATATTTGCACAATCCATTTATAGTAATATGTATAGACTGAGTCTGTAGAGTATCGACTTTACATGAGTGTTGTTGGTTGTGGAAAAGCGTCTTTGTAATCTACAATAATGCCTGTTTCTCTTCTTAGTTCGAGTTTTATGAATCACTGACGAACCAGTTTCGTTACGTAAGTCATTTGCACAAATACACACCTTTTTTAAAAGCTACACTCAAGCTTTAAACAAAGTTCTTCATGTCATTTTTGATTGTTAAGATGCCTTTAAATTTAGATTCTTTATTTGCCTCATCAAACATGGATGAAAAACAACTATTGGAAACACACACCTGCAAACTCGCTGTTTTAAAAATCAAAATGTCATGCACGTGAATCACGTAGATCCAAAAAGTGTCTTTGTAATCCCCAATAATGCCTGTTTCTCTTCTTAGTTCAAGTGTTCCAAATCACGCACAAAGCCACTTCGTTACGTAAGTCATTCGCACAAATCCACACTTCACTCCATCTCTTTTTAAAAAGCTACACTCAAGCTTCTAAACAAAGTTCTTCATGTAACTTGTGATTGTTCAGATTGTCCTTTAAATTTAGTTTTGTTAATTTGCATGGAACAAAACTATTGGAAAGAGTTGAAGGGGATACATGACACTTATTTCAGATATTTTCTTTTACTTTGAAAAGCTTTCCCAATATTACTCTATTTAACTTTTGTTTTGGACGTTTACCTCCTTCTCTTGGTGCAGACTGTGGATGGTAAGGGAACACAAACCATCTTCATCACAAACATTTCATGGAGCGAGGCCTTGAAGCTCCGAGAGTCTTTGAAAACAATCCAACACGTCAAGAACTTCTTTCCTCTCCTCAACAAGGTATGAACACAACAACCAACACACACACACACAAGCAGGTCAGTTGTGATTGGTTTAAAAGGGACTTCCTGTTCCTACTCATGTGTCCCAGGTGTTCGTGGACTTTGAGAGCTCTTGGCATGCTGATCGGCTCGGCGTCTGGTACAGTCTCCTGAAGCGAGCCCCTAATCACAAAGTCACCAGGCTGACCGCGCCAGGCGTTCACAGTTACACCAAGAAACGTGAGTGTCTGTAGTCATCCGCTCAGGAAAGGATGGATTTTTGGTTGTAAAAGGTTGGTCACTGTGTCATGAGTAATAAAGCTATGTTCCCATAGGAATGTTTTCTAACTGAGATTAGCGACATATAAAGCAAGATGAACATATTCCATCGCGAAACACTTTGCTCTGCTTTTCTTGGAGCAGCACCAAGACATCCCGAGTGCGCTCTGCCTCCCAGCGAGGATGCTGTTACCGGGGCAACCGTCCCGCCAATGGAATTCGGCATTCCGCAGGGCAATGTTGAACCGTTCTGGGTGACGCTGAGATCGGATCCCTTCCTGTTCCTGACCCGGTCTCCTTGGTTCATCATCCCAAGTGAGAGAGCGACTCTTTGACCCGTTGACTTTTGTGCTCTAAATGAAACGTTTCATTCTACCAAACCTATCCAGCATTGTATTTGCTTATGTTCATTTTTATTTCCCAGAATTCCAGACAGTCCGAACACTGAATGATATTGCGGTAAGCTCAATAATTTCTCTACATTTTGGTTAATAAAAGTGTCGTATTGCAATCGGTATTGGCCGAATCCGTCTTAAAGGAGGAGGAGCTTGTTGGATTAATGTTATTGAGCAAACTGAAACAAAGCGTCTGTTAATATTGACACATAACGTATTAAAATGGACCGTTTTTAATCGCCCCAGAAGCCAATACTCATATTCTGCTTTGAACGCTGTGTTTCCCAGAAGGCCGTGCGCGGCCCCAAGATCCCAACCGTCATGTTGACCGGATTACCGGAGGGAAACTACCGGCACGACGACGTGGTCAAGCTGGTCCGGCGCTTTTTCCCCAGATGGAGCCTCTCCTCTGCGTTCTACGACGTGGTGGTCTTACCTCTGCAGAGGAGGGTAGGCCTCACGGACCGCACGCCCCCACGGGGACACACGCCTGCGTGCTCAGTCAACGCAGCGGTGTCGTTTGAAGTTTGATTGTTTTTCCTTTTCCGGTCTTCCCGCTCGCACCTCCAGGCCTTTGTGTTTTTCGCTGATTGGACTTCGTGCTGCAGTTTCGTCCGGGATCGTTTAAGAAAGCAGGTTTCTGTGCTGGATTGCCCGCTCACGGCTCACTTTGTCTTGGAGGACATGAATCCCTTCTCCACTGAGGTACGGACACGAGGAGCCACCGCACGACATCCCATGTGACGTATGTAGCAGACTCCCAATCAGCTCTTTGCTCCGGTGAGCGAAGCCAACATGGTCCTATTCCTGCTCCTCAGAGGAGTCCTGGTACCGGACCACCGGGCTCGCCATGATTAAGCCCGCAAATACAAACGTGTTTCCCTACTTATGCAAAGACATGTTGGTGTGAAATAAGGTCTTAATGGTGATACTCACCGTATTGAGGTATTGAGACTGTTCTGGTATCGGTGGGCTGTGCAACATTACTGTCATACGTTTAAACGCAGATATGAACCTTTCTTGACGTTGATCTTTCTGCAGGAGACGATGTACGCGACTCTGATGAAGTGGAGCAACGCTGTGAGTCCATCACCACGTCTCTAAATCCGCCCTGAAGTGGAGGCGGCGTCTTCGTCTTTGGTCCTGAAAACCTTTTGTTGCTCTTCAGGGGGTCCCGGAGCCGGAGGGTCTGGAGGAGCGGCTGCTGTGCGTGGAGACCTCCGAGACGTCGCCGCACATCACGAGGGCCGTCATGGGCGCCGTGGCGTCCGTGGCGTCCTTCGCCGGCTTCCTGCCGCTCGCCAACAGGGTGCGAGAGGACAAATGTGACGTTTAAACCACTTCAGACATATAAACCGAATCCCATGTCAGTGGATCGAAGTCACTGATCACTTCAGTTCCATCTGCAAAGGGCGTAAATATGTTTTCTTTAATGTTCACTTCCCCTCGAGTGCTGCTTTAAGGTGTCCGTGGACCTTCAGTCCGTAGCGTTGGCTGCTAGCTGTGCTAACTTGAGCTAGTTGACTCATAAACGGCCTGGATTTTCTGTTGCGTTTAAACAAAATAATTTGAGTTTGTTTGACCTTCAGAATTCTTCATGTACACGTTCTACTCGTGTGCTTCCATCTCACTGACTTGATCCCTCGCTCCTCTCTGTGTGTCCTGGACTGTCCTCCCCTCTCAGATATGCATCGAGATGACGGACTCCGGCGCTGTAGCCCAGGTGGTGAAGGAATTGAACCATCTCTTAAAAGGGTCCACGGATAAACCTGAAGCTTGGTAAGCGCTGTGAGATCTTTCTTCCTAATGACCAATGTGTCGTGAATCTTTGGATAAAGTGGATATCAAAGTACCTGAAGCTCCTTAAGACTTATGGGAAAGTCCTAAAGAACACACAAGCTATCAAACATGAGCCGTAAGTACAGACAGGATTCATGGAACAATTCAGCTGCAAAGGGACTTCCTTCTCCCTGAGACCAGCGAGAAGCTTCTTGGTGTGAAGAGACCACATGTGATCCAGATGTGGAAACACCGCGTAGACGTTTCAATCTAGAAGAGACGTCCCAGAGTGCATGAGATCCATTAAAAACACCTGTGTTTCCCCACTCAGTCTCCAGGTTGCCTTTGTATGCGTCCCTGTCTTTAAAACATTCTCTCTCTCTCTCTGCAGGAGTGAAGTTCAACATGTCGAGACGTGAGTACGTCCCCTTTGTGGTGGATTCCTGTCGGGTCCACGTGGACACGATGATCCATTTGATGACTGTTGTGACCTTGTAGGCTGTTAGCTGGTGGCACATTTCGCTGGATGAACAGTTTTCTATTAAACTCTCTGGTTCGTGTCCTTTCTGTTTGTGGTTTCAGTGTGAAGAGCCTGAAACAGCGTCTTCAATATTCTAGCGAGAACCAGAACTTACAAGACGGCTCCGTCAAAGTCCAAACCGAGCCCCTTGCTGCGAAGCGTCCAACCCCGCCCTCCTTACCTGGACTACCGGATATTGGGTCACAACCTGCCGAGAGAACCGGTGGCTCAGGTGGATCCACCGTTGCTCAGCCCGTCCCAGCAGGACCAGGTGCTGGTGCCGCCAGCGACGCCTCCTTGGAAGAGGACGAGGAGAAAGTAGCCACCGAGTCCGCTTTTGGTCCCGGAGACGTAGAGAAAGCAGAAGAACGGGAGGACGAGGAGCCACTCGCGACGTCAGCCTTTACTGCTGATGTGACCTCTGATCTGGGTCCTTCCCCGTCAGCCACAGCGCTCGCGCCCCAAGAAAGCTTCGCCGCGCTTCCTCAGATTAACGCCGACGTTTTCCAGGCCATCGCGGCGGCAGTTCGCAACCACCGGCTCACCCGAGAGAGCCGCTCCAGGAGCGAGGAGAAGGAGGTGAGATGTGGCCTTCACTGTCGTCGGCAGCAGGCCGACCCCTTATGAACCGGCCAGGAACGCGTTGTAGCACCTGGTCAGGAAACGGGGACGCTTGGTTCTGGAGCTGGAGCTTGAAGCGGCTTCAGGGGACGAGCTGGTGCTCACGTCCACGCCGTCCCTCCACGGCCCTGCGTCATAAATGTCTTCCCCCTTCGTTCACGCGGCGCTAACCTGTAAATACTTTCTCCAGAGGACCAGCAGCAGCAGCAGAAGCGCGAGAGGTGCAGCGGCTGAAGACGCGCCGCAAACGGAGGTAAACTGCCTCGTTTTTCATTCCCAAAAACCTTCCTGTCGTCTTTGTGTCCACCATTTGAGCCTTTTCACAGGGGAGACCTGGATGATTCTGTCATATAAACGTTTAGTTGCTTTTAATTGAAAAGCCAACTGATTCATGGTCCCTTTTGTCCCGTATTCAGGCTCAGGATGATGCTACGTGTCACATGGCCTCGCCCGATGCCGCTCGCTTCGATGAGCTTAATTTCAACATGGATGACTTTGTCACTGTCGACGAGGTCGGCGATGACGTGGGCGACAGAAGCCCCGAGCCTCATGGCTCCTCTTCATCCAGGCAGTCCTCCGGACCAGGAAGAGAGGGACAAAGCCTCCAAGTGTCCGCTGGCAAACAGACCTCGACGGGGTCCTGGAAAGACTCTAAAAGCACAGCATCTGCCTCTCCTTCCTCATCCAAGTCCACCGAAGACTTGAGCTCTTCGGTCTGTGGCTCACCAACCAGGTCCTCCATCAAACCCTCCGCCAGGGCCAGAAAGGCCGTCCCCTCGTCCCCGCTGTCTACTGAAACCCCGTCTGCACATTCTGCAGCCAAAGCCTCCACCGCTGCGTCCTCCGGTTTACGTACCCGCTCGTCCTCTGCACGGGAAACAAAGAGGATCGCCTCAGCAGCAGCGTCCTCGGCAGCAACGTCCTCGGCAGCAGCGTCCTCGGCAGCAACGTCCTCGGCAGCAACGTCCTCGGCAGGAAGTCTCTCCGAGCAGCTTTTGGAAGGACAAGACGCAGAGCGCACGGTGGACGAGTCCGACCAAAAGATGTCAGAGACACTAATAGAAACCTCATCAGAGACACTAATAGAAACCTCATCAGAGACACTAACAGAAACCTCATCAGAGACGCATCCGCCTCACGGAGAACGTGGGTCAGAGAGTCTGGAGATCGACATTAACGTCAAGACACAACAGCAGAAGCAAAGCGCAGAAGAAAAGGAAGAAGATGATGTTGACAAACGTACCAAGGTGGAAGAAGACCAAAGCCACCGAGCTGTTGGTCCGCTCGGGGACGGAACCGATGACCCGATGGACGATGGGGAGCGAACACGCAGCTCTGAAGCCCAGACGAGCGGACCGAACGCAGGCCAGACTTTGCGTGACGAAAGCCTCCAGGTGGCGGACGGCGTCGGCGACGAGGTCCTAACCGGCCCACCGAGGTGTGAGGAGATGGAGGTTGACGCTTCTCTCCAGGTGTTGGACAGCGTTACAGAAGGCGAAGCCGCTACAGGACAAGAGGACAGCTCCACGGGAACGTCTGGGGATCATTTACAGCTGTTAGATGCAGGTAGTGAAGACACGCCGAGGGACATGGGGGACGAGAAGAGGACAGCAGAGGACGAAGTCAAAGCTAAGGATAATGGTGACAGACTGGTTCCAAATGAAGACCGTTCTCTTCCTGACGCCGGAAACAAGGAAAACTCCAAGGACCCAGAAAGGGACGTAACTGGACAAGAAGCCTTTGAGATATTGGATCCGATCGACGATCTCACTTCAGCAGAAGATCACGGCCAGAACCATGAAATGAACAGTGGCCAAATCTCCCAAGAAGACATCCTGGCCACGGAGGACGAGGAAGACGCATATCGGGTAATTGACTCGGTGGAGGACCAGCCAATGACTACGGACTCTGAGACCGGCCACCAAGGAAGAAGAAACTCGAGAGGGACGGCGACCGCCAGAAAAGACAACAAGCCGTCCAAGAGGAGGGAACCCACAACCACCGCGTCCACAAGGGACGAGAAGGAGCCGTCCCCAAAGAAACCAGACAGAGCGGGTCAAAGATATGAGACGCGGTCAAAGCCGGACCTCATTGCAAAGGTTTCCGAAAAAGACAAAGAGGTCCCCGAAGACGTTGAGTTTAAGATAGTAGATTCTGTAGAAGAAGAACCGGTTCGACTCGCTGCCACCCCGGAGATGTCTGTCAGAAGAAGAAGTGCGAGAGGAAAGAAAGAGGACAAAACCACAGTGGATCTCACAGACGCGTCCAACAAAGCAGAGGAGGCTACTTACAAGATCTTAGACTCTGTGGACGATGAGGAACCGACAGCAAGAGCCACCAGAGGAAGAAGAGGACGGACGACGAAGAAAGAGGCCTCAAATGAGAAGACCGAAGACACCCCGACGGGACGCAAGCAAACTCCCGCCAGAGAGTCACAGGAACCAAACGGGGGAGAGAAAGGCGCTTGGAGAGCGAGCACCCCGTCACGGAGGAGCGGCAGTGTGGTGAGCGAGTTCAGCCAGGAGGAGCGACCCGCTACAAGAAGCAAAGGGACGAGGGGAAGACCAAAGAAAGGAGCCAAAACAACTAAAACATCAGCATCTAAAGATGCGCCTGGCGAGGAAGAGGCGGCGTATCGGGTCCTGGACTCCGTGGAGGACGAGGCGGAGAGCGCTCTGATGGACGTGGACCAGCAGAGGCTGAGGAGTGAACCGCTCACAGGATCGCCCAAAGACGGAGAGGAGGACGAGCCGATGTATCGCATCATCGATTCTCTGGATGACGATCAACTATTGACCGGAGGGGACGAGACACGGGAAGGGGCATCGGCTGAAGAAGAGGACGCCTCACCGCGCGCCGGCGAGGACGACGGGGCTGTGGAAGAGGAGCCGCTGTATCGGATCGTCGACGACGTGGACGAGTCGTCTCCTGCAGGACCTCAGAGGGATCCCGCCGGTCCTGGAATGGACGGCGAGAAAGACGACACGGCGCGCAGTCTGGTGAACCTGGACGAGGTGAGCGAGGAGGAGGAGGAGTACCCCGACGACACGGCCGAGGAGGAGGAGCTGAGGAGGCGACAAGCCGCCGCAAAGGAGAAGCAGATCGCCGAGGAGCGAGCAGCGAGGAGGACCAGGGAGAGCGAGGAGAGGAGGACCAGGGATGCGGAGCGAAGGAGCCGGAGCGGCAGCAGCAGTAGAGGAGGCGGGGCAGGGAGGAGGAGGGAAGAGGAGGAGACGGGGGCGGTGGACCCCCAGGAGCTGGTGACTCTGGATGAGGTGGGAGCAGATGACGGCGGAGAGGAGAGAGCAGCGAGCGGCACGGAGTGGGACGGCGAGATCACGGGGGCGGAGCTGCAGACGCTCGTCACTCTGGACGAGTTCATAGAAGGAGAAGAGGAGGACGGGAAGGTGGAGCAAAGCCCTCGGAAGCCCCGCCCACCCAGCCAGGAGGAGGAGTCCGTGGACCTCTTGGACCCAGAGGTAAAAGTTTAGTTTTCTTCTGTGGGGAAATCACACGTGAACCCAAAGGGAAGCTCAACTAATACAAGATGCTTTCAGGCTTTGGTGACTTTGGATGAAGCTGGCGACGATGAGGAGGAGCAGCCGGACGAAGAGCCAGCTGAGAGCAGATCTGCCAAACGCAAAAACAATGACGACTCAGGTTTGTGTCGCTCCGTCAACACGTAGTTCAGCATCAGGAACACCTGCACGTTCCACATCTCCGGTGGGCGGATGACTCTCACCTTGGATTCCACATTAAACATCGATAGAAACTTGTGAATTTGACTGCGTCTTCACCTAAAGTCTGCTGAGGTAAACACATAATAAGTCATGAATAATTCCCACTTTGTTTTGTCCAGCTTTAGAAGACAGTGTCCACTTTGTGACGGTAGACGAGGTGGGAGAGGTGGAGGAGGAGGAGGAAAAGGAAGCGGTGCAAACCAGGAAAAGAGGACGACCCAAGAAGAGAAGCCGACAAACTCCTGGTAACACCGACGAATGGACCAATGGCGGATGATCCCGCCCCTTTTGGAATGCGGAAGGCTTTCACTGGTCTGCTTCACCGATTTGTTGTCTTTCCCCACAGTGAGGAAATCGGCCAGAGTGAGAAAGGGGACCACAAAAGAGGAGAGCGCTGAAGAAAGGGAGCCAGCCGCCAGCGATCTGCTGCCTCCATCTGCAACCGACGCCCCCCCGTCGCGGGGCAGAGGTCGTTCTGCGTTGTCACGTGTCGGCCAGCCGGAGATTCAGAGGACGGAGACTGATGCTGCCGCCGGGGGGGAGCCGGAGCCGCAGCATCCTGAGAACCAGACCCAGGAGCCATGTGGGGAGGAGGAGAAGTGGGACATTAAAGGTACAAAGGTCGTAAAACAAGGACACGCTTCTGAGGGAAAGAAATGAAGAAATCAGAATACAAACCTTTTTCTGGTCTTTCATTTCCAAACATTGAGTCTATGATCAGGTAAAGGGCCGCACAATCCATAGAGTCCTCCATTGATTTCACATATTAATGTGCAAAGAATTCTTTGAAATACTACTGCAAGGTCTATAAGTTCTATAGAATTAAGCCAAATTCGTTTTGGCTCCATACGCATTCCAGTGTGCGTATATTTGTACCTAAACAGGGACAGTTTGGGCCTGAAATCCCTAGTTTAGTGTCATTGGCTGCAGAGATGTCGTCTTCTCTCCAATATAACGAGTTTATGCAACAAAAAGAGAAAAACATTTGAAATCCTGAGGCAGTGAGATCCACACAGGCCGTTTAAACCACTTCCTGGTCCTTCCTTCCTTCTCCTCAGCTGCCGGTAAGCGGACGAGGGAGCTTCTGGGACCCGAAGCCAAGCGATCTCGCTCTCAGTCTCCGTGCGTCGCCGCCGACATCAAACTGCCGGCGTTCAAACCCAACAACCCGCTCGGTGAGACTCCCGCTTCCTTTGAAGTCGTCCCGAGATGCTGTTGTTTCTTCGCCCCCCCCGGTTCACCTCGTTCACGTCCTCCCTCTCCAGGTCGGGAGTTCGTGGTCCCCAAGTCGGGTTATTTCTGCAACCTGTGCTCCGTTTTCTACCTGACCGAGAGCGCCGCCAAGGACCTGCACTGCAGCAGCCGCAGACACTACGACAACCTGCAGGCACGCACACACACACACACACACACACGCCAAAGGCAACGCCAACAAACACACTCTTTGTTTGTTTGTGTTTACCTGCTTTTTCTTTTCTTAACAGAAACATTTCCAGGAGCTTCGACTGAAACCACAGAGCAGTTCCACACAAAGTTCTCAAGGCTCCGTTTCCGACTGATCCCCACTTTTAGTTTTAACTTTTACCAAATATGTGAAAGTGGTGATGGCGGACAGCTTTACCGCCCCCTGCAGGGTGTAATAAGCAATGTTGGTCATAACTAATTGCTGTCTTAATAGTAGCCTCTTTTTTATATATAGATGTGTAAATATTACGTGTAACCTAAGACCTGAGTAACATAATTACTAAATACTTCAGCACGTATTGTCTCAAATCAAACCTCCAACTCTACAGTCCAAGTTCCATTTCACATGAACTCATTTACTCAACCCTAATCAATAAAGGATTACGACAGTATTATTCTTTAAATATGCAGATTTTGCTTCGTTTCTGGAAATTAGTTTAAATGTTGCACTACTCGGCTGTTAGCTAACGTGTGGTGGAAGATATTCTCATGCAATTGGGAATCAGTTTTGAAGTCTCTTGTGAATCAAAGTTGCATTTTCCGTATATTTCTTATAAGGAGGAAGAAGAAGTCTACAACAGAGTCTGCTTCTGCATGTTTGAGAGCAACACAGATGTTCTTCTTTCTCAGGGGTCACACCTTGGTTGTGTAAGGCTGAAGGTGTGGTAGACCCACACCCAGGAGGTCCCAGACCTGAGGCAAGACAGTTACAATAAACGTGTGATTAGATCTAGGACGACTACCACCTTCTCCTTCCCCCACTCTGCTGTCTTATGCACAGACGAACGGGATCAGAGCGGGAGGAGCGGTGAGGTTCTTCTGATCAGAGAGATCCCACACAGCTGGTGGGACAATTAAAGTAATGATTCGCTTCGGACATTGATCTAATAAAACATTATGGGATCATTATGTTTTACCCCTATACGCTCGCTGGCGGCCTCTCGCTGAACATTGTCCTCCTGGGAGACGTCCATGTTCAGCGGCAGCCTGCTGATTGGTCGATGCGGTCCACTGTCCCCACTTCACCGGCTCTCGGGGGGAAACGCATCAATCAAAAGTATCTTAGAAAAGTATCCAGAGGAGCTGGAAGATCTGACCAAGTTCTCAGTCTCAGAAACGGAAGACCCCTCCCGCCCCCCCTGGAAAAGGAAGATGGTGTAAACAGATGTCGTTGGGAGACGCCCGTGACCCTCCCTTAGTGGACCCTCATCATATAGGACAGACAGAGAAAAACATCATATGGATCAGTCAAGGCACCTGCCTTCAACAACGGGATGCCATTGTGTAAAGGTCAGGTCACGAGTTTTTGTGGAGTCCATTTCTGAACCGGATGATGCATAATAGTACTTGCGTGTTCAACTGATACACAAGTACTAACAACCTTCCTTACACAGATCTCAAAAACAGTTACAATGTGGGTTATAACAATTACAACCAGAATAATGCCCCCTAATGCTCATGGGAGTCCTTTGAAGAGAGAAGTTCCCCGCGATCCGAGCCATGTGCCGGCTTTGCCCCAAAAGGATTCCAGCCGTGGCCTTCATGCAGTTCCTCAATGCCTCGTTCTCCACAGATTTAGGAAGCTATGCTTTAACTCTTTAACTGGAGTGCGATATGCTTCAGGCTGAGTGAAGAACCTTATCCGGTCAGTTCAAATCTGTTACGCCGTGTACTTTTAGCTAAGATAAGCTGCAATCCCAAGGCTGAGGAAGTCCATCACGAGGCAACCCGAAAAAAACAACATTAGCAAAATAAATATCAGCAGACACGTTCATCACTTTAGTTACACGTAGTGATGATGTGACACCTGCTGTTGACTGAAAACTTTGTTCTGCTTGCAGGAGTGCATTCAAATCATCATGCAAAGCGCTGAGCTTTTATACACACGCACAAGAAGGTCGCCAGTGGCAGGTGGCGCCGCGGGGAACTTCCACTCATATGAAACTAGGTTATGAAACTTCTTCACACACAGCGGCAAACAGAAACTCTGAGTCATTCTGCTTTTGACACTCTTTAAGCATAAGGCTATGTCCCAACATATTTTACCATTACAAGGATTTCCTCACTACTGAGTAAGACACTCACTGGATGGACATCCAATAATGTACTCTTTGGTTTTGGGGTTTGAGAGGAGGTCAAAATGAGAGAATAGACCGAGACGTACTAAAGTAAAAACAAATACTTTACGTCAGTTATATCCAGAGATAAGAGATACCTTGGGTTCATAGTAAGCTGTTAATTTTGCCTGCACACACACATCCTCTTCTTCTTTCTACCGCTGCACATGTGCTGAGCCTTGAAGATACAACGTGTCAGATACACGCAGACAAAACACTGCTCTTATCTTATAGAAAGCGGCCTCTCCCATCTCATACAATCATAAATAAAAACACATGGCCCTGTCTCTGGTGTGGGAAAGGTAACACATCGGATATCACCGCCACCCCACCCCACCCCTTTAAAAAAAATAAAAGTTTATTATTTGAAACTTCACAAACACAAAATTCCAAATAAAAAAGGAATTACAGACATTTAAGAGAATTTACATGATTTTAATGTAATTAATTGAATGTATTCTTAACTATTACACTTGATCGCTTCTTGGTTTTTAATGTCCGTTTTTGTATCATTTGACAATCCTGTTAAGTATTTTATTTTAAAGAGTCTTTTAAAACTTTTATTGGCGTTGTTTTTGTTACCGTTCCCCGGCGGACGTGACCCCGCCCCCTTTATGCCCCTCCCCGCTTCCCGTAGTCCCGTCCGATGGTCACAAATGGCGTTTCCCATTGTGAGGGTAAGTCACGTGTGAATAATGTTTCCGCAGTATTTCGGTTGGTTAGCCGCATTTATTCGAGTGTAGTTGCGTGATCGTGTAGGTTTACAACAATAAGTTATGGCTTTCTGTGACGTCACCGGACACGCTAGCCGCTGTTAGCATAAGCCGGGCGCTCACGGTCTTTAGGGAGTTAACATGAACTTTTTTCGGCGGACGTCGCCGAAACCTTTAGTAATGTTAACTCGTACATATCAAAACATGTAACGTGACGTGTAAAATACTACGAAGACATATGAACGTTTACGTGTCTAGTTACGACAGGGACGTGGCTTTGATGAGAGTTAGCAGTACGAACGTTGGGGCGAAACTCGGAGAAGTTTCTCTGTATTTTAAAGGAGCTTTTATTGCACAACTTGAAGCGTGATTTCTTATTTTGAAGGGTCCCGGATGTGCTATCATTTTTTTATCGACAGTTCTACTGGAACGTTGGCTAAAATCTTCAGCCTAGTTTGTGCTTCTGCGTTTTCAGAGAGACGCAAGAGTCCCTCGCGTGTCTTTTCACACCTCCTTGCGTGCGTCAACCCATTTTTCTCGACGTTTCTCGGTCTGATAACTGCATCATTTACGGAGGCTCGCGTTTCCTGTTTCATAGCACAATAATATTATTAAAACGAAGAATGTTTACGAGAGAACGGATCAGATTGAAGAGCTTTTGTCGTAGTACCTGTTTATTTTGTCCACTTGGTGTCGCTGTTTCATTGCATATATGTTTACATGTTTATGAATTCAACTTTTGTTTATTTAAATGTTTCTACCTACACATAAATACTTAAACAAAATGAATAAATGTATTGTTTTTATGCAAAGAGATAAAGAAAACCTCACTTCAAGCCATATATTTATAAAACGTTAAACACACTAAGCTCCTTGCACAGTGCTATTTTACTGAATTACACAATTGCAAAAGCGCTAACGTTAGTACTAAAAACATGCTAAAAGCTCACAATATGATCACTGAATCTCTCCATTATGGGATCTGTGTCAACTCAGTATGGTCACAGTCTTATATTATTTTACCTGCTCACTAGGATTATGTTAAATAATAAGTTACACACTGTAGTGTCACTGGCTTTTATTGTGAAAAGCTAAAAGGCCTTTTGTAAGAATACGTGTTCAAGATTTGGAGCCTGGTCGGGGTTATCAAAAATTCAGCCGAACGACTTCTCTCGTTCTGGGAGATTTATTTGTCAGATCACAGGTCAAGTATCAGCGCTGCGTTTGCAAAGGCAGGAGCAGTTCAGGCAGCACACAGGCCGGAAGAACAACTCACCAACATCAGCAAGAACATCATGTTTAAAACCCTTGAAATACAGAGAAGGAAATATTTCTATTGGCCCTAAACTGGCGTAGAGGAGGACCTTCCACCTCCCGCATCTAAAGATCCGGTCACATCCAATGTCCAGACTCCTGACTTAACGTAAACATCGTAAACAGAGTGTGTATGTTGAATAGTGTTGGTGTGTCTCTAACCCCCCTTTGGCTGGTAAATCTGCTAGTTGACCCGCTGACCTTGCATTCCTCAGCCAGGACATAAACTGACTCCCCATCTTGTCAGACTCGTGTCTGCCTGCTTGGCAGATCCTGCTTCCCCCCTTACCTAACTCTTAAATCAAGACAAGACAGCAAACCCCCAACTAAGCCCATGAAAAGAACTTTTGATTATCAATTTGTCAAAGTGACGCAGTTTGCCGCCTTAGTTCGGACTTTTGAGCCCCAGTGTTGATTGTGTGAGGGTTTTTTTTGCCTCGCGTCAAAGGGAAACGGCAGAATGTTCACCACAGTGGGTGTTGGTGTTCTCTTGTGGTCCCGTTTTTCTAGCAGAACCTCCTGGTATCACGAGAATCCAGGAACCTCCCAGGTTTGATCCCCCTAACTTGGAGGCCTCATCCAGCGGGCCGCCTCCCTGCAGCGGGCTGAGCTGAAAGCAGATAAACAACACCCTCAGGCACCATGTCCCGTCCCCTCCGTTACGCCTCTGGGGACCAGAGTTCCACAGCACAGGGGCAGCACGGACCCACCGGTGCACAGGCAGAGGAGGACCCTCCCGGACCTGGATCTAGCATCAGCTCTTCAGTAAACTCTGCTCACTCCGGGGGAACGCCGCCGCCGATGAGCTGCAGGCCTGAGCGGAGCAGGGTCGCATCGCGGTCTATAGACGTGCAGATTGGCAGAGCCAGGGCGGGGGCGGGGCTTCTCGGGAAGTCAACGCTTCAGCCACGAGGGCGTCGCGTGACCGGCATTCAAAGAGAGCGTCTCTCCTCAGCCACAGGGATGGTCTCCTACCCGGTGCCCTCAACCTATGCCTCTAAAGGTCATGGACATCCAGGGATGGAAATTGCCAGTGACCCCTCCAGGCCCCGTGAAGATGAACCCTCAAAATTGTCGTCAGCTTTGTCTTCTAATCCACCCAGCAGAGGGGACAGTGTGTTAATGGTTTCAATCGACAGAAAACATGTAACGCTCTCTCTTCCAGTGTTAAGTACATCCGAGTCTCCGCTGTCTGACACGCCCGCAACTCCTACGCCGCCCAGTCGACTCAGCGTCTCTGAATCAGCTTCTAACATCCTTCGGCGATTTGGACTTGAGCAAGAGGACCTGGACCATCTCGTCTCGTACCCCGAGGACCAGATCACCCCCGCCAGCCTGCCGTTCATCCTGCGACAAATCGGCATTGAGAAGACGGAGAGAGCCTTGGGCGCATCGCGGTGTAAGGCCCGCCCCGAACCCCAACCCGCCCCGAGCCAATCGGTAGTGGGCGGTGATGGGGTGAGTCATCCCGGAAGGGCGGCGAGGTTCCAGGAGGAAAGTTCATCCGCCGTCCTCGAGCCCAGTAAAGTGACTGACGGTGGACGTGGTGACGAATGCGTCGAAGGGGCTGCAGGCGAGGTTGGGAGTGTCAGTAGAGAAACCTGCGGTGGGATTGGAAGTACGTCGCCGGCGGACGCTGCCGGTAACAAAACCGAGGTGGAAAGCGTCGCGTTGGGGTTGTCACGTGACCAGGCGGGTCCTGCCTCCAGCCTCGGCCCTTTGAACGCTTCAAAACTGAGCTGTGCCGCGTCACCAATCAGCGACCAGACTCAAATGCAGACCCAAGCAAACCGCCAAACGCTCCCCGGTTCTTCCTCCATGCCGAGCACAGCCGTCGAGTCTGAGGCCGCCGACCCCGTTGACCCTTTGATAGACCAAGAGAGTTCGCCAGGTCACCGGTCGGCATCCCCCAAACCGGACCCCGTGCTCGTCGGCAGTAGTGACCACGATTGTCAATCAACAGCACAAGTATCACAGACCATCTCGCTTCCGGCCTCGTCTGCCGCCGAATCAGTCGCCCGGCTGCCGTCCGTCCCGGCCTGTCCTCCCCCCGCCGCCTGTCCTCCGGCTCAGCCCGTCCCGGGCCCTTCGGACGTCACTCACCCGACGCCTCCGTCCTCCGACCAGCCGCCCGCCGCGGAGAAGGTGTCCGTCTCCAAGGGTGTCCCGTCGGCCGCCACGATGAGTGACGGTGCCGCGGCCACACCGGGGCGCTTTCCGCACACCTGCCGTCCGTGTCGCAGCAAATGTCTTCAGATGAAGGTGGGGGCAAGGAGATGTATGTTTCCACATCTGGCAGCGACGCCCCTGGTGTGAATGCACGGCATCGTCTAGTTTAGTTGGGCGGGTGCCGTTTATTGGCGATAGTCAGACCTTTTTAACGCCGTGTCTTTGATTCGTAGGATTGGATTTCCCACCAGAACACAGACCTTCACCTGGAGAGATGCAAACACCTCCGGTTACGGTCGGTCTTTTTCATCGTAACTTTCTTACTTTAAAGATCTTGTTAATTGAAGTTATTTTTTGGGGAATGCCAAACTGCTGCTGGACCTTTACTATTCCTCGATGTTCTTTTCTACTTTTCTACTGAATACATTTCGTGAGCGCCTGCTCCACCGCCACGAGTGTCTCAAATAGTTTTCTCTGTTGTCATAGATACCCGGAGTGGGATGGTGAGATTCCCAGCAGCCGATCGCGATCGCCTCACAGCAGCAGGTCTGTGACGCACGTATTCTAATGCCAGTAACACGATGGTTGATGCCACCTGCTGTTGAAATGACAGCAGGTGGGATCAAAAATATGTTCCTGCAGAACCTTTAAAATGTCCTTCAGAAGCATTTTAGCATCTTCAACTTTGAAAGCTACAATTTGAGAAATCATCACGGTTTATTTCCATCTCTAATACTCTAAAAAGGTCACAGTCGGGTTCTCGCCCCACCTCCTCCCGCTATCGGTCATGTTTAACGAGTCCTGAGAGGAGGAGAGACGATAAAGGGTCCTTGCCAAGGAGGAGAGACGAGAGACGATCGACTTCAAGGAGCAGAGACGAGAGACGATCGACTTCTAGGAGCAGAGACGACAAACGATCGACTTCAAGAAGCAGAGACGACAAACGATCGACTTCAAGGAGCAGAGACAAGAGACGATCGACTTTAAGGAGCAGAGACGACAAACGATCGACTTCAAGGAGCAGAGACGACAAACGATCGACTTCAAGGAGCAGAGACGACAAACGATCGACTTCAAGGAGCAGAGACGACAAACGATCGACTTCAAGGAGCAGAGACGACAAACGATCGACTTCAAGGAGCAGAGACGACAAACAATCGACTTCAAAGGGGAAAGACGACAAACGATCGACTTCAAGGAGCAGAGACGAGAGACGATCAACTTCAAGGAGCAGAGACGAGAGACGATCGACTTCGAAGGGGAAAGACGACAAACGATCGACTTCAAGGAGCAGAGACGAGAGACGATCGACTTTAAGGAGCAGAGACGACAAACGATCGACTTTAAGGAGCAAAGACGACAAACGATCGACTTCAAGGAGCAGAGACGACAAACGATCGACTTCAAGGAGCAGAGACGACAAACGATCGACTTCAAGGAGCAGAGACGAGAGACGATCGACTTCAAAGGGGAAAGACGACAAACGATCGACTTCAAGGAGCAGAGACGAGAGACGATCGACTTCAAGGAGCAGAGACGAGAGACGATCGACTTCAAGGAGCAGAGACGAGAGACGATCGACTTTAAGGAGCAGAGACGAGAGACGATCGACTTCAAGGAGCAGAGACGAGAGACGATCGACTTTAAGGAGCAGAGACAACAAACGATCAACTTTAAGGAGGAGAGACGAGAGACGATCGACTTTAAGGAGCAGAGACAACAAACGATCAACTTTAAGGAGGAGAGACGAGAGACGATTGCCTGGAAGAAGGACAATCGAGAGACGAGGGAGTAGCAGTGATGAGAGCAGCTCCGCTCCGTGTAAAAAGTTGGCCGAGAAACTACTGAAAAATTCAGGTTTGAAAAATGTATTTCTTTAAGATTTTCTGCTGCAACTAATATTTTTCTAAATATAAGATTTACTTTCTCAGTCATATATCTTTATGGTTTGAAGATTTTATTTACTTTTTAAGCAGAACTCCTTAGCGAATGCAGCGTCCTTTTCACCGCCCACCAACATTTGTCATTCAGCTATGATGTCATCGTCGTTGTCGTCCCCACAATAGAGACCAAAACGCTGCTCCCGTCTCTGACACTCGCTTTGTCTTCCAGCTGTCGACCTGCTGTCCAAACCGTCCGACCTGGACGCTCTGCTTCAAACGCTGGCTCCTATTGTCCTCGCCGAGTTAGCCAAGAGGAAGTCACCGTCACCCTCCTCCTCCTCCTCTTCCTCCTCCTCCTCCTACAGTCCAGGAGAGACCTCCTCGTCTCCAGCTGCCTCTTCCTCACCCCCCCCACCAAAGAAGAGGTTGACTCAAAAGCCTTCTGAAGCCAGTTCTTCCCCAAAGGCTGAGGTGTGTGTGTGTGTGTGTGTGTTATTATGTCTGCGCTTGTCACCCGATGATGCGTCCTAAGTGTGTGTTTCTGTTCTGTCTCTGCTCAGTGCGGTAAACCGTCCCCTCCCACCATGGTGAAGCTGACGGGGATCCACGCGTCTCTCTCTCGCAGCGACGTGCTGGCCGCTGTGCAGCACTTTGGAAAAACAAAGTCTTTCTTACTCTTTCCGTCCAAGCTGGAGGTTTGTATCAGACGGGTTTATTTTTGTTTGAACTGGATGTTGTGTGCGCAACTTTATTTTTGCGGTTGAATTCATGCATGTTGAAAATGCAAGAAATAAAACTTCCATTGATGATGTGTGAAACATCCATCACAAACCTTTTAGTAAAAACCTTATAAGATAATAATTACGTTTAAAAACTCCCAAAAATGATCATTATTATTATCTTATTGTCTAAAGGCACTGAATATTATTGGCTCAAATCATAGGAATTAAAAGGTTAATGTAAGCTTTTGACTTATAAATGATACAATTCCTCTGATTCTGTCTGAATAAATTAAACTCTGGTCTCCGTGTGCACGTTTAGGCCATAGTGTGTTTTGAGAACAAAGAAGACGCGACGAAACTGAAGAGCCTGAAGAGCCTCGACGTGAAAGGGATTCGGATCACGGTGTTTGAAGGAAAGGTATTCCGCTCTGTCTGTCCCCCGAGGACGTCCACGGGCCGGCGTCTGTCCCGCGCGGCGTGTTTTCACTGTCTCACTTTACAGATTGTTCTAAAATGAAGAATTTCAATTTGTTTTGTTTTTCACAGAAGGCTGTTTGTCACAGGAAGCAGAAGCCTCTGATCACGTAAGATGTTTCCAGCACATTACTGTCGATATTCTGTTGCTGTAAACGTGTATATATGCTGTCAACAGCAGATAAAAATATCATAATAGGTAATAATTCTGTCCATGGGAGCATAACTCAAAAAATCCACCTGTGGAGAACTGAAAAGTGAAGACGATATCGAACCCACTCAACTGGGACCTTGACGTTCCCCTCCCCTCCCTCGCCGCAGGGCCGCCGCCGCGTCCAGCATCTTCACACCCGAAGGCGCCGTCACGAGAAAAGTCCTCCTCCCCACACCCGACGGGCCTCCACTCGAATGGCCCGAAAAGCCTCCGCCTGCACCTCCCGGAGCCAGAAAAGGGCCGTTTGAAGGCCGGGGGAGCGCCAGCGAAGGGAGCCGCGTCTCCTGCGCGCATGGACCTGAAGCGGTAAAAACAACAGCTGTGCAAAAAACAAAACAAAAACAAAAAGCCCACACGTCACTGAAAGAAGTTGTGATTTGTCGTCATGCTTGCTGCTCACGGTGGTCTCGTTCAGCCACAGGCGTGTCACACGCGGCCCCCTCTGACCGTGGGCGAAATAATAGAAAAGCACCTGAGCCGAGAGCGAATGAGTAAGAAAGAAACCTTTTTGTCTTTTAAAGTGAATGACGCCCTTCAGTCTGTCTCCGTTTGTCCTCACGCCTTTCCTTTGTCTCCCGGACAGAACACTTCAAGAAAGAAAACGTCTCATTGGAAAGCGTGAGTCGAACCGTTTGCATGAAATTGGAGTTGGTGGATATGGAGGGGGGAGGGCGGGGGGGGGGACGAGGAACGCCGTGTTCACAAAGGAATGTGACGGCAAAGAGACGACGTGGTTCTTTTATTCGGTACCTCTGCCGCGAGGGAACCAGAGCCGGGCGCCATCAGGCCCGGCGTGTCTCCGGAGCTCCGCCCACCGGGGATCGAATCTCACTTTCAGTCTACAGAACAAAACCCCAGTCTAGCAGCTGTTAGAATAAACATCTGTGTGTGTGTGTGTAGGAAATCAAGTGTTTTGAAGAAGACGCAAAGAAATCAAACAGCCCGATGAGCTCCGACCTGAAAGGAATTAAAGTCACGGTTGCCGGAGGAAAGGTATTGCGCTCTTTGTTTTGCGTCCTCTGTTGCCGGGGGAAACACGCATATCGGCGTTTGTCTCACTGTCGATTCACAGATTGATCTGAAATAACTACTTTCAATTTGTTTTTTTACAGAAGACAGTTACTAAGGAGCAAAAAAAGCCTCTGACGTAAGATATGTTTCAAACAGACCTCTCTTTAAGAGGAAGGAAGGTCTTTTTTTAATGTTTTGTCAATTTATTACTATAAATATTGTTAATTTGTTAATCAGTTTTTTGAGGAAAAGCCAGAAAATCCACCTGTGAAGGATCTTATAGTGATGATAATATAATAAGATAATTAAATCAGCGAGCTTAACTTTGCGTTTTTTCCTTCTTCTCTCTTGTTCACAGAAGATCGGCCTCGTCCAGCGTCCATCACAACACTCCCACGAGAAAGGTCCCTCAGAGGAGAGCGTATTAGAATAATGAGCGCTTAAGCCTGTTATTTCTACTTAATTAGGATTAACGGGCTCATGCGACCGGCTCTCGGCCCCTCGCTTATTTTCTAAAAGGGACAAATAAACGCGAATCCACGACGGTGTCCCTCATTCTCACGCCGGCCCCCCGCAGGTGTCTCAAACGTTGGATCCCGCGGGAGCTGAGGAGGAGGAGGCGGCGGAGGCGGAGCCCGGCGGGTTCGGGCGTCGCTCTCCGCGCCAAGCGGCCGCCGGGGCGGTTTCCGCGGCGACCGTCGGCGAGCGCGTGGAGAAGCACCTGCGTCGCTACAGACTAAGTAAGAGGGCGGCGGCTCGCTCGTCTCGTCCCCCCCCCCCCGGTGAGCGCACGCGACACCGTAACGCCACCGTTGGGTTTGTCTCTCCCGCCCGCAGGGCTCTTCGAGGAAGAAAGCGTCTTCGGGGAGCAGGTGAGCTGCTGCGCGCGTTCTGCCAAAAGTCCCAGTCTAGGGGGGGCGGCGGGAGGTGGGGGGCGGCGTACGTGGTTCCTCATCTCCCTCCATCCGGTCCTCCAGGATCTGCCGCGTCACTGCAAGCTGCTGCTCATCACCAACCTGCCGCCGTATCACCACGGCAGCTACACGGAGGAGGAGCTGGCCGCGCTGCTGGCGCCGTTTGGCTTCCGCTACGCGGAGGACAGCATCTTCGTCGTCCCCCAGACGTGCATGGTTAGAAATACAGTGATCCCTCGCCACTTCGCGGTTCACTTATCGCGGATTCGCTATTTCGTGGATTTTCATATTGCATTTTTTTTTTTTTTGGTGCATTGTGCTCTGCATTCTGATTCGCTAAAAACTCACTCCCGAGCCGTTCATTACAGTTCTCCAACGTAATCGATGGTGGCATGTCGGTGTACAAGGATCTTTTTGCAAAGAAGAAAAAAGAGCGACAACAGCTGCCTATCACTATGTTCTTCTCCCGAACAAACACACCTGCACCGCGGGCTTCAGAAGAAGAGAACACTGCAGAGCGCAGTCAGGATGCAGCGGCCCAGTCTGAAGAGCAGTGAAACGGCCTACACGCGAGCCACTGTATTTGTATACATGTAATAGTTGCTAATTGTAAAAAAAAAAAAATAATTCTATTTCGCGGATTTCACTTATCGCGGGTCATTTTCGGAACGTAACCCCCGCGATAAACGAGGGATTACTGTATACCGTAATTTCCGCACTATTCGGCGCGCCGGATTAAAAAGGCGCACCTTCAACGCGCCGTGTACAACCAGTGTGGATCAACCGATTTATGCCTCTTTTTATTTTGCCTCGAAAATACGGTATTTATACAAATTGTATTTAAAGGAAAAACAGCAGGTGGGGGGGGCGTGATAACGGTTTTTGGGAATGTTTCTTCCCGCCAGGCCTTCTTCCAGGTGCCAGCGGTGGGGGTCACGCAGGAAATAATGAAGGCCTCCGCGCGGGACGGCGTTTTCTTCAAGCGCTCGAAGCTCGTTTTCAGCGCGGTCGCCGGAGGGGTCGCCATGACGCCGGTAAGCAGCCGATGTTCCTTAAATGAGCCCAGGTGCTTTTTTTTCAGGCTCGTCGTGTTTCCACACTTGACTCCTGTGACCTTTCCCCCCCCCCCCCGTAGCTTGGGATTCTATAAGTCACTGATGGAGCTGATGTGCTTCGTGAGTAAGACGCACACGGAGCGGTTCGTCCTCGCCCGGTTACGCCCCCCCCCCCCGAGGTTCTGACCCGTGCGTTGCCTCTTTGCTTTTGGGCGTTCGCTGCAGAATGTGCAGGACGACGGGCAGCGGATCGTCTTCATCAGGGACATCTCCACCAAGGAGTCCAGCGAGCTCAGAGACGCCCTGAACAAAATCCAGTCCGTCAAAAACTTCCTGCCGCTCCTCAACCAGGTGACGGTTTGTTCCCCGAGGAGAAAAAAACCCCCACAGGTCTCACTTGTGTTGAATGTGTGCGTTTTCGCGTGCAGGCGTTCGTAGAATTCAAGACGGTGCGTGACGCCGATCGGCTCGGCGTCTGGTACGGCCTGCTGAGACGGGCCCCCGGCCACCAGGTCCACCGGCTGAAGGCGCCGTCCGCCGGCCTGAAGTCGGCGCCGCGTGAGTTTCTCAGTGCAACTTGAAAAGAAAAGACGAGCGCTCGCACGTTGAAACCCGAAATCTTTACACTTTGTGTTTTTATCGTCTCCTGTTGGTTTGTGCAGCGCCGAAGCTTCCCGGGAACGCCCTGCCGGACGGCACAGACGCTGTTGCCGGGGCGACTGTGCCGCCCACGACGAGCGGCGTTCCCCGGGGCAGCGTTGGTCCGTTTTGGGTCACGACCAGAACGCATCCCTTTCTGTTTCCCACCAGGTCGCCGTGGTTCATCATCCCGGGTGAGAGGCGGCGGCGGCTGTGATATTTACCACGTTTGATCTCATTCAGTGAATTAAGTGTTTTTCCGTTGTTCACTTTTAAAGATTTCCTGACGTCCAGAACACAGAACAACTTGATGGTAAAGCAGCTTCGGTTCTCCACCAACGTCCCTGCATACATTTAAATAACTCTCACACTGCCATTTAATTCCATTATATAGAAATTTGAGTTGGTACCGTTTTGAAATGATCAATTTATATTATCTATCATCAAATAAAATATAAAATATTTCATAGACATACACATTGTATATACTTAACATTTGGGTAAATATATATATATTTTTGATCGACTGATTCACCATTTTATCAAAATCCAGTGTTCAAACCCTTTGAACAGATTTCCTCTCTTCTGTTCTTTGGAGCTCACGTGTTGTAACGCTGCGTTTCCCAGAAGGCCGTGCGCGGCCCCAAGATCCCAACCGTCATGTTGACCGGATTACCGGAGGGAAACTACCGGCACGAGGACGTGGCCGAGCTGGTCCGGCCCTACTTCCCCGGATGGAGCCTCTACTCGGCGTACTACGACGTGGTGGTCTTACCTCTGCAGAGGAGGGTAGGCCTCACGGACCGCACGCCGCCCCCACGGGGACACACGCCTGCGTGCTCGCGGTCTCATTAACGTCCGATTGTCCTTCCCGCTCGTAAACCCCTCCAGGCCTTTGTGTTTTTCGCTGACTGGTCTTCGTGCTGCAGTTTCGTCCGAGATCACATCAGAAATCCCGTCGCCGTGGGACTCCGCCCCCTCACGGCTCACTTCGTGTTGGAGGACATAAGTCCCTTTTCCACCGAGGTGAGGACGCCAGGACGCACTGTGGCGGGTCGGAAAGGAGAATTCCTATCACGGCATTTAGTCTCATCAACAGCACGCGCTTTCCTGTTTTTCAGGAGGCGATGTACGCGACTCTGATGACGTGGAGCAACGCTGTGAGTCCGGTTCGCCGCTTCTCGAAAATCCTTCGTCCTTCGCCGATCTGCGGCGCCGAAAAAACCTTTTTGCTGCTCTTCAGGGGGTCCCGGAGCCGGAGGGTCTGGAGGAGCGGCTGCTGTGCGTGGAGACCTCCGAGACGTCGCCGCACGTCACCAGGGCCGTCGTGGGCGCCGTGGCGTCCGTGGCGTCCCTCGCCGGCTTCCTGCCGCTCGCCAACAGGGTGCGAGAGCGGAAGACCTGAATTAGGTTCGATTGTTGCTGTTCTCCTCTTCATCTTCGTCTCCTCGTTCCGCCTCAGATCTGCATCGAGATGTCGGACGCCGGCGGTGTGACCGAGGTGGTGGAGAAACACCGGGATTGTTTCCTCTGGATGAAGAACGCGGCCGTTTGGTGAGTTGATGCTTTGTTCGATGTCATGTGACCGACCTGTGAATTATTCTCAGAACTAAACTGACCAACTGCTTTTACTATTTTCCCTTCAGGAACAGCGTTCTACGCGTTGAGTCGTGAGTAAACCGCCGTGTAAAGTTATATCTCAAGTTCAAATCTTCTTTCAAACTGGCATTAAATGATTTAATCATGAACCTTTTTAATGCATCGAGTGAACGATTAGTTCAGGTACATTTTCATATTTCCGTAACAAAGTACTCTTCTTTTTTTAATTTTATTTTTTTAACAACCCTGCTGCCAATTACGAATAAAAATCCTCTTTTTTTTATCGTAGTTTGAAGAGCCTAAAGCGGCGCCTAGAAGATCCTGATGAGGTCGTAAACATCGAGGCTCATGCTGTGAAGTCCAAGATTATTCTCATAGAATAAAACTGTGCAATACTTTAACGAATTAAACCGTGTCCTTGAAACCTTGTTGATTTGCGAGCACTTTTGTCTTGTCTTCCCTCACTGCATGTATGCAACATAAATATATATATAATATATAATATTCATTACAGGAAAGAAGATTTTGCCTTTTATCTTTAACAACAATCCAGTTTTTGATGAGATATAAAACACCATCTTATAATTATCTAACACACGCAGGGCGAAGCAAAGTTAGCCTCCTTTCCCAGAAGCGTGCGCATGCACACGCACACACACACACACACACACACACAGTCCTTATATATGCAGGGCGAGATGACTGAAGTCCGCTGGGTGGTCCTATAAATAGAGGCCGAAAAGCCCCCTCGCTGTGCTGTGAGTGACTCGCGTAGTAAAACTTCAGATATGAGGTTTTTTTTTATTTTTTTTGAAGAGTTTGTCGCATAAACCTTCCACACAAAAACAAACCCGCAACACAACGGACCCACAAAGCCGCTGTGACACGCCGGCCTTCACTCCGGCTGCAACAAATCTGCATCAACAAGCACATTCCCCCCCCGACACACTCTGACCCTTTGTCTGTGTGTGTGTTTGTCTGTGTGTGTGTGTGTGTGTGTGTGTGTGTGTCTGTATGTGTGCCTACTTGTGTTTTAGTTTGGATTGTTTATTGTATGCAGGCATGTGTGACCTGACAGATAAAGGCCACTGTGTGTGTGTGTTTGTGTTTGCTGGCCCTTTAAACCAGTTGTGATGTGTGTGTGTGTGCATGACTCAGCCAGTGCACCATGCTTTCTGTGTGTGTGTGTGTGTGTGTGTGTGTGTGTGGGAGAGAGAGAGAGAGGGAGAACGTAGGGGGTCGAGCGAGACAGCTGAGAGCTGCAGCTCTGGTCTATCGCTGTGTCTCTCATTCTGAGGACGTCTTCTGGATGTACTGACGCCCCTAAATGGACCTCACGGTGTGTGTCTGCAGCATTTGACGGAGCCCTGCTGTGTGTGTGCGTGTGTGTGCGTGCGTGTGTGTGTGTGTGTGTGTGAGGCATGCTGCGTGTGTTCATACTGTGCGCAGAGCGTCTGCAGACGCCGGACGATGACGTCAGCGATTCCTACTGCAGCGTCACTTATGAAGGTAGGGACGGGGCTCCAGAGGGACATTTGGGGGACAATGGGGGACAGAGGGGGGGGGTACAAAGGTCAAGTACAAATAGTGTGTATGCGCCTATGAGGCTGGGACGGCCCAACGGGAACAGCTGAGGTTATAACGGGAAAGTCTCGTTTGAGGGCGGGGCAGAAAGAAGAAGAAGACGCCAGATGGGGCAGCCGGGGGGGCGATGTACATTTTAGGTTCCTGGTGTTCCATGTGTGCATTTTCTGTTTCTACTCCATGACATCCTGATTTTACAATCATGGCATCGTGAGCTATGATCTGGTGGTTGAAACATCATCTCCAGCTTTAGCAGCTGAACTACATTCGACGCTTTGGCTGAGCCCCCCCGCCGCCCCCCCCCACTCAGCAGAAGGCCCCCCGCGGCGCCCTGCATCTCTCGTGCTGTCGGTCATCAATGGCCGGGCGATGTTAGATGTTAGATGTTTGGATCGTGACCCAGCTCACCGATTGACCCGCTGGTCCCTTCGGTCTCTGAGGCGCTTTTTACTGCCAGAAGAGAGAGAAAAGTAAACGTTAAACATCAGCGCGCTGCTACTTTATTTTAGCACGTTAGCATCCTGATGTTCTTTTAGTCTCTGTGTGTTTGTCTCCCTTTCTTTCTTTCCAGTTGAGATTAAGTGTGTGATGAACTCATGACATTTTGCCTATTTGGCCGCACAAGTGTTTCCCTGTGTAACACCGGGTCAGTGCCTGCAGTGCTACACACACACACACACACACACACACACACACACACACAGCCAAGGAAATAATGCAATGCACTGATTGTGGGACGTGCGGCAGTGAGAGATTGAGAAGGTCTCTTCTGTAGTTGGGACAAGCAGCTTCGTCCTCATGCACCAGTTATATGCAACGAGCTCCTTTGTCCTCATCGGTTGCAGATGTTTTCATACAAAAGGAGATTTACACACTTAGAAGAGGTGAAGATTTGGTGACTGTACATATACATTTTATGTGGTGTTGATTTGGATGTTTACATTTGAAAGGATCGTAAATCTATTTCTTTAAGCAAATTGTAGCAAAACGTAGTCGATCTTTATCAAAATTAACTCAATTTTCTAAGATTATGTTTAACCAAATTGTGAGTGCAACTTTGTGAAACTAGTCACGGTGGCTGATGAGCAAAAATGTTAATGTCAAGCCCTGATTCTATATATATATATATATATATATATATATATATATATATATATATATATATATAATATTCTTTATTATCTTTTTATGTACTTTTCAATGATTAAAATGAATGCTGTTGCTTTATTCATCAACTCTGTCACAAAGTGATTAGTTGCTCTAGTTGGTAAATTGATGGACCGCTTTCCATCATCATGTTTTATCTCTGTTTTAACCACGTTAATATTGCCGGTGTATTTTGGAGCATCGTGTGCGTCATGATCAGTCTGCTGCATCACTTCTCTCCCGCGGAGCTTGTTACATTTAAAGCAGAAGACGCGCGTTGCTCTTCTGTCCCCGGATGCAGTTTGCCGTCTTCACACCGGCCCTTTTTTATTGATCTGGCATTTTAAATGGATTTATTTGAAATGGATGTTAAGAGTCATTTTAAAGATATAATTAGGCCGTATAATTAGCATCTTGCAGACTTGATGGTCGTCCTCTTCATCAGTGAGATGAACCACTACTACGTTAATATCAAAGTCACACAGTTTGCAGGTTGGGTTTTATCAGACACTTCTGTGTCAATACGTGTGTGTGTGTGTGTGTGTGTGCGTGTGTGTGTGTGCGTCCTGCATTGACCTGCAGGTGGCGCTCTCTCGTCGGGCTCGTGTTGTTGTTCATGTCTCTGTGTGTGTGTGTGTGTGTGTGGTCTTGTTGACCCCTCCTCAATGGCTCCTGATTTGGACTTTGTGTGATTATTTAACATCATCAAAGACATTAAATGGAGAGATTAAATATTTACAACCATTCAGTTTCATGGAAAATCATTTAAGGCCCCAAAAAAAACCTTTGGCTGTCCGCTTGACCCAAAGTGATGAATCCCAACAATTCTCAACTGAAACGGGACGTCCAGGTCGAGGCGGGTGATCACAACTCACGTTCCTGGGAGGCTCTCGGAGGCTCTCGGAGGAACAAAACCGCCAATTGCAGGGAGCTCGAGGACAGAGGGAGGGCCGGCGTAGTGGAGAAGATAAGGACGCGACGAGGAGACGAGAGAGGAAAGGAGGAACAGGAAGCGCTGGGATTTCCTCTGGACGTGAGGCGTGTGCTCGCTGACACTCGGGCGCAGAGTCACAGAGAGACGAGCCGCTGCTCTGTGAGGTCTCTCCTCGGGGGGGAAAAGGGCTTTTATTTTGTAGATCTAGCGAGAAAAAACAGATGTTTTTTTGAGGCGACATTCTTTTAGCGAATCCGTATATCTGTATCCCCCTCAGTGGAAGCCCAGCTGCGGATCAGAACCTGCTCTTCTCTATTCCCTCCGGCCTCCGGTTGGTCCGTTTCGGCCCGTCATCGTTAGCCGAGGGGGAGGGAACATGTAAGCGACCTCCCCCCACCCCCCCCCACCGCATCCCTCTCACCTGCTGATCTCTTGTCACCTGTCGGTAAAATCAGAAGCGAGCACTGAGCGGCGCGGGAGGCTCTGCCCGAGGGGTCGGCCATGTTGCGTTGCGTTCTCCAGCGGGCCAACAACCTGAGGCACTCGGACCCTCTGGTCAGCGTCACGTTCAGAGGTAAGAGGAGCGGGGGGGGGGGTCGGAGGTCAGGCGACTGATGCGCCGTTATTCGGTCAAACGATACTGTATTCCTTCTGTTGACGTCAGGCGGAAACTCTGTAGTCCAAAAGAAATCCACGTGTTCACCTGGTTGACTTTCGTCCCACAGGTGAGATCAACAAGGTCAGGTATAATTTGCAAAACCCAAACGAATTTAGCAGCACTGAATTTCCCCCCGATCTTCATCCGAATGGTTTTAAACTCACTGCCGGCTGCTTTTTTTTTTTTTTTCATTTTGTCGAAGGAGGATAAAACCGCTTTAAGTTTCCTGTGAAAGCCGTTAAACTTTGACCTCTCGTACGCTGCTGCTTTTTGCCCGCCCGTCCCCGGGGAGCAGAATTAGACAGAAGAGCGAGAACCCGGTTCGGCTTGCGGAGGCGACTCGGCTACCTGGACTCTTTTTTTCCCCTTCGCCCGGTTGTTTGTACTTTTTCCCCACGACTCGGTGTCTCTGATGAGGTGAACTCTGCTGCTCGCTTCCTGCCTTTGTCCCGACGCGGCTTCCTGGTGCCCCCCCTCCCCCCCCCGCCCAGTCTGAGAGAACAAGTCCTTCTGGCTCCATTCAGACTGGATCCTTAAAGATTTGACGCTTCACTTAAACTCTCCCCTTAAATGTCTCGAACTGGTTTTCACTCTGACCTGCAAAGATGAACTAATTGTGTCACTATTCCCCAGTTACCCTGAGTAACATTAGTTTACATGAAGACAGGTTATTTATTTTTCATTGTGTTTTTAATTATATTACGTTGCGATGGCCTGTTTAAAGGGACCATCTATCTAACGAATAAATGCATTGACTTGCAGAAACGTGACGGGGAGGTGGTCCTTAAATTGCAATAAATAGGCGTTATCTGTTCTTGTAGTTGTCTGTGTGTAAGATCTGAGGGTAAAGAAGTGTCTGCTCCCTCCAGAAACTCGATACCACGTCCATTTATAGAAATGACGGATGATAATAAGAAAGCAAGGAAGGAAAAGACAGAGAGAAGTTTGTGTTGAATGGAGGAGTACTGCAATAAGAACTATATGCTGTATATCACTAAATGTCCTCCTGATGGGATGTCTGGTTCTCACCCATCACTGAGATGTTACCATCGTTCTTCTCTGCTCCATGTTTGAGGTCATCTTTCCCGCCTGCGTGGGTTATGAAACGTGTGAACATGAGATTTAATCTGATAAGGTGTGTGTTTGTGTGCTGCGGCCGGGACGTCCGGCCACGTGTTTGTTATCGGAACAATAAGTGTTGTTCTCTGTTGAAACCAGAAATGCGAACTGGCAGCCGAGCTACTTCTTCCTGGACCTCTGCCCGTCACGGCGCGGAGTCGCCGCGGTTTTAGGCGTTTGTTTAATAAGCGATTACGGGAGTCATGTCATCGAAAAGACACGTCAACGGCGACAGCTGCTTTTATACTGAGAATTAAACTTGCAGTCCGGAGAAGACCATGAACTCATGAGAATAAATCATACTAGTCACTTTCTCATAGACCTCCATGGGACCAGATGGAGTCGCCCCCTGGTGGACATTAGCGAGATTGCAACTTCGAAGGACTTTGGTTCTTGGGTTTCAGCTAAAGTGAGAAGAATCCACCAAATCGGTTAATATTTGTCCCTTTTTGAAGCAGCCTCAGACACACACACACTCAAACACACACACACAACCGACAGACTCACACACACACACACACAAAGCTAAACTTAGCCTTCCCACACATAATTCACAGCTCACGGTGTCGTCTATTCTCGGCTCACGACAGAAACCGTGCCAAGCTGGACCAACCGGGAAGTCAGTGCTGTGCCACTTCCTGTCTCTGAGATGCTCGCTCAGATAACCCCCCCCCCACACACACACACACACACACGCACACACACACACACACACAAGCATTTAACGCACCCTCTCGACCCCCCTGAGGGCTTTTTGAAGATGCCTGCCATGACATCATTTCCGTAGATATTTGAGTACTTGAATGTGGGTATTTGCGTCAGCACTTGTTTGTGTAACTGTAAAGGTAAATTGTTGTGTGTGTGTGTTTCTCACGTTGGAGGATCACTGTGGTGGAAAACAGGAAAGCAAACAGCCGTGGGTGTGAGGGTGAGGAGAGACAACAAACCCAAACCCGCTCTGATATCAAGGTCATCCAAATATGTCACACCGAGTTTATTCTAAAAGTGAATTTGACCTGAACTGATTTTTACAAACGTGTTCACGTAACGAACTCCATCACATTCCTGTGATGATGGTGATGAATTCTGGCAGCCTATCGCTCCGTCTCAAGTCCCACTTCCTGTAACGAGTGCCAGACAGACATGGAATCTGAGCTCTGAACTTACAGGAAGCCACACAAAGACGCACACGCACACGCATGTCGGTGTCACAGGAACATTGGACCCCAGAGTTTGTTCCATATGCTAACTCGTGATGTTCCCGTTTCTCCTTCAGGGTCCAAGAAAAAGACAAAGATCATCAAGAACAACCCCAACCCCGTTTGGAACGAGGTACCTCAGATTCATCAGACGCTCTTCAGGCTGAAGCCGACTTTTCTTGTGCTGATGTTCTAGCTTAGAGTGGAGATGTGAGAGAGAGAGAGAGGGGGGGGGCGAGCTTCATGGCCGGCCTTGTTTGCTGTGTCTCCGTCAGGGTTTCGAATGGGACCTGAAGGGGATCCCGCTGGACTCGTGCGCGGAGGTGCACTGCGTCGTCAAAGACCACGAGAAGATGGGGAGGAACAGGTACCGGCCCACAGAAGAGGGCCCAGACCCGTCCACGTGGTTATTTCGGGAGCGTCTATCAAGATGTCGAGCGCGTCAGAGGGTGGAGGGGGGGAGGAGGAAGGGAGGAGGAAGGGTCAGGCATGAAAGAATCAGGTCATCCTCTCATTGTGGTGGTGGAGTATTTATGCACTCGTGTTTCCACCCATTTACCGACAGTTGTGCCGATTGATTCAGCGATCCATTCATCCGCTTCTCACGGGACGCCCCGACCGGGACCTCTTTGCTTCGGTCCGGGGCATTTTGGAGGATTCGAAACCCTCGACCTCTTGCACCAAAGCATAGTTCACCTTTTGGAGTTGAACACGTAGCTACAAAGATGGATTTCTCAGATTTGCCACCAGCTGGTTCTTGAGTCACAGAGAACAAAACGAGTCCGATAAAAATGATTTGAGTTGTTAGATGACAAGGGAACAAATGCAGGTTCTAACACCTAAAATACGTCATTTCCACCTGACGTTTAATACTCTGCACAAGCCCTGACCTCAACAGACTCATTCTACTCAGGTCAAAGTTCTATTGTACTACATGTAATACTTTTAAAGACATTTTAAGTGTGTGTGTGTGTGTGTGTGTGTGTGTGTGTGTGTGTGTGTGTGTGTGTGTGCGCTGCGTTCAGGTTTCTGGGGGAAACTCGTCTGGGTCTCAGAGACGTTCTCAACTCTCCCAACCTAGCCGCCACCTTCACCGTGTCCCTGCTGGACACCAAGAGGAACATCACAGGGGTGAGCACACACACACACACACACGCACACGCACACGCACACGCACGCACACACACACACACACAAAATGATGCCCAGACAGATTAATTTACTGCCTCATTGTATCTCGAAGCGATGGCGAATCGTAAATCCCGACTGTGTCTTGAAATAGAGTCAGAGCAGAATAACAATAATCCCCCTGTTGCTATTTTATTTCATTTTAATCCAATTTAATCTGACTACATATTTCTCTTATTCGTCCTATTTGATCTCTCTCTCTTGCGGTGGGATTATCCAGCTTGTTTTAGAATTTTACATTTTTAAAAATGAAGAAAAGTGTTTGAGCAGGACACACACACACACACACACACACACACACACACACACACACACACACACACACACAGCCCGGAGAAACATCACAGTTTATCACTTAAGCTGCTTTTTCCGGTCAAAGGAAACTGCAGGAGACGACACCTTTAACTGGGCAACACACCGGACAGCGCACAAATGCTGCAGCGCAATTTATTCCAAAGAAATCTTTTGTCTCACGCGAAACAGATGGAGGATATTCAGAGTGTCATTATCAATCATTTGTTCTTTTGCAAAATAAATAAATAAAAAAGTAACGTCTTGTTTGCAATTATTTCAGCATCAAAAGTTGCTTGAAAGGCACGATTTGTGCGCAACTAATGCAAGGATTCCCCCCACGGTTGTTTCCACCAGGCCACGCTGACCCTGCAGGTCTCCTACGTGCCCCCCCCGGGGTCGGCTCCAGTGTTTCAGCCCCCCTTCCAGCACGAGGCTCCGCCCCATAACAACAACCCCAACGTGGAGATGGACACGGTCACCAGTAATATAACCCCTCGCCCCGCTGCCCACGTTCACCCCCCCCGGGGTCTCACAGGGACTGACTCGCTGTCTCGGCCTCCGCAGTGATTTCTCTGGACACGCTGGGCGAGGAGGACACGGAGAGCATGATCATGCTGGAGCCGCCGGAGGACCAGGGCGCCGACGACGGGCGCTCCATGGTCATCGTGGGGCCCCAGGGGCCCCCGGGCCGGGAGTCCCCCACGGCGCAGACGCCGAAGCGCTCGCCGCCGTCCTACAACACCCACGGCGGGCTGAGGAAGAGGAGGAGGGGCGCCAGCGGTCAGCCGAAACCGCTGGCCGACAAGCCGCAGGACTTGCAGGTGAAGCGTCCGTGATCCAACAGGGCTGTTTTTCAAAATAAAAGTACTCTTTGCCTGCTTTCCTTTGGTGGCAGATAAAAGGTATTAGTATTATTTGTTGCTCACAGCGTCACCGTGTGGTGATTCAGGGATGTTACACAAGGACTACGAGGCGCTGCCTGTAGTAGGGTCACCAAACTGAGAAGGGTTCAGATCGGGAAGAGCTCATAAAAAACATCATAATTAGATCAGTCACGATGCATTAATGTAAGTTACTGCAAAGACTTTAAAGGCTCGCGTGTCCACCTGTGCAGGTCCGGGTGCGGGTCATCGAGGGCCGGCAGTTGCCGGGCATCAACATCAAGCCCGTTGTCAAGGTAACGGTGGCCGGGCAGACCAGGAGGACCCGCATCAGAAAGGGCAACAACCCCTTCTTTGACGAGGTAGACAAAAAAACGTTCCTGCGGGTTCCTGAGGAGAACTGTGGAAATGTGTCACGTTAATAAAGGTTCACATCCGTCTCCCCTCGACAGACGTTCTTCCTCAACTTCTTCGAGACCCCATCGGACTTGTTCGATGAACCGATCTTCATCACTGTGAGTTTCATCTTTTTGGATATTTTACTGTCAGTCGCTGTCATAACAATGTAAACCCGCTGTACCTGCCCCCCAGGTGTGTGACTCCCGCTCACTCAGAACGGACGCTGTGATCGGTGAATTCAAGGTGAACTGCACAAATGAAATAAAAAACATAAAGGGTGACTTTTAAGTGGATATGCTCAGTATTTGAGCTAAATGTAGGAAGTAAAGTGCACAAAGTAAAATTATTGACAGAGCAATGAAATCTTCTAATCTGCTATTACATTGCTATATAATATAATAAACACATGTTTGCAGTTGGATGTGGGCACCGTCTACAATGAGCACAGTGAGTACACACATTTAAATGGACCACGCTGCTGTGAAAACGGGACATTATTGATCAGTGTCTCTCTGCAGGGCACTGCTTCTTGAGGAAATGGCTGCTGCTCTGCGAACCCGACGACCTCTCCGCCGGGGTCAAAGGTTACCTGAAGGTCAGCCTGTTGGTCCTGGCCGCTGGAGACGAGCCGCCGGTGAGATTGTCATGAAATCAGCCGGAATCGGGACGGGAGAACTGCCCGCTTGCGGCCAGATGCTCGGGATGTTATCGCTAGATGCTAACATGCTACGCTAGCGAACACTAGCGCGCTAGCATTCTTCCGTCCCGTAGTTGGAAGGATTAAAGGAAAGCGACGTTTTAATGATAAATTCAGGCCCTCAAAAGTCCTTGACTAACGTTTAGTACGAGTTGCGTTTGAAATTTGAGATACTTTGCATACTGCTGATTATTATACGAGGAAATCATCTTATTACTTTGCAAATGAACTTGAAGCATAAAATAAGCGGGGTGGTGTAGAAAGCTCCTGTGATGGAGTAGTGTAGTGTACCACGTTTTACTCGGGTATCCCCCCCCCCCCAGATCTCTCTCTGTTGTGTGTCCCAACACAGTTTCCTGGTCTTAACGAATGCCCGTCTTTAACCCGTTGCGTGTTTTTGTGTCCGCGCGTCTCCTCCAGGCCGATAAGCGCGCGTGCGCCGAGGACAAAGAAGACATAGAGGGAAACCTGCTGAGGCCGGCCGGTCTGTCTCTGAGGGGAGCCACCTTCAACCTGAGGGTCTTCAGAGCCGAAGACCTGCCACAGAGTGAGTGTGGTGTGTCCCGCTGATTACGGCTCCGGTGCGTTTGGTCTATTCCCTCTCGTCTCCTGTCTGCAGTGGACGACGCCTTCGTGGACGGCATGAGGCAGATTCTCGGCTTCGACAGCAACAGGAAGAACCTGGTGGATCCTCTGGTGGAGATCCACTTTGCTGGAAAAACTGTGCGTCGCCTCCAGCCCGACATCTGTATCCCGAACGCAACATTCAACGCACCGTTTAATTCGTGGCGTTTAATGTGTCGTATGTCTCGTGCAGGACCGCACTAAGACCATGGAGAAGAACGCCAACCCGCAGTGGAACCAGAGCCTGGCCATGCCGATTAGGGTGAGACCACCGAGAGAAGAACATTATCCTACGACTTTATTGTGCTGCAGAGATGAAAGTCTTCATGGTTCTACCTTATATGGCTTCTTTTACCGCTACTAGTTTCCCTCCATGTGTGAGAAGATGAGGATCCGGATCCTGGACTGGTGAATGCTGGCACACATCTAAGCTTTATTTATTATTTTACGTTCTGTTTTAATGTAATCCAGCGCCCCCCCCCCCCCCACAAAATCTCTGTCAGAGTTTGACATCTTAATCAATCTCACCATTTGGCCCCCCAAAAAAAGGAGGTTTCAGAGCTTTTGCCTTCTGACTTTCTCACTTCAGGGACAGAGCGAGTCACAATGACGTCATCGGCACCACCCACCTCTGTATGTCCAAGATCTCCGCCCCCGGTGGGGAGATAGATGGTAAGAGTGGGTTTGGACGGGAAGTAATCGGGACACTCGTTGTGCTGCTGTGGTCCACTGGTTCCTCTTCCAGACCAGGTCTAACCACCAGAGAACTAACCCGGTTTAGTCTGGATTGTGGTTCAGTTTTAGTTTGCTTGGATCGGCCTTGAATCGAACGCATGTTTACGCTTCACGTGTAACTGAAGTGACTCCGATACCCCTCCTGCATGAGGCACCGCTTCAACTTCAGCGAGCACGACGCTTCAGTCACTCAGGCCGCATCGTCCGTCCCGCTCCGCCTTGTGTTTCTCCAGACGTGTGTGATCTGAGTTGTCGCACGGACACGCACGAGCTTCACTCACGGCGGGTGACAGGATGCATGGGCTTGATGATGGAGGATGCGAGTGGCAGACCGGTCATTTGCTTTAAGGGCTTTTTTTTCTCGCGTTGTGCTCGAGTGCTTTTCCTTGGGTTGGCGTCCGTTTTCCTTTTTCCGGTCTGACTCTGAACATCCGTCTGTGACTCTGAACCACGCTTCCTCTCCACGCATTCAGACGCCCTGACTCCACGGACCGTCCACTCCGGCAGTACGTCCAGCCATCCTTTCTACGCCGCCGTTTGCCATTTTGTTTTCCAATCTCCGTTTCCCGATCAACCCCGACGCCGCTTCATTCTCACCTTTTGCCTCAGATGAAATCCCCTCGATCCATTTCATTCGTTTCATCAGTTTTCTTAGTTTTTCGCCGCGCGCCGCTTTCCGTTTTGGTGACGATCCGTTGTCGTTTTTCGCCGCAGTTGACGACAGCCTGGGTTTCCTGCCGACGTTCGGCCCGTGTTTCGTGAACCTGTACGGCAGCGCCCGAGAGTTCACCGCCTTCAACGACCCCCACGAGGCGCTCAACCTCGGAAAAGTAACCACGCTTTCATTTCCCCCTCGTTGAGTCCGACCGTCTGCCTCGACAGTCCGAATGAGAAAACGTTGGCGGCGGCGGTCCGTTTGCATGTCGCTGTATCGAAGGGTCTCTCTCCGTGTGGTCAGGGCGAGGGCGTCGCGTACCGAGGGCGGGTCCTGCTGGAGCTGACGACCAAACTGACGGACAAGCCCGAGCAGAAAACCGAAGACATCCCGTCGGACGACCTGCTGGTGGTGGAGGTGAGAGGGCCGGAAGGTTGAACGTCGCCGGTACGACGCAAAAGAAAAACGCACCGTCCGAACCTCCGACCTTTGTCCCTCCGTCCGATCCGACAGAAGTTCCTCAGGAAGCGGAAGTTCTCCGTCTTCGTGGCGTTTTATTCGGCCACGCACCTCCAGGACGTCGACGACGCCGTCCAGTTTGAGGTCAGCGTCGGCAACTACGGCAACAAGTTCGACTACACCTGCCTGCCTCTGGCCTCCACCACCCAGTTCAGCAGGGCCGTGTTCGACGGTAGGTTGAAGGTCAGGTCGCATGCGGCGCCTCGGATCTATCTTCACCTCCAGCTGTGTCATCCTTGTGTGTGTGTGTGTTCTCCAGGCTGCCACTACTACTACCTCCCCTGGGGGAACGTTAAACCGGTGGTGGTTCTGTCTTCAGAGTGGGAGGACATCCGGCCGAGGATCGAGGCCCTCAACATGCTGCTGGCGATCATAGAGAGGCTGGTGAGGGCTGTGCTTAACATGCGACGTGTGCACGGGGGGGGGGGGATGCAGAGGGTCTACCATGCATGCGTGCGTGTGTGTGTTCAGGAGGCCCACCTGCAGCGGGTGCAGCTGGAGGTGAAGGCGGGGGGCGAGCTGGAGGAGGTGGAGCTCCGAGTGGTGGAGCTGTTGGATCAGGTCATCTCGGACTGCAGGTAATCGCCGTGTGACGGCGATGTTGGCGGAGACCCCTTTTATTGTTCCTCTCGTCAAGCCGATTGATTCAGGCTTTCTGCCTCGCCCCCCCCCCCCCTCCAGCGAAGAGCTGCCCTCCATCGACCAGTGGCAGTGTGCGACCTCCCTGGACCGCTCGCTGAGGCACGTCCGCTCCCTCCACCTGCAGCAGATCGTGGCGGCGGCGCAGGCCCTGAAGTACGGGGACGCCACCGAGCTGTCCACGGTGCTGGAGCAGGCCGAGGACTGGGCCGGCCGGCTGAGGACCATCGCCGAGGAGGTGAGCCGGCCCCGCTGTTCCAATCGGGTTTTCCTAGTGACGGTTGAAATAATAATTAACCCATTTGGACAGAATAAAAGGGAGCGAATGCTCTCTCTCTCTCTCTGTTCCCCTGTGCGCTCTCGGTGTCTCTCGCCCAGCCTCAGAACAGCCTCCCGGACATCGTGATCTGGATGCTGCAGGGCGACCGGCGGGTGGCGTACTACCGCATCCCGGCGCACACCGTCATCTTCTCCCAGCAGCACTGTGGGAAACACTGCGGACAGCTGCAGACCGTCTTCCTCAAGGTGTACACACACACACACACACACACGCACGCACAGACCCACACACAGACGCACACACTCCGTCTTGCTGACCGGCTGTGCGCGTCGTGCAGAACCCACAGAGCAGCGGCGGAGAGGCCAAACTCCCGGGTCAGCTGAGGGTCAAAGTCTGGTTCGGCCTGGCCGCCGACGTCAAACACTTCAACCAATACGCCGAGGGGAAGCTGTCGGTCTTCGCCGAGACGGTGAGACGCACGCTGCTGCTGTCGTCATGGTTACCTGGGATTAACGGATTCGTGTTAGCGGGTGAGAACCTGCTGCTTGAATCCAAGGAGAAAGAGGGCTTGACGGGGAAGTTTCTCTCTCTGCAGTACGAGAACCAGACCCGACTCGCCCTGGTGGGCAGCTGGGGAACGACGGGTCTGACCTACCCGAAGTTCAGCGACCTCACCGGACGGGTCAAGCTGCCCAAAGAGAGCTTCAAACCCTCTCCGGGCTGGACCTGGACCGGCGACTGGTACATCAGCCCCGAGAAGACGTAAGAGGAGGTTTTCGTCGACGTGTTCATATGGCAGTGGGGTGTTTTTTTGGGGTGCAACTAAAACTCAAAATTCTGCATTCATGCATATGAAAATATACGTATATTCATTGCCCGAAAACCGCTGTATCAGCGCATGAACATCTGTGATGACAAACCCTCAGGCTGCTGTATGACGTGGACGCCGGTCACATGACCTTCACCGAGGAAGTGTTTGAAAACCAGATGAGGTTGCCGGGCGGGCAGTGGATCGGCATGCCGGAGGGGTACACGGACGTGGTACGTGTGTTTTCCCACTGAGTGTGTGTGTGTGTGTGTGATTTGACTCATTGCTGTTCATCTAACAAATGTGTGCGTTTGACTCAGAATGGGGAGAAGGCGGTGCCAAAGGACGAGGTGGAGTGTCCTCCTGGATGGGTTTGGGAGGAGGTGGAGTGGAGCGAAGATCTCAACAGGGCCGTGGATGATCAAGGTGCTCTCACACACACACACACACACACACACACACGCACGCACAAAAGCAGTGTGTTTCTTTGCGAGCAAATCTTTTATACTTGACACGTTTGTACTTTTTTAAAATCTATTCCTTTTATCTTTTCTATCACTGTCTGATGCTTCTCCTCCAGGCTGGGAGTACGGCATCCCCATCCCTCCGGACCGCCGGCCCAAGTCCTGGGTGCCGGCAGAAAAGATGTACCACACCAACCGGAGACGCAGGTGGATACGAATGAGACGGCGGGACCAGCAGAAGATGGAGGCTCTCAGAAAGGTATCCAGAAAAGACCTTACCTCGCAGCCATTCATCTTAATGTTGTAGTTTCCTCCTCCATCCACTAGATGGTGCTCTTGTGGAACAAATGTGTGTTCAGGGTGGTTATTGTGTGTGTGTGTGTCTGTTCACAGCAGCGTCCGGACGAGGCGGAGAAGGAGGGCTGGGAGTACGCCTCGCTGTTCGGCTGGAGGTTCCACCTGAAGCCGAGGAAGACGGACAGCTTCAGGAGGCGCAGGTGGAGGTACCGCATGGAGCCGCTGGAGAAGACGGGGCCGGCCGCCATCTTTGCCCTGGAGTGTTCTCTGGTGAGACGTTCATCCCCCGAAGGGACGGGCATTGAGGTCGCAGGCAGCCTGCAAACCTCCAGCCGCCTCTGGCAGCTTTTGCAGCCGCCTTGTCTAGACGCCCGAGCTCTCCTCACACCTCAGAGCGGTCTTGCCCTTCAGGAAGCGTTCCAGGAGACCATTGGCTCCGGTTTGACTCAGAGTGATGATGAAACAGGAAAGAGACGAACGCAGGCCGCCGCCCCAAAGTGGAAAGCACCCTTTATTCTGTCTGAAATATTGTATTTGACCTTTTAAAATGAGTTGGAGCCGAGGGGCCCAAACTATGATAGAACTTCCCCCGGATAAACAGTTCACACTCGTAGGTGGTCTTTTATTTTGAAGGCCGCGTCACGTTTCATCAAAATCTGTACCAATACTTTCAGCATCCATCTTCTTCCTTCGTTCTGAATGTGATCCCCCATCTTCCTCCTCCTCCTCCCCCAGAGCACCATAGAGGACAGGAACGAAGACAAGTCCGTCACGACCACGTTCGGAGTCAACAGGCCGACCATTTCCTGTTTCTTTGACCGTAAGGCGGAACTTACCTACTCGCCCGGCTGCTCTTTCTGTCTTTTATTGTGTCATTAAGTGTGCGGGTGTGTTTAGGCGGGACCCGCTACCACCTGCGCTGCTACCTGTACCAAGCCAGAGACCTGCTGGCCATGGACAAAGACAGCTTCTCAGGTATCGTGCCCGCGGTCCGTCGTCCCCTTATCGGTTTGCGGTGCTCGAAAACGTCAGCGCCGCCGAATCGAACCAAAGTGAGACGAGAAATAAAACGAAAGAAACCCGGCCCTCGTGTCCCAACAAAAGTTCCACGTCTTCACACTTCAATAAGCGAACGTTAACGAGGTTTCCACAGCAACCTGAAAGCCGACAGGAGGCCGGCGTCGCGTCTAAAGATCATTTAGAGTCAACTAGGGGCAAAACTAACAGGTAACATCAGACTCTCTGTGGCTGGTTGCGTTTAGCTTCAGTTTTAAGGGGTGTTCTTTTGAGAGAGAGAGAGAGAGAGAGAGAGAGAGGTTAACAATCATTGTTTGGGGCAAATCCCCAAAAACTTTATTTCTTTAGCAAAGGTCAGATCATGAATGGAGGTTGGTGTAGCTGCACAGTATCCCTGAAAAGCAGTGACGGAGAGAAAGAGAGGACAGTGAAGGTATTATCTGAAGAAGGTCATGGAAACTACGGCGTCTCTCTGTGTGTGTCTGTGTGTGTCTGTGTGTTCCTGTGTGTGTTAATCAGAAACCGCAGACTCAGATGTAAAAACACAGATGAGGCTTTGAAAAACAGACGGATGAATAGACAGAGGGCGAGAGAGTGGATGGGTGATGGATAAGGTGGGCCACAGAGGGTTAGACGCACACACACACACACACACACACACACTCGGTGTAACGGATGGGTAGAGTTGATGGATGGGCTTCAGTTGTGTGTTAATCTGCTGCTACATGGCGGCCGTGATTAGAGAGGAGCTCTCTCTCTCTCTGTGTCTGTCTTTCCTTTGTGTCTGTGCGTCTCTCTTTGTGCGTTCAAAAGGAGGGTAATAAAACAACAGGTCAAAGTTCAGCGACATCTTTATTTTCCCGTTTTAAATCAGCGAGTCCATTACTGTCTGTCCCCGCTACTGTCTTTGATTTTATGACTCTGTTGGAGTCGCACACGGACACACGGACTTCCACAAACCCCCCCGGGCTGCTGCTATTTTCTGTTTACGTGAGCTAATGGGCTGTTGGGAATGGACGGTAATTGAATGGGTCACCATGGGTGGTGTGTGTCTGTGTGTGTCTGTGTGTGTGTGTGTCTGTGTGTGTCACTTCCAAGGTTAATTGAGAGCTGGTGGGAAAATGCAACTTAGCTTCTGTTTACTCTATCGCTAACGGCTCCATGGAGACTCTTTAGTTGGCCTGAAATAACAAACCACTGTGTGTGTGTGTGTGTGTGTGTGCGCCTGACTGTACTTGTGTGTGTGGACTTTAAGCGTGTGTCCGTCCACATTGTGTGTGTGTGTGTGTGTGTTAGCATGTAAGAAAGTGGTTGTGACCTGGAATAACAAACATCTCCGAGCAGTGCTCCCAAACCTCCGTCTCGAGGTCGGCATTCCCAAGCTGCTGATGTCACTGTGTGTAGGACACACACACACACACACACACACACACACACACACACACACTTTGTACCAGCGTTCTTATGAGGACCCTCGGCCTCTTCTCCCCAGACCCCTACGCCATCGTGTCCTTCCTCCACCAGTCCCAGAAAACGGTGACGGTGCGCAACACCTTGAACCCCACGTGGGACCAGACGCTCATCTTCTACGAGGTGGAGATCTTCGGCGACCTGGAGGCCACGATGGCGGCTCCGCCCAACGTGGTGGTGGAGCTGTACGACCAGGACACATACGTGAGCGTCGGTTCGGAGGGTCTCCGTGTACAGGCTGTGCGTGCGTATGAATGTGTGTGTGTGTGTATATATATGTGTGTGTGTGTTTTCAATGAGCAGGGGGCGGATGAGTTCATGGGCCGCTGTGTGTGCCGGCCCTCCCCGACCTCCTCGCCCCAGCTGGCCTGGTTCCCCATCCGCAGACAGGACAGGAGCGCCGGCGAGCTGCTGGCCGCCTTCCAGCTGATACGCAGAGAAAAGGTCCGGTGAACAACCCGAACTCTGCAAACGCACACGGGTTTTAGACGAGATGCGCGACGTTAAGTCAGCGACTTCAAACGCGCTTCATTATAAGAATTCCCTTCTGTGTCTCCAGCCGGCGGTTCATCATATTCCAGGTCAGGAGGTACGTCCTCCACTTCCTCTCCAGCTAGTTCCCTCTCCACCTTCGCCTTGGAGGTATCTGTCTTCCTTTTAGGACGTAACCAGTTTTCTGCCCGCAGGGAGACTTCCTGACCTCCAGCCACGTTCTGGACGAGGTAAAACCGCACAAACGCTGCATTTAAAGACACACTAATGGGAACATTTAGATGAGAGTGAAGAGGGTGAACTTTGGCTTTGAAGTTTTCATGCAAAAGGGCGGAAAACCAACCCGGAATTTGAGGAATGTCAACCCTTGTTAAGAAGCATTAAATGGCCTGCATGTCGGTGTTGAGTGTTAATATGTGCAGTCTGGCGATTTAATGTCTACAAATTCTCTTTTACTTCTTCTCACCCGTCTTTTCCAACGGGCCTCCTCAGCTGATGTTTCCAGGGTTCCTCTCTGAAAGCCTGCAGCAATGGGTACAACAACACACATTTCCTCTCGGGTGCAACTTAACGCTGATAGCGAGCGGCCGGCCTCTCACACATTTCGTCCCTGTCGGCAGCCGGAGGAGTCGGACCTCCCCCCCCCGCCCCCCCAGAGGGAACCGAACGTCTTCGTGGTCCCTCAGGGAATCAAACCTGTGCTGCAGAGAACCGCCATCGAGGTATCGGTGGGCTTCGCTCGTGGGATAATTGGGCTTGTGTTTGCTCCTTTTGTGGAGGAGTCATAAGAACAGAGAACCGACCATCGACACACGTGATCCAAAAAGTCCAGAGAAGCGCGTTAAAGACGCAGTGCAACCTTTTGAGAAGGCGATTATCTTAGCTTAGCATAACGACTTGAAGCGGAGGGGAAAGCTAGCGTGGTTCTGTCTGAAAATGTCAACGTGAACTTCTCACTTCCATGAAGAAGTTCATGTTGACCTTGACACAAAATAAATACACTTTACGGTCAAATCTATTCACTAAATCTGGTAACAGGGAGTATGTTACCTTGCCAGCTTAAAGAATGGCCTCAGCAGTCCTGATTCATGGACATAAGGTATAATTCAGACAATTTAGCATCAGATGCAAATATGTAGGGCAGAGTGCTGCACAGTGTCTTGTACTATGTCTTGGACAATGTGATGGACAATGTGTTGGACAGTGTGTTGGACTTTGTGTTGGACAGTGTGTTGGACAATGTGATGGACAATGTGCTGGACAATGTGTTGGACAATGTGTTGGACAGTGTGCTGGACAATGTGCTGGACAATGTGTTGGACAGTGTGTTGGACAATGTGCTGGACGGTGTGCTGGACAGTGTGTTGGACAGTGTGTTGGACAGTGTGTTGGACAGTGTGCTGGACAATGTGCTGGACAATGTGTTGGACAGTGTGTTGGACAATGTGCTGGACAATGTGCTGGACAGTGTGTTGGACAGTGTGTTGGACAGTGTGTTGGACAATGTGTTGGACAATGTGTTGGACAGTGTGTTGGACAATGTGTTGGACAGTGTGTTGGACAATGTGCTGGACAATGTGTTGGACAGTGTGTTGGACAGTGTGCTGGACAATGTGCTGGACAGTGTGTTGGACAGTGTGCTGGACAATGTGCTGGACAATGTGCTGGACAGTGTGTTGGACAGTGTGTTGGACAATGTGTTGGACAATGTGTTGGACAGTGTGTTGGACAATGTGCTGGACAGTGTGTTGGACAATGTGTTGGACAATGTGTTGGACAATGTGTTGGACAGTGTTGGACAGTGTGTTGGACAATTTGCCGGACAGTGTTGGACAGTGTGTTGGACAGTGTGTTAGACAGTGTGTTGGACAGTGTGTTGGACAGTGTGATCATTATCATTTCGCGCCGTGGTCATCAGATCTTGGCGTGGGGCGTCCGCAACCTGAAGAGCTTCCAGCTGGCCAGCGTGGCCTCGCCGAGCCTGCAGGTGGAGTGCGGCGGCGTCACGGTCCAGAGCTGCGTCATCCGCAGCATGAAGAAGAAGCCCAACTTTGACGTCAACACGCTCGTCCTTGATGTGGTGAGAGCGCGCCGCACGCACACACGCACACACACACGCACACACACGCAGATGCAATCAGTGCTGCTCAGAGGGCTAATGAGAGCTCTGCAGCGATGTGGTTTTTTGGCGTCATTGATCTTCATCAGTGGGGCCACGATAATGGAGTCCTCTGAGAAAGCGGTGGTTCTGAGTGTCGATGTAGTCGCACGTAGGAGCTTTCGTCGTTTTTTTTCCCGTCACAGAGGGACCGGCGCTGCTCAGTCCTCCCCGAAAGCCGAGTGACTCACGAGGAACAGTTTGGCTCCGCCGCTCTTACTACACCGAAAGCGCAGGAAGCCGCCGTTAAAGGCGCCAGTCAAAGTGGCCCCCGGAAGGCTGGAGGTGTGGTCGCCCCCTCGGGGGGGGGGGCAACGAGCTGGTCGACGCTGACTCAGACGGCGTCGCGGCGTGAAAGCGTTTGTTTCCTGCATTGTTAAGAGGAAGTAAACAACGGGACTGAAATGTCTCCCAGAGTCTCAATTCCAGTTCCTCACCATCTCTGATAAATCACCGCCTCTGATTCAAACTTTTTGTTCCTAAATACCACATTTACAAGCTCGATATTAACATTCCATCCCCTCAATGTGGGAGTAAATGAAACCATGTTAGCGGTTTACAAGCCAACAATCCCCAAAACCAGTCAGGAACCAGTACTTTACACCAGTCTTTCATTAAGAAAGCATTTAGTTTCTCTCGTACTTCCATCCGACTGATGTAGTGGAATAAAAAGTACAATATTTCATATTCTCCACGTGTCTTTAAGGTTTAAGGTTTCCATACGTTCTACTGGCTTTATAAATAACACTTCTTAAACTAAACGTCTCTTACGTCGCGTTAAACCGATTTATGGAAACACTGCGCTGTTTGTTTGTTTTTCCCGGCGCCGCCGCGGCCTCGGAGGCTTCGCCGTTAGCGACGTTTAGGTCTGAAGGCCGATCACCTCTGTGTTTTATTATGAGCGCTTTAATCGCAGCGTGGAAATATTCACATACTTTCCCCTCAAAGACACACTCCTCGCTTTGGCTCGGCACCTTCTGACGCTAACAGGCGCTCCCGCGTTGACCACCGCAGGAGCGCCGCCGCGTTGGAAACACACCAACGCGCTTTCCCCTCAAATGCTAACAACATTAAGGGCTCTGGTTGAGCGTGAGCGTTCTTGGCTGTCGGTGGGGGCATAGGAACATGTCACGTGCATAGTTCCCTTAAATGCAGCTCTTTGAAGTGTCTAACCGCCCGCTGAGGCGGGCGCCAAGGCCTGAGCAATCAACTTCAGACAGGCAATCGGCATCGGGCGCGGCAGGCGGCGTAACCAACGAGGGTGAAGCAAGGCTCCTTTTTACTCCTCTTTCTGTTCCCCATGTTGTGTTCGCTCGGCAGAGGCTTCCCCGCGAGGAGCTCTACATGCCGCCCATCGTCATCAGGGTCATCGACAACCGCCAGTTCGGCAGGAAGCCCGTGGTCGGCCAGTGCACCATCCGCTCGCTGGAGGAGTACCGGTGCACCCCGGGGGGGGCGGAGCAGGGGGGGCAGGAGGAGGAGGAGGAGGAGCAGCAGTGGAGACGTAAGAACGGGACGGATGCCGTCGTGTCTGGCAGGGAGGGCGATGGATGCTGACGACGTTTCTGCTGTGTGTGTGTGTGTGTGTGTGTGTGTGTGTGCAGGTGAGACGCCCCAGTCAGTCGGCGGGGAGGTTTTCATCGACATCGACGACGAGGAGCCGCTCGTTCCCGACCAGGTGAAGCCCCGTTCCGGACGCGTTGCAACAGTTTGAGTTGCGAACTGCGGCGCGATGGTCATGGTCGAGAAAGAGTTTGTCCCAAGAAAACACCAATCCCGCCTCCCGCCGATCGATAAGCGATCGATGCCCATCGCAGGTATCACGCCTATTGGACGGGCCGACCCGTTAGATGCGGGAAGGAACAAGGCACGTTGGTTTGTCGAGAGGAGAGCTGAGGCCGCGTGAGGGACGTTCTATTGATGCGCCGGGTGTGGAAGGCCGTTTTTTAGTTTGGCGTGTGCGTGTGCCGAGCGGTACCAGCAGCATAAATAAACATCTTCTGACATGACGCCGTGGCAACCGCCTCTGTGGTCGGTGGTTACCGCGGTGACCGCGAGACCCGCGCCCGTCACCAACCATTAACATTCCCTCTCCGTTCCCCACCCCCCCGTCTCTGTCCTCCCAAGTTCAAGACGTTTCGGTTTCTCCCCCCCGACTCCCCCGCTTTCTCCGCCCCCGACTCCCCCGCTTTCTCTCTTTCTGTCCTGCAGTGGAGGAACGTGGAAACTATTTTCAAATCGGCCTAATCGCCGCTCGCGGTTCACACGCACACGTATGCAGGTCCTCCGACCCACGGACCGAAACCAGTTTTTTCACATACGCTCGCTTCGGTGTGAAAACTCGCCGGCTAACTTCGCTCACTCTGCGAGGTCCAAAGGTTCAAAAAATATAATTCCACGGCAAACGCTTCCAGAGGGGGGGGGGGTAAAGCTGTCGCGCCCTTTGACGTCTTGCTGTCAGAGGGTCGGCGGACACTAGGTAGAGACGGAAACGTTGGTCCCCGTCTGCCCGTGGTCGTTCTCCTCGTGTTAAGGGAAGTTAGCCGGGCGACAGCTGTAGCTTCTCATTCACCGTTCGAACGCGAAAACGATTTATTTCTGAAAAAGTCCATAAATCCACGAAACAGCAACCTCATTGCCTGACCACGCACACACCCACACACACACACACACACACACACACACACACACACACACACACACACACACACACACACACACACACACACACAGTGCATGCGTCCTTGTGCAATCACGTTTGTACCAACAGGACTGAACGGAGCTGAAGAATGCATCAAACCCTCGGCGCCCGCCCCCCACCCCCCCAAAGTCCTTTTAAAAACAACAACATAAAAACACCAGAAGGTTTTAATGTCGTTGTTGTTGCCGTCACTGAAAGTAGTACGAGGGGAGGCGGGGGAGAGAGGGGGGGGAGGGTTGTCCCGCACGTTGTCCACCACTGCGCCTCCTTTCTCCCCCCAAAAAACGCCGTGATTCTTAACTACTGACGGCGAGTTTAATGCTTGTCTATTCAGTGCGTAACCCTGACATTTGATGCTAATAATGTGGCTAACCTCAGCAGCTAACCTGAAAGTGTGTGTGTGTGTGTGTGTTTCGTAGCTGGCGGATGGATCCGGCTCCGCTATCATTAACTTTCCGCCTCTTGTTCCAGCCTTCATGTAGGTAACAACCTTTAACTCATTTCATTGGTTCATGTTGAAACGTCCTCTCTGCCTCCATCTCTTCCTTCAAATGCTGAAAAAGGTTAATACTCGTATATAAACCCGTCCACATTGGAAACATCAATCTTGAGCCTTAAAACGAATATGGCCGTCGTCTGGAAGACAAAGACGAAACAGCAGGTTTCAAACTTTGAGACCTTAATGTTTATCCATTTATTGGATTGTTTTAAATGAGGGTTTAATAAGTTATAATTTCCCACAGCGGATCAAATATATTTAAAGCTCCAGACTCCATCTGACCTCACAGCGCAGCGGCCTTTAGCGTTTTTAAAGGGTCAGTCCGTAGGTGGTACAGGACCCATCGCTGTGGAGCACTTTAAACCGTGTTCTCATAAAGGCGAGATGGCGTCTGACTCGCGTGGGACGAGGGGGGGGGGGGGGGGGGGGGGGGGCGGCGTGGAAGGGGAAAACCCTCCCGCGGCGGGACTCGAGCCTCAGAGGAACCCGGTTGCAAGGTTTCCACCTCGCTACGTTCTCCCTTTTTTCATTTATCCCAGCCGGGTCACACACACACACACACACACACACACACACACACACACACACACACACAACACACGCGCACGAAACGCACACACCCACAGTGCCCGCGCCCCTCTGCGCTCGGGCGGGTAATTGGGGCTGATTTCTTTCCCTCCAACATCGATATTTGTTTTATTAAGGGTCAGATATTGAAACCAGTGGAATTAAAGGCTCGCTTTCCGTCTGGGGGGGGGGGGGGGGGTGGGTGGCAAAGTCACAGAGCTGCTACAGATCCTCCGCGCCGCGACTCTCCGCGGGCGGACAGTTTGCCCAGAGGGGCCGAAGGGAGGGGCGGCTAAGTGGGAGAGGGTTAACGAGGGGGGGGTGAGAGTGGCTTAAAGAGAAGCAGAGGGGATGAAAGGAGTCACTTTGACGGGAAATTAGGGGGAAGAGGTTCGGCCTTAATGTCTCGCGGCACCGGAGAGCCAGAGCTCGGCCTCTCACGGGCCCTAAACGCCGGTTCTTAATCTCTGGGTCGCGACCAACAAGCGGCTCATGCGTGTGTGTGTGTGTGTGGAGGGCTGATGATTACCAGATTACTTGCTGTGTGTGTGTGTGTGTGTGTGTGTGTGTGTGTGTGTGTGTGTGTGTGTGTGTGTGTGTTGGGCTTCGGTTCGGTTTCAGAGCCTGAGAGGTTTGAGACGATCGGCTGTCGGTAGCGTCATGGCTCCTCAGGCCTCAGGGGCACCGTCTCCCCCCCCCATCCCCCTTCCCCCTCCCCCTCGCCCCCCCCGGGAGAGATATTTCAGATCCAACGGCGCTCGGGTTGGAAAATGAACCGTGCGCGTGTCACGTTTCACCGCGCGGCTTAATGCTCCCATTTGCCGCGCGTCAAACCCTCCCCCGCCTCCCCCCCTTTTTCTCCTCACTTTTTTTTTTCCCGCCCGTGTTCTCCATCAAACGCCGCGGTCGCGCTGCGTGTCCCCTCTACCTTTTCATCCCCAGTCAAAACCGTCCCAAGTCAAGTTGTTTTCCGATCGTCGCCATCTGCCTCCGCTTCCGTGAATCCCTCCTGGCGGCTCTCGGAAAAAAACAGACCGAGCGCGCACCGCTGGCACGGCGCCGGCGGACTTTGTGGTGTCTTTTTTTTCGGGGGTTCGTAATGACGGCGTGACCAGAAACATGATGTCAAAACAGCGCACTAAATCATCCGCTGTTTTTCTTCTTCTGTTAACTCCCCGTGTGAGCTGCCGTTCACCTCCAGAACCTGAACGTCCTCCAAATGCTTCAGAGTGAACGTTCGTTCCATGAGTCAACCTGTCTGACTGTTACGAGTGACCATCTGAATGTATTCATGCAACAATATCGCCATTGATTTAAATGGCACCGCGATGTCAAGATGAAGTCCTTTTTTCTTTCTTTCACTTCGATGCCAAAACGAGCACAGAAACGACGGCGGGTGGAAAAGCTTGGCGATCGAAGAGAATACATTTATTCATGTGACATGCCACCGCTTTCTCCTCGTGGTTTCGGTGTACTGCCTTGAAACCACAGCTGGAGGGCATCGACACACGAAAGGTCCAAAAAGTCCACATTTCAAGACCCCGAGTACGCTCGACCGGGCCGGGGAGGCCCGCGGCTCTTCTTCAGTGGTGTCTGAGGAACGCAGCCTTTTTTCGCTCCTCCTCCTCCGTAGGTTTGGCAGCAGTCGGTGTCACTTAAAAGCTTTTCGTGTTTTTAATCCGTTTTTCCTACAAAAGTCAAGTAACCTGAAATCCTCGATGACGTTTAGGCAGCAAAGCTACTTCATTAGGCTAAATATCGCTACGTGGCGTTATTCGGGGAACTGAAATGAGCGGTAGTTATTATTGTAACCGTGGCGACCACAACAACGGAGTGGTAGTTTTCGACTTTTTACTGCGAGAATTAACTTTCTCTATCCAGCATCACGGTTTGCCGCTTTGACCTCTGACCTCCCGCGCCGGCCCCCCGCGGACGGGATTTCCCCTCCGAAGCTCCTCGGCCAGCCCGCTCGGGGCTCCTGGCAGTGCCCGCCTGGGTTCTGGTTAGCCCGGCTTTCCCCCGCGGGGCGTAATGACAGCCTGCAGACCGCAGCGACACCCCGAGCAGACCGCCGCGCGTGCACTAAACACACGCTGGCGCGCGCCCACCGGCGGCCTCGACGCGGCCCGGCAGGAGCCGCGGGCTCGAGTGAACACACCTTCACACACAACTGGGCACCGGCTGCACACTGAGGTCACGTTAGCACGCACCAGACACTTTGTGTGTGTGTGTGTGTGTGTGTGTGTGTGTGTGTGTCATGCCCTCCATGTGATGCCCTTTTCCATGCCATGCAGTGTGTGTGTGTCCGTGGGAAGTAGGAGAAAGGGGATTCCACACCAACCATGTGCCATAAGAGCACGTTTGTTCTGCATTTATGCCTACAGACACACACACACACACACACACATTAAAGCATGCACACACACACACACACACACACACACATTAAAGCATGCACACACACACACACATTAAAACACACACACACACACACATTAAAGCATGCACATACACACACACACGCATTAAACCATGCACGCGCACACACACACACATTAAAGCATGCACACACACACACACACACACGCATTAAAGCATGCACACACACACACATTAAAGCATGCACACACACACACACATTAAAGCATGAACACACATACACGCATTAAAGTATGCACACACACACACACACACACACACACACACACATTAAAACACACACACATTAAAGCATGCACACACACATTAAAGCATGCACACACACACACACACATTAAAACACACACACATTAAAGCATGCACACACACACACAGACATTAAAGCATGAACACACACACATGCATTAAAGCATGCACATATACACACACACACATACACATTAAAACACACACACACATTAAAGCATGCACACACACACACGCGCATTAAATCACGCACAAACATACACATTAAAGCACACACAAACACACACATTAAAGCACACACAAAGGAAAAAGTGGTGCATGCGTCATGTTTAAGCTGGAGTGGTCCTCGGAGGGTTGAAGGTTGCAGGGCGGGGATTGAGTGAGTTTGTGTGTCTGTGTGTGTGTGTGTGTGTGTGTGTGTGTGTGTGTGTGTGTGTGTGACGGGCTGCTAGTTGATCTGTCCCCTCGGTATTCCCCATCTTTGTAGTCGTTGTTTCCCTCGTTGCGTCAGAGCCAACACACACACACACACACACACACACACACACACACAGCGCTTTTATTTCTGTGAGAAAATACTTTTTAAATACAGCGTTAGACGTTGCCAATGTGAACAGAGTTTTAGTAAACTTGATGGATGAGGCAGCTTCATGCTTGATAAAACACAAAACAGGGTTTCTTCTAAAGAAGTCCCCCCCCCCCCAAAAAAATGAATAAAATAATCATATATAAATCAAAATATCTCGTGTCCAAACCATAAAAAACATGTGTTAGCGTTGTGCGTCTGCATTGATTACCGGTGAAGAGTGCGAGGGAATGAACTGACTTGTGACTTCTCTTTCAACGCCGACACTAGATGCTACAATAGGTGAGTTTGTCTCATCATATCGGACATATTGTCACAGTTCTTTTTTTTTTACTTTGACGCTTTTTTTGCAAGAATGCTTGCACGCGCAATCGCTGCATTTCACCCGTGCTTTTCTCTGAGAAACTGCACGCTGGCGAGGCCTGAACCCGAGCCGCTGTTGAGTGTTGCCGAGTCGTCCCTTAATAAGTCATTAATAAACCGTAACAAGCGGAAAGGACATTGTGTGTCAGACCAATGGAAAAGCGGCGTAAGGGTTCTTTTCATTCGTACATCAACATACATTTCTTTGGCTGCAGCGTTCCTGCTAATGTCCGTATTGCTTTTGTGCGCTTTGTGCCTCTGCAACCTGATGGCGCCCGTTTCCATTGCCTCACGGCGCCCGCGCACCCGTGACCCCCGTGCCAGAGAGCCACCAGGGGCATTTTTACTCGTGCTGACGTGGCTTGGCTGGCTCGCCATGGTCATGCGATCATTGGAAAAATCCTGAAAAGCAGCTTATTCCTTCACTTGAGTGTACTGCCGGGAGGGGGCCTCGCCGCGGGGCTTTATTAGTGGGCCGTACGGTTCAAAAGGTCATCGCAGGGGTCATTTCAGAAGCCACGTAGCGGTTGGTTGAGAGGAGGTCGTTTTTCCTCAGACTGTATGAAAACACGTGGAGTTTAAATCCAAACGCATTCACTTCATGTCTCAAGTGGCTCCTAAAGTCCTTACACCGTCGTCCTAATTTGACCTCTGACCTCTGAATCTGTGACCAACAGGAAGAGGAGTTCATGGACTGGTGGAGCAAGTTCTACGCCTCGACCGGAGAGAAGAAGAAGTACGGGACGTACCTGGAGAGAGGCTTCGACACGCTGCAGGTGAGAGGCCGAGAAAAAAAAAAGACTTTGTAAATCTTTAGTCAAATCAGATTAAACACATTTTTAGGACATTTTCCCAAAATGTTTTCCTCAGAACTTCAGCGCTTAATTCACACGTTTGCGCTCGTGCCAGATCCGCTGCGTCAGTCCTCCCCCTCTCTCTTCCTCACCCGTCCGCCGCGGCCCAGGCGCCGTGACGTGACGTCCTCGGGCCGGTGACTCACCCGCGGCGGGCGCTCCCACCGGGGGGGAGGGGCGGGTCGAGGGATCGACCCCGTCTGCCTTCCCCCCCCCGCCCCCACGCTCCACCCTCGCCCACGCGCCCCTCGCCCCGATTCTCTCGGCCCCCGAGCGCCGACCTTTCCCCTCCCGCGGGACCTCGTAGCGCACGTCCGTCTTTTTGTCTGGTGCCCAAACAGATGAGTCACCATGTCAGGGTTTGTTTATGGCCTTTTCCAAAAAGAGCCCTCTGACCCCTGAGAGACATTTCACATCGGAGAGCCGTCTCCCTTCCTTCGGAGGACGCTTGTGTCTCCGCATGCGACGCAAAGAGAGCGATATTTCGCCTCCCTTTCCACCTCCCCCCCCCCGGCGCTGGCTCTGGTGCAGGGGGGGGGTTGTGTGTCTGTTGAAGTCCAGCGAGCGGGTGTTTCCAGACTTTGTCTTTCGTTTGCAGCATCATCCCGACCTCCTCGAACTCAGCGCCTCCTTTTCACCGACGGCACGTTGTCCACGCCGACGTCACCCAGAGACGCCTGATTGGACGACTCGGTCCCCCACAACTGATCTAAGCGTCTCTAAACGGAGCCTGCGAGGCCCGGTCCTCGATGTGAGCCCCCCCCTCCCTCGGTGTGAGCCCCCCCCTCCCTCGGTCTGAGCCCCCCTCCCTCGCTGACGGCTTCGGTTCTCCAGTGAAATGAACCGCTGTTCCAGGCCTCCCTTTTGGTTTACATCATCACTCTCTCCC